GGCATGCTTAGTCAGACTCGGTGATCTCGGGGAGACGATTTGTTCCAGCCGTCCTACTATCATTGGGGGGAGTTTGACACGGGTATTGGGTTTGACAAAACGACAAATCGCTCGTAGCTCTTTCCACATCCCATATTCAGCTTCACCAATTGGCATACGTATGAGCATGCATCTACTTTTCATGTCTCTAAGCTCAGAATAATTTATTTCTCCTCGCTTCGTCCGTGAACACACAAAACACGCTGATATACCTGTACTGGGGAATGCATTTGGAGAGATCTCCTGAACGGTGTGTCCCAAAACCTTAGAACAACATAAAGAATACATCCTTACAGTTCTTAACTGCCTGTTCGTCAAGCCCGATATGCACGAGGTGGAGGAATTCCCTTGCTAGACGTCAGGTAGGTGTTTGTCAAACACTCTATCGAGACAGGGCGTGACTGCGGAATCCAAGCGGAGCTTGAATGCGCATTCGCGTGTGCATGCGCCGACGACCCCAGTGGGTCTTGCACTCAATGCTTCCTTGGATAGCACTTACTATACAATCTGTAATTATGTTCTCACAAATAAAATGAGCTGCTGCAGACGATTTTTCCATCCCCTGCTGTAGTATGTGCACAACCGAAGGGCCAGGCGTGTTCAGCCCAGGTGCTCCCGATAGGGAATGCCGTCTGGAGATTGCCGCAGCCGGTGTGACACTTCCGTTACTGATTGTCAAACTCTCCCCCCAGTGTAAGCGAAATCGTGCCGAAACCAGTATTTTGCTGCCGGAATAGTCTGTACACAGGATATCTGTAAGGACGTTTTGATATTATGATAGAACGCGCAATTTTGCATCGACTCGTCAAAACAGCGCCCGAATACGTTTGAATTTGAAGGAGATACGAGCTTAACAATGAAATATTGTCAAACTCCCCCCCAATGATAGTATAGCGTTCTCCTCCTCTTGTTCGTTCTGTATCCGGTAATTCTCATATAATACATTTTCTTACATAATATTTCACTTCTGCCCTAGTAATTAGAGGAGCGCGAACGCTAAGGACGGGTGGTTTAGGAGCCTGGCCAAAGACCAGATCCAAGCTTAAGTACTAGTCCGTCACTGGCACCAATACACGTGACACCGAACATTACACCCAAAATCCCTCCTTGAATTACCCTCTACCATCCACCGTTACCGTCCTAGGCGCGCGAATCCATTCGCCATTAATCGGTCGATCAATACAGGACGAGCGGCAAGTCTCCAGAAGCAGCGTGAGTGTTTCCTAGAAAGATATCGGAACTCCGAAGGAACTGCTTGCACCACAGCTGAACATATCTCTTGACCGGATACTCGGTAGAGCCGCCGTGTGGTTTTCTATGACAACCAGCCACTGCCTCTCATCATCCTATGTAGTTCGTATGCTGCTCAATCAGAAGGGTGCAAACCCGCGCGACGCCGGCTGCATTACAACGTCTAATGGTGGCTTGTCCTGCCGGTGCGCTGCGAATACTGCGACTGATAGCGAGCGAATATGCGCTAAATGATTTAGGCCAAGATAAATCAGTGGTGCATCCCCCTCCGTACCCATGGAATCTATCGAGGCACCTAAGTGGTTCGTTTCCAATGTCCAACAGACATCCCCACTGGGTTGCAAGTCTGCGAGCGGGTGACATCGTATCTGCAAGCAGCTCGTCAGTGAAGTATGAAGTGCTTCGAAAACGTGAAAGACTACTGGAAGATCTGTACGCCTTGGAACCTGAAGCAGAGTATTTCACGCGTTGCTGTGACCGTTTCTGTGACATGGCATCAAGCATCAGATTCAATGCCATTGCCAGTTTGCCACAGATCCTACGCGTCGTGTCACGTGCATAATAAGAAGCGCCTCCGCTCGGCCATCCGTGGGTCTTATCAGTAGTTTTGTGGCGTGTCGTAAGGGCTCTTGTGATTACAAGCTATCAGGGCCCATGGACAGCAGGGATCGCTTATATATGGGACGGTAAACATAGGACAGATCCACCGTTCTCCCTCTAATCCTAAGCTAATGGCTTCAATCCGTGTAGCAGCTGCACGTCTGGCTTCGTCTTTCGACGAGTCGTGTGCCTGGGGTGCAACACCAGATGGCGGAATGAACAGGTTATCCCTAAATGATGACGATAAACGCGTAAGAGAATGGCTGGTAGATCAAGTCAAGGCTTGCGGATGTACCGTCAAGGTGGACAAGATGGGTACATTGTGCCGACAAGCCCCTCTCCGTGTACATGCGGTCTCATGCGCGAATATGCAGGCAATATCTTTGCGACAAGGCCAGGCAAGAACAACGCACTGCCCCCTATTGCCATGGGATCCCATCTCGACACCCAACCGGCGGGAGGTAAATACGACGGTATCGTCGGCGTACTCTCAGGTTTGGAAGTCCTCAGAACGCTGCAAGACAAGCAAGTGGAGACGTACGCACCTGTAGCTCTCGTCAATTGGACGAATGAAGAGGTAAGCTACGGCAGCACTAGTGGCGCGTAATCCGGCTAACAGCGCCTCGAAGGGAGCAAGGTTCCCACCTGCTATGGTAGCTAGTGGGGTCTGGGGCGGGGCCTTCACGCTGGAACACGGGTGCGCTTGGTCTAAGTATCTCAGCTAACGTCCCTCATCAAAGCAGTCATACCCGATCCGACGCGTCGGGGAAGACAATCAAACAGGAACTCGAGCGCATCGGCTTCTTGGGCGATGTCGACTGCTCCTTCGAGGCTAACCCACTCTCTGCTCATTTCGAAATACACATCGAGCAAGGCCCTGCCCTCGAAGCAGAGGATTTGAGAGTGGGAGTCGTCACCGTGAGTCCCCCAACACTCCATCCTAATGATAGGAAACGACTAAGGTCGCACTAAGGGCGTGCAATCCATGAACTGGTACAACGTTGTTCTCCGCGGGCGAGAGCAACATTGCGGAACCACGCCTATGGACATGCGGGCAGACACGTGAGCGCACTGGATTCCTACCCAGGTCACTTGTTATACTATATGTCAGGCTTCTATGCGCGGCGAAGATGATACAAGCCATAAACGCACAAGCGCTGGCCTTGCCCGGCTCTCTCGCATCCGTAGCAGTCATCAATTCCACGCCGCAATCCATCAACACACTCGCAGGCCGCGTGCAGTTCAACATTGATGCGCGCGCATCCTCGGACGCCCTCCTTGCGCAACTGGCGGAACGACTCAAGTCAACGTGTACGGAGATTGCTGAGAAGGACGGCGTCAAGATACAAGTGTGGGACAGGATATGGAAGAGTCCCAAGACCAAGTTCGACGAGAACGCAGTAGATATGGTCCGGAAGAGTGCGCAGGAAGTCGAAGGCGGACGCTTTAAAGATATGATTAGTGGGGCGGGGCATGATTCGTGGGTGTACCCACTTCACCACGGCTCTTCGAGGGGAAGACTGACTTCGCAATGTAGGGTGTACACAGCCAAAAAGGTCCCAACGGCCATGATCTTCATAAGATGCAAAGGAGGAATATCGCACAACCCCGCTGAATTTTCTACTCAAGAGGATATGTAAGTCTGATTCCTGACACACTCTTATTCATGCTAGCTGACCTTCGTGGATGCATCAGTCAAGCGGGGGCGAATGTCCTCTTAGGCGCTGTATTGCGTTATGACGAATACCTAAAGAACACGAGCCAGCAATGAACCACACAAGCTGTTACCTCCGGAGTCATAATCGTGCTGTTGGTACCTGACGTAAACGACGTAGCAGACACCAGCAAGTAATCTAGGTATACAATGGTTATTCTTCTTTGTCAAGAACTTACACAAGAATCGTCCGCGCAAAAGTACTACACATGGGTGTACAGCCCCTTTTCCTTCCTTGCCTTCGTCATAGCTGCGAGCCGTACTCTTAGCTAGGAATCGTGAAGGAAGACGAGGATACGAACCTGCGATAATTGCACTCCCGACACCACTCCCATCCTCCGCATGGTATGTTACGATATTCCTGAGTACGCCCTAGTTAAGCGGAAGAAGACAGTTGAGCGGCGCGAACTACATACCGTCCCTTGTCTCCAAATACATCTATGAGGCCCTCATGGACCCGATCCGCAAAGCCAGGGTATTTCTAGCAAGCGATTTTAGTCACGGTTGGCCATACGACAGACAGACGAACGCACATTGTACAACGACCCGTCCGCACCCACCGCGCACCCCTCGTCGAGGTAGCCCATCTTGCTGACAATCGCCGCAATACCGCACGCGCTGAGTCTCGCAGCCCTCCGGCCAATGAGCTTCGCGAGGGCTCGGAAGAACTGCCGCTCGGCAAGCGTTGTCTCCAGGGCAAAGAAGTGCGTGAAAATGCCGATGATCATCAGCAGCTCGTCCGTGGGGTCGCTGGCACGTCGTTAAGACAAGGCAGGCGCATGAAGAGAAAGACACTGACCTTTCCATGAGCGATAAGAACGCCGTATCGAACGCATAGGACTTCTCGATCTTGTATGTCTCTTGACCGAGGAAAAGCACACCGTCGTCGATAAGCTCGCAGATGACGAGACGCATGATCTCTCCGAGGTATCGTCCGGAGATTAGTTTCTGCGAGAGAGTACTGTTAATTCTAGACAGCTGCGATGCTTTTGCGTTACATACTTCGTATGCTTGTTCGCCTGGCTTGTTGGACGTCTCGTCGACGATCTGGTCGTACTTTGTCCTGGGCAGGTGCTCATGCTCGAACGAGTCGAAGGCGCCCTTCGCGGCCAAGGTACGTTAATCTCGGAGACCACCCATTAACACGAGGCACTCACGTATTCGCAATTGATAGCAATTTCAGCGTCATCCTTGATATTGAGTTCCTTGATTTTCGGAATGTTGGCGACCTTCTCCATGTACGCAGCATTGCACCCCGTCCCGAAGATACACCCTATCTTCGTCTTGGGGTTCACGTAGTGAGAGGCAATGAGTGTGCCGGTCGTGTCGCATGTCAACGAGATAAAGTCTGCGGGGACGTCCTGAGACCGGACTCAGCGCGAAGACATCAAAAGAGAGGACCCAACGCATACGTATTTTTGGAGAGACTTGCGGAACATCTCCGCGACATCATGTCCTTCCGTATTAGGATTCCCGAAGCCTTTCGTCCACCGGATCAGTTCACCGTGGTCGATCCTGTTTTGTCTGTGAAGATGTCAGTATACGCATGGTATGTCCTGTTCCGAGTGCGCGTACGAGCAAGGGTAAGAGAACTAGAGAGCAATTCAATCAATATCGCAGCACCTAAAACGGTTCATATGCACAACGCACAGTGAACCCCAAGGGCAGCTTCTCGCCGGGCTTCAGGTTGATCATGCCCGGCTCTTCCCCAACGTGCTGATCTATGAATGTCTTGAGGCACTCGGCGCAGAAGTCGAATAACTTTTGCCCTTCCTCCTGTTTCTGATCTTCGGTCAGACGATACTTGGATTGTGTGATCTCGAATCTCCCAGCGCCCTGGAGGGTGACGAGACAAACCCGCAGGTTAGTCCCGCCTGCACCACTGTCAGTCCATATATCGAGTTGGACGATGCTACCATGCGCACCGAGATCTACAGCCAGGTACTCTCCCGTTTCGTTCCCTGTCGGCCAACCGAAGACGTACGTCGGGATCATAGGCTGGAGACCAATTCAGCTCCGTAGACCTCCAATTATAGACAGCGGGCGTACCACCGTGTTTCCATGCTTCTCCAAACCGGCCTCAAGCGTATCCTTGAACGCGTCCACAATCATGCGCATCCTCTGCGGCGTTAACGTAAACCTATTCCTCTCAATGTTTCGCTCTTCCCAATATGTCTCCAGCACTCACAAACTCTCATACTTGCGCAGATGATCTGCCATGGTCCTGCAGCACGTTCAGTACGCCATCACCCACGTATAATCCAACTATCCCGACTTTTTGGTCGCATGCGGGAGATCCTCTTCATCCTGCGTTCTGGTATGGAACGCGAGCGTCTGCCCAGTGGGCAGCGTCACCGTACCACTTCCTCGACGAGATGCAGGCATGCTGGGCTAGGTCGACGGCGCAGACGACGACGGGCAAGGGCGCTGATGGCGGAGAGATAGTATGTCTGTTCTTGTCGTCCACCGGGGGGAATCACCCGTGAGAATATAGGTCCCGCCCACTAGTCCACCAGGGATCATGATTCCCACCCGTAGCGTTTCTCCCTTCAATCCCCTCCTCGAGGTGCGCTTCGCAGGCTGCTATGATAGGACTCAAGGGGACTCTAAATGTATGGTTTGAACCTTTGGTATCCATCGCTCAGTTGCAAACTGCTTCATTTGCTTCTAGGTTATAGACAACTCCGGCGCCCTTCTTGTAGAGTGCGTAAACGTTCTGAAGAACAAGGTCAACAACGGCTGGGGCTCCGTGGGCGATGAAATTGTCTGCGTCGTGAAGCGCGCCAGAGCTATATCTGCTGCTCAGCAGGCATCTGCAACCGCAGTCAAAGTGCGGAGAGGAGACGTTCGTCGCGCAGTGATCGTCCGAACAGCGAAGGCAGTTCGGAGACCAGACGGACGACTTGTGAAGTTTGATGACAATGCAGCCGTTTTGCTGAACAACAAGAGGGAGATGCTAGGGACGAGAATAGGTGGTGTCGTGAGTGCTGACTTGCGAATGAAGGGATGGGGCAAAATCGTCAGCTTAGCACCTAAGGTCGAGTCCCATTATTTGAACTGATTCCAACCATTTCTAATCGGAGGCGGCAATAGGTCGTCTAGAGATTTACTAATGGAACATATGCGTATTCTAGTTTTCGTGATTTATTTGGCTTATCTCCTGCCATGACATGTCGCTTCGCCAGACCAGACCCATGCACATGGATGCACCCGCCGGCTGTCATGGGCAGAATCATGCGTACTGAAGAATCTCGCGAGCTTGAACAGAGATGCCATACGCAGGTGCACATTCCACGAGCAGGGTTGCAGGACCTGCGGCGCGAGCGTCCAGCTTGAAGTCCCTAACATACTTGGTCACATTTACGAAGGTACGCCTGGGTCCTTCCGAATAGCTCTTCTAATACTGGCCCATTTGCCGCATGCCTTCCCTGCTGTGGCGGAGTCGTGGCGTCTGAAGGCAGTCGTCAGTGATTCACAGGACAAACGCCCTTTACCTGGCAGCGCAGAATGACAAACATGTTTCACTGCATGGTGTGGCTGCAATGGACGCTTTGTATGCTCACTGCGCAAACACTCTGGTTAGCCTGCTTCCTGTGAACGCGTGCCTCCCGCCACAGTGGGTTGTTTTCGATCAAGCGGTGACCGTCGCCACATATGCCACAAGGGGGGCCACACCTTCAAAGTATAAGAGGGCTCGCAGCTTCGTCTCTCTTTAGTCACTACCACCTTACTATCCCCTTCCCCTATGGAACCAGAAAAACTGCTCGTTGTTCCGGAGGCGCTCACCATAAGTTTCGCCCCTCCCAAACATTGGATCACTCAAGCTCTGGCGTTGAATCAGCACAGGGACGTGTACGACGACATATATTTCCTCCAGGACCCTGGACTACGGAGGATAGATACGCTCTGGGTCGGCCCTGGCCCTCTGCTGTTCTCAGAGGAGCGCGCTGTGTGTACCGATGTCGGTTTACTCATACCCTCTGCGAAGACCGCCTCTGGCCCTACAATGTTGTTTCAACCGGACAAGCCAGCATTTTCCCCAACTTACAGGTACCCAAATGCTATAGTACATATCGACGTACGAACAGTCATCCTATTCCATGGTCTTGAGGAATTCGCTAACCTGTCCTGCTAGTGGCTGGGATATCCACCGTGCACCATTGAAGTGCCATGCAGACCAAAAGTATCCAGACGCCAGCTACTTGCAGCAGTCGCCGGTGTCGTGGAGGAATTCATCCTACGTGCAGAGGTTCGTGCGCCGTTCGGCGCTTCCTACCTCGAAAGGATACGTGCTTATTTCTGATGGGCAGGGAATGCAGATTGATCAGTTGTACCGCAGCATAAATCCGGATGCAGCCATGGAAGCCTGCAGGGGGCGATCTCTCGTTCAGAGAATGGGCATTGCCGGCTTGGTTAACTGCAGGGGCCCAGTGTGGCAGCCGGTGCTGTACTTCATCAACCCTTTGTAATGCGCTGAGAGATGCGGATCGTATTAGTACGACAATCTACGTTGCCATGTTTCTCTTCACCTTTCTATTTCTTATCGCATATGTATATGTACGCCTGTGCCTACCTGGTCATCATATCTTATTGTAATTTCCAATCTCCGCCTTTCCCTCATTTTCCGACTGCAGTATTTCGGACAGTTGCTCAAGGTCCTTTACTGTGACTGCTGGCTTCGGCGCCACAAGGGATGCCAACTCCTCTCGCCCTTCAAGCGTGCCTTCACGACGAACCCAAGCTGTGGCCATCCCAAGCAAGGCTGATGGCTCCAAACATTTATAAGCTGCCGTACTGACCACCAGTATTTCTCCAGGAGTCGCTTGGAACGAATCCGCACACTTTGCAATCACGGCGTTATAAATGTCGTCCTTGGCCATGCAAATACCCTCAGCCGAGGATGTCTCGACAATGGCGTCAAATCGTATGGCAGTCTCCAGCTGCGGTTGTACGTGCGAGAACGTATCGGGATCGACGTTCGGGAGTGCGACAAGCCGGTACCCGCGCGCTTGAAGCCGTCGCAGCGTGTCACTGACTTCGGGCCATAGCCTCCAAGTGAATACAGCGGTGGCGTCCCATTTACCTATGTCCGCTATGCCGGCGGGGATGACATCCCGTATCGCGGCCATGATGACCTCGCTATATGGCGCTCCTGGTGTCTTCCGGATACGCAACGCTTCTTGCTCGATGTACCTGTCAAGGATATCGGGAATGGGGTATGCTATGGGGATGTCGGTGTCCTTTGCGATGGAGCGCACCATATCGGAGAGACCTCCCTCCCGATCCTATACAGTGTGGTTGGACACGAAGAGTAGAACTACATCTTGCGAGACTCACGATCAGACTACCATAAATATCGAAGCAGATTACGCGTATAGCGGACAAGTCAGCTTCATTGAGATCCAAGCCCTCCTGCTCAGGAGCCTCTGGGAGCTCCGGTTCCCAGTCTTCGTCGTTGTCGTCATCGTCCCAGCCTACAGGACCAGGGACATCCTCGGGCTTGATGACGATGGTGGCAGGCACGTCTCCCCCAATCACAGCGGTCAGGGAGCATAACTCCGCGGCACTTGAACCTTTCACAGCATCCTCTGGCGTACCGCCGCTGCCCTTTGTAAAGGCGGAGAATTCCGAAACAGAAATACTTTCCGTCTGCGTGACACTGCTTAGAAAAATAGTCAAGAGAGGGATGTCGGACGCTACCTTGTGATATTCTCTCACTAAATTGATCACAGCAGAGGCTCCACGCCACGAGTAGTCGCTGATTATTCTGGCTCCGGCAGAAAATGACCAACTGAATCCATACGCGAACCAGTGAAAACGACTCACCGCTCCATCTTTTCCAGGTCATCGTAGGGTGCAGCTAGCGATGATGATATGTCCAAAGTTTCGATGCCGGACAGCTCGATCTCGGCAGTGAATGGCCTGTTCATAGTTTCTGTATGCGTTGGCCCGCTGAACGTATCCCAGTCTGGTGCGACCGGCTCGTCAGTACCAGTTCTCCCTTTCCTCTTCCGTTCTTCTGCAATCCATGCGGACAAATTCGTATAATCTTCGTCCATATACTGTACGAGCCGATTTCTATCCTCTTCTGCAACGACATACTGCGATGCACTAGAAGGGATACCGGGCTGTGCCTTGATAGTGACGAATGAGGTGGTATGCACGTATAAGTTTCCCGGAGACGGCAAGGACGGTTCTATACGGATGGCAGGTCGATGGCCATCTTGGTTTGGCCAGATCGCCACGTAGAAAGGTGATTCTTCTGGGGGTCTTAAGCTAGAGATTATAGCTAAACACTCGGCGGGGAAATGGAAAGGAGGCACAAGGTCCTCGGCCGGAAATTTAATGGCCGCGAAAGTATGCATATCGACCTTTCCTGCTACTTTACTAGCGTGCGTGGATCCCAGCCAGTCCAGCGCTGTGCCCGAGAATCTGGCACACACCAGAGGATAAGGAGATGAGGTGCTCATGTTGGAGGTCTTGGAGTCTCAGTTGAACGAAGGGAAGAGACAGACGAGAAGAATCACTCAAGAGCAGCTTCAGATGAGACGGATGGTTCTATCACTGCGGATGTGAATTTCAGTGGGAAAGTATGCACCAGCCAACGGATTCTCGAGGACCTCACTGATCGCCGCACCCGACCTCGCCGACGACGGCGACAGCTTAAGGTAAATTGAAAAATGCCCAGAGAAATAATAGAAGAGATTGTGGGTCCCTCAGCGGCATGTCGTGAAGAGTGACGATAAGAGTAACAAACTTCCTCAGACTCACTGGCAGAAGGCCCGGGTGACACAGGGCTGATTCAGACACCGCACTATAGTTAGTGGTTCTGAAGCTGGGTTCTGATGCCGGTTTCCCACGACGGTATGCTCCGACTGCTCATGCATGTTCAAGTTTATGCGCTGCCGGACAAAATGACGACTGTCACATTCCTTTTCTCTCCCGACTCAAAAACCGCGAACCGCAATATCGATGAGCGGACGATTAACCTATGTAACTACACTGCCATCGTCGGAATGCACTATAGGATGGTGCTTCCCATCTAGTGTCAAGTGACTCAGGTCAGGACATCCGCGAAAATTAATACCGGCTTTTTTGGCGGCGCTTCACTGTCGACTTCCCGCTTCCTGGTGTGCGGAATCATATCTACAGTGAGTGAAATGACCTCTGAGGAGATGATTCGTCAAGCGCCTGTCCGCCACCATTGTGCAGTTGTAGGTCCCCATTACACAATGTGCCTCGACATTATGTACATTTCTGATTACTTGGCGCCTACGAGGTGGGACGACTCATTGGCAGATACTCTCATCTCTCAAGTTAACCTTTCTCTCCTCGCAGATAACTCCCCCTTCATGCATGCACGACGTCCAGGTATAATCCTTCGGAATTTTCTTACTGCTTTTAGGCGTGATCCGTCAGTCGTCCAGACGCCCGTATAATTGCCGTTCGACTTGCTCCGTTTCTGAGATGCTTTGTTCTGCATGTGCCCCTTTCTTGTCCACCGACGCCCACATTTCTTCGGCGTTGATGAAGAGGGGTGACGTACCTGTTGAATCCAAGCAACTATGCTGCACCTAGGACTCATCGAATCCTTATTTTCAAGCCTGCAGTCGTTCTTGCATTGTGATCAAGATAGAACTCACCTTGAAGATGTTGTATTCTGGCTGGCGACCACCTCGGGAGGTAGTCACCATGCGCCTCAGATGCTACTCCTTAGGAGGGTATAAATGTTCGCGGGCATGAGGGTATGTGCTCCCCAGAATATTTACCCTCTCTCACGTCTCCTTAGCCCTCTTTACAACACGAGCATGAGTCACTACCTCTCGCCCGTCGTGCCTACTCCACACCATACGGCTCATTCATTGCCCAACGGTCTCCGGTTTCGAGAAGGCCAAGTCGTTAAGCTTCGACCCTCGAGACCGGCTTTTGCCCAGTCTTCGGGATCCTGGCGGGGACCCGCTCCCTACGAGAGGCCTTGCGTGGTCACCAGGACTGATCAGCACCGTCTATATATTGCTCCAATTCTGGGAGCCAGACAAAACCATCACACTAGGCGATGGGGTCCGAAACCCCGTGTAAGCTTATGGTCCATTCAACGTAGAATCTCGTACTCATAACCGAGTGATCTAGATGGTGCACGATTGGTGGAATCCTGTGAACATGATCAACTTCGCTGGCCCCCCTGAGGATAGGTGCAGGCTACGGCGCCCTCCCATTGATATTTCTATCAATCGCCAAAATGCACAATTTCTCCCGTTCACGCTTAAGCCCAGTTACGTTTGGGTCGGCGACAGTGGAGAGCCTTTCAACCACACAGACGTTAATGCGAACACTGTCCAGTCCGTGGAATATGTCTACGGCCCTCGACCCAATGCGCTTCCAATGATGCGAGCGCAGCAGGAGATTTGTAGGTAGTTCCCTCTGTAGGTAATGGCTACCGTTGACCAGTATCACTGTTTCAGGGCAGCAGCGTCGCCGGCCTCCCTACTGACTGATCTGCCTGCAGAGCCATATCATTGGGGGACAATGTTATTAGGGACCACACGACAGAGTCGTAACTCTAGAGCCTGACTACTAGTATAGTATTTTTCTCATGAATTGCTATGCGTCGATTACTTCATAGCGAAATTTATCATGCCGATCTTTTGACCCTAACCTTGGGTGAGAATTCCTTGTGACTGATATGGACAAGAAGAACCAGATCGTTACGTTCATCAAACCATACTTGAAGACCGCCGTACATACATATATCATGGAGAGCCCGTGCATCTCCGAACGAGCGTACACCACTATCATAACCTAGGTCCGTTTTCATGCTGCCGTCCGTGGGGTTCACTGTACCACGTTGGAGAGTGAATGGCCTCTGGGAGTTTACCGACAGCCTGGGGTCAGGTAGCTTTGGTATGCCAGCCTTACTTGTCCGCATAATTCTTCTCTCATCTTCTACGCAGGCGAGGTCTTCGCTGCCAGGCAGCTCCTGACGGGCGGTGAGGTGGCCGTGAAGATGGAGCGCGCAGCGAGTAAATACAGAACAGCTGTTCTTCCCTATGAAGCTGCGGTTTACAGGCAGCTGCAAGGATGCTTCGGCATCCCGCGCCTACGGTGGTCGGGCGAGGAGAAAGGCGCCAACTTCATCGTGATCGATATGTTAGGACCGAATCTGGAGCACTTGAAGCGCTTCTGCCGCGGAACGTTCACGCTGAAGACAGTACTCATGCTCGCCGACCAGATGGTAACGAACTACCTCACGATATCTGTGTTCTCAAGAGGATCACTGACGGGTATTCCCGTGGTTGCAGATCACACGAGTGGAGACCGTCCATTCCGGAGGGCTGGTGTGTCGGGACCTGATGCCCGACAACTTTGCGATAGGCCGTGGCAAGTGGGGGAATCTTGTCCATTTATTCGACTTCGGCCTGGCAAAGCTTTACCTTGACCCGCACACCGGAGAACATATACCGCTCAAGGACGGAAAAGAGGGCATGGGCGCCCCGCGGTTCGTCAGTGTGAATGTACACCTCGGATACGGTGAGTCTGATCACTGGTCATGCTGCATATAGAAACAATCCGCCTTACGGATACATGTCAACGGTGATTAGAGCAAAGTCGACGAGATGATCTGCAAGCGCTTGGACTCATCTTCATCTACCTGTTGAAGGGGAGTCTACCGTGGCAAGGCATCTACGCTCCTATCATAGAGGCTAAACTCAAGCGCATCGGGGAAATGAAAGCGCTGGATAACAGGGCGATGAAGGAAGCGCTTACCGACTGCCCTCCGGAATTCACAACATACATGGAATACTGTTACGGCCTGGAATTCACACAGCAGCCCGACTACGACTATGTCAAACGCCTCTTCAGAGACGTCATGTCGCGCCATGGATGGGAGTACGACTCGATCTGGGACTGGTCGGAGGGAGTCGAGACGGAAACCGGTAATCTCCTCCCTGAGAAATACAAGATATAATTAAAGCTGGAGACACCGGGTGTTCCTGGAATAACCATTTTCGAAAAGATACTGCTGGCAGAGGAGAGAAGAGCGGTTGACGAAAGATTTACCTTGTAGTATGTATTACATCGCTCAGGTAAAAGCAAGGGATGGAAACCCAATAGAAACCGTCACTGCACCCACTGGAGCCGGCAATGGCAGTACCCGGTGGCAAGTCCGCGGCCTCCGGAACCTCCTCTTCACGATGAACTTCAGACCTCTATGCTCGCGTATGCGTCCCTATGCGGCTTCAGCATTTGGACTGGGCGGTATCTTCTTCGCTCCAAACCGAAAGGTTTCTACGAATGCAACGAAGTATATTCTGAGATCGCCACCTTCCAGTGCTCCACGCGAAGTACCAACGCCTTTGGTATTTCTGTCAGCGAGCGCCTGGGATAAGGACTCGGCCGCTGGGTTAGATTTCAATTCATATGAAAGAAAGAGCATGATACCAAGGACTGGGCGGCAGGATGACCAGTTTCGCGTCGATTTTGGCGGAGAAGGGCTACACATGCTTAGAAATCGATCTAGCCAAGCCTGACACCGTAAGCACGTCTGAAGCGCTTATGCATCACTTCGAAGAAGGTGAGTCGTCATTGTATTATCAGCTGTAGTTACTGCACATATGGCAGAGTTGCGCTCGCACATCCGTCTCGCCGCCATCCCCTTCGCACCCGTCCTTGTATCTCGCTCTTCGGGCACCTTGATCGCGCAGACGTATATCTCTTCGAATCCTGCTCGTGGTCTCATTATGATATCGCCTCCCCCCAACAACAATTCTGTTTCTAAATCACTGCTCCCTACACCCCTGGAAGAGTTCAATTACGAGCCGAAGTTCCCTATTGCTGTCCTGGGAGCGAAGGAGGATCTACAGAGGTGGAGACATGACAGTCGGCTAGGACAATACGGTATGGTTGATATCTTTGAGGTAGACGATACGGAGGGACAGGATAGCTTGTCCAAGATGGAGGTATGGATGGACGAGATCGGGATCTAACCAGTGGTGAGCGCCATTTCCCTTCCCCGCTTTGATTCTGTCTGCGACCTCGTCTCCACCATTCCTGTAGCGAGCCTGATTAGATGACCAGAAGGCTCGGTTTTTCATTGTGAGACGAAAGAATCATTCCCCAACTCTGCCTACTTGTCTTGTCCTGAGCGTTTGATTTTGTCGAGTACGATAGACGTTGCAAGGTGCGTATGCACCTTTTCGAGAGTAAATATGACATCGCGGGACTGCTGGCCCGGCTACATCTCAACCTACAGCAGTGGATGACAGGAACTCTGCGAACCGAGCTCTATTCGCTATATCTTTTCGCTCGTTCTCTGGGTGCTGGCGACTTCATTAGATCATATCGAGACAGAATGGCAACCATCACTTATTTGGACCGCTAGTTTATTCTAGGCTGACTATAAGATCGGCCAAGCAGCTGCAGTACTTGCGAGCGTACGCTGGGCTGCGCGGGATTGGCTGGTGCCATCAGTCCGGATGACCCCGATTGTTTTGGTGTCCGCCGTGGGTCCTCGCGGACTATTCCTCGGACTCTGTAACATCGAGCTTCGATGTCTCAGTTGCCCTTGTCTTGCCTTTGTCTTCTATTAGGTTCCTGACAACCTGTACCAAGGAAGGCCGAGGTACGCTCTCATTAAATATCTGTAATCCAAGCTCCCCGTGCAACAACAGCGAATTGTGGAACAATCGTCTGAGGCTCAAGTTCACGACTGGTGCAGCGGACAGACCGCTGGCCTAATCAAGGGCAAGCGCAGACAACGCCACCCTGCTTGCACAGATCCTCGAGCTCGCGATCGAGCAGATGCATGACATGGTGTCTTCTGGTTGATAGCGCTTCCACGTGCCACGAGATCTGCTTATTGTTCGGCGCAGTACATTGACCCTAGTTTAGTATGAAATCGACCTTCGCCCGACACCTCTGTCTTATAATGCCTCGCCCGACGTCCAAGATCCACGTATACCGGATCGCCCACCATGCATCGCTGCCTGCGTATGACAGAGATCATACACTGCATAGCTGAAACTATATGGTTAGAAAAACGGACCGACGATGACTGGGAGCTCCCTGATGCTCTAAGATCAGGCCCTGACGAGGATCTGTACGCCCTTGCCAGAACGTGCAGGGCATTCTTGGAGCCTGCATTGGACGCCCTGTGGCGAACCCAATTCCATCTCGGGAACCTTGTGAAGTGCATGCCTGAAGACCTGTGGGACCTCGATGACTCGCAGGAGCGCAGGCCAGTACGTCTATAGGCTTTCTTCAAATATCCAGCAACCCAGCTGACGCTGCGATATAGTTTTTCGTGAGAACGCCCCTCCCAACGGAATGGGAGCGATTCGATTATTATGCGAGGAAAGTGAAAGCCATCGTTATCGGGTCCGAATTTGACCACGAAGACCTCATCGCGGACGTCTGCGCGCGGGGGAAGAATCCCTTGTTCCCTAAACTGTGCGCCGTTAACATGTGGCTCGTTTCCGATACGTTCTCGTACTTGCCATTCTTCCTGACCCATCATGTGCGCCAAGTCCGCATTTATGTGAAGTGCGAGTGGTCCGGGAGAGGCCTGAACCGCTTCCTCGATTTCTTGCAACAACGGACTTCGAGGGTGGAATCTGTACGTCTCGAATATGAGGAGGATGTAGACGTGCCGTACGCTCCTCTGTCTGACTTCGTCACTCCTCTCGAATGCCTAAACACGTTCGAGTGGGACATCCCGTTGCCCTGGACGGACGTATGGGAGCTCGCGAAACTGCCGAATCTCCATACTCTGAAGCTGACAGTCAAGGATCCCGCTGTCAACCTGCACGGCTCCCCTTTACTTCCCTTCCCGGCACTGCTGGATCTCGACCTTACAATGGAGACTATGGAAGGCTGCCTGAATTTCCTGGATGCTCTCCGGCACCGCCCCTTACATTCGCTCGTGATAGAGGGCGATCGCACAGCACTGGACGACATCCCTTCCCTAATACAGTATCTCTCCCAGCCTCGCCTAACCGAATCGCTGAAAATCATAGTCATAAACGGTACCCTCGACGCTTTGTGGGTCCCAATACCATTCGAACGCTTTCGGCCCCTTCTTTTACTCAAACACCTCGAAGATTTCAGCTTCCGTCTGCAGTGCAAGTTCATAGCGGGGGACAAGGAACTGATAGAAATGGCCCAGGCATGGCCGCATCTGCGATGCCTCATCCTGGGTTACTCCCCGATGTACCACGAACCCGGCTTCACGCTCAACGGCCTCGCACAGCTCGTGAGACTCTGCCCTTGCCTGAATGACATCAGCATCCCCATCAACGCTGACATCTCAGAGTATGAACCCCTTCCGGTTGCGGAGCGAGAGCTGTACAACGGAAAGGTGACGATGCTGGCATTCGGGCGGTCGAAGGTTGGGGACCCGGTGTCGGTGGCGATGTTTCTATCGAGGCTGTTCCCGAACGTGAAGTTGGTTACCGGGCACGATGAGGCAGGAGGGTCCGCGGCATGGGATAAAGTCAGAGACTATGCCAAAGCATTCGCATCCGTGCGTCGCGAAGAGAGATTGTTGTGGAGAACACCTGCATAGCGCTGGGTGCGGTACAGGTTCCGGTTGAGTTATGGGTTCTTTTGGTCCATATCATAATCGAGGGTAAGCTTTCCACCAGTCTCCGAGACTGCTTGCTAATATATGCTAAGCAGAGAACATTCTGCGACCGTCGACGGGCTGAATGTGCACTGAATCTGTATCATCAGTTTCAGTACCACTGATTCTTGTGTATCATCAATCGACGAAATAGATTTGACCTCCGACTATGTCTTCCGAGGGATGAAACCTACGTAGATGCTCAGCCGTATGACGCATGATCTCGAATCTTCCTTCCAGGAGGGCAAGGTCCAACAATATCTCCGTCAGACTAGTGAGCTACAAATCACGGAGATACTCAACAAGGCAGGACGAAGGTCACAGTTCGGCAGTGATACTTGCGGTACCGCTACTCTAGAGAATCGGGCGCATTGAAGATATTTGGAGTCGTATCACTGAACTAGAGGCTGTATTGCATGCGCAGTTCGCGTCGTGTCTGACACACGACTACCCAGAGGATACCACTCGGAAACTCACAACGCAATGTCCTGACTCGCATGCATGACGGTCCTTGGTGTCCTTGCTCCCAATCACATTCCCATTCCGAGATCATAGTTGTACTCTCCGTACCCACCCGTAGACAGCGACGGTGGCAGGGCACTGGAGTCCGTACCGCAGGTGACGTTGGCATTGTCAGTGAGTTGGAGTTCGATCACCGCCCCTTGCTCGAAAGCGTCCCAGTCGATGTAGCAATTCGAGTGCCACGGTTGACCATTGATCGTCACGTTCTACCGGAGGGGAACATTCAAAGCTGAATAGAAAAGGAGCGCCGGAGAACTCTCACCTGGACAAATATCTTGCCTTCGGTTCCATTGGCAGGATTGCCCTCGAACCCGATTGCTTTGATGGTGGTTGTAGTGTTGAAGATCGGGTTGTAGAATGAAATTTGGGGGAAGTATGGGGAAGACAAGAGGAACTGTCGGGTTGCTGGAAGGGGGTACATCCCAGCGAGGTAGAAAGCGGCATAACTTCCCATGGCGCCTGGGTTGGCGCATTGTCAACTCGACTGCCTAATCATTTTGTTCATAGACATACCAGAATCTGTGCAGCCCTCGTGTTCAGTATCGATCCACTATGCAAAGAGGGAGTTTTATCCTTACCATCGTTACCCGGGAGTCCGTTCACGGAAGTATTGAAGTACTCGGAGATAACTTGTCTTGACCTCACCGTACTAAGACCAGGGGCGTTGGCATAATGATACATGAAAGGAATTTGTTGGGAAGGCTCGTCAGTTTCGTCGAAATAGTTCTGCAAGTTTATAGTCAGCAACAGACAGGATGACGTGATCGCTATGAAGCTACCTCGTCGATCAGGAAATTTAATCGGTCAATGAAATTCTGCACCCCTCCTTGCAGCTCGATGAGGCGCGCCGTATCGTGCGGGACGTACTGAGGACAAGATAAAAATGGATACTTCCACCCATAACGACGAATACTTACTTGGGAGTACTTCACATTAATGCAGGAACGATTTAGCTTGAGTGTGAAAACATCGCGAAAGACTGGGCTTACGACTAGGGGTGAACTCTCGTAGAAGCCATCATGGTTTGCGGCGTTCAGGTAACAAGTAGCCTGGGTGGGATCATGAACACTGCAATGCCTGGGGTCGGTATAGTTGAATGTTCCATTTGCGAACCGCGGCTATATCGCCTCGTGTCAGCTGAAGGTCGTTTTTTCGAACTGCAAATAACTCACCTGCATCATGCCAACGACAGAGGATGGACCACTCGGAACAGTAACATTGGGGTTCCATACATTCGCGAAGTTGCTGCTACGTTGGGCATACTGTCCATGCGCACGAGGCTTTAAAGAGAATCGGGAGGGCATATAGCAATAGCTCACCTTAGCGGCATCTTCCAACTTCCCCAAGATTTGTGCTACCTGAGAAATGGCAAAATCTCCGAAGGCATGCTGGAGGCATGTAGATAATAAAAATCAACATGTCGAGAAGTAGGGCGCTCTCGAGCTGCGACGTACCTCCAAAGTCCGTGAGACTTGTTTTGAATTAGTCCCTCCGGGTTCATAGCCATCCTGAGGGATCCAGCCTACCAAGGATGGGTTGAGTTACCATTACATGTAAGAAAGCCTATGGTCAAGCAAACCTAGCGATTTCCAGATGTTGACTTGTCGGCCTTCCAAATCCCAATTGGGAGGCTGGATCTCCGCATCTGCCAGTAATGCGTTGTAGAGGTCGGTGGCTGAGACATTCAGAGCAGCAGCCTGCTTGTAGTACCTAATGTGATGCGCTCATAAGACTCAGACAGCACACTGCGATCAATGGAGCACGAAGCTACTCACTTGACGAAGAACTCGCCGAGGATAGGGTCTCCGTCTGGCAAATGCTCTCAGCAGCATGCTCAGTAGACTATACTCTTGGCACTCACTGCTACCGCCCTGAATATACTGCTTTTGAGTTGCGCCACGACACTCGGGCAGCCAACCTATTTCAGAGATCTAGACGTCGTGACCAAGGTCGGGTAATAAATCAACGACCGTACCTTCGTGTTGCTGGATATTAATGAATCCTCTGACAATTCGAGCGAAGTCCACCGGTGCGTGCAGAGCATACAGCGAGTAGAGAGTGCGATAGGTATCCCACTACTCCGTCGCGACGTGTTAAGGATGGTAAACGGCGCAGGACAGACCACTAACGTTGCAGTATAGAGAATCATAGTATGGTTCGGTAGAGTTCCACAGAGGGTTTTCACCGGTGTCTGGTCGTTTCGCAGTTGGTCAGTGACTCTCATCGAGCTATCACCTCGACTCACAATCGGCTGGTACAATGTGAGTCCTGTACACCTACTCATGCTCGCGAGTCAGTCACGACATGATTGGGCATGTATGGTGAGGGACTAACCGAGGAATAGAAGAGTGAAACAGTCTCATTGTCGACTCCTGTGGGGTCCACCTGTATACGACCGAGCAACTACTCCACCCATAAAACCTGGGTCACTATGCGGAACATCCAACGCTTGAGACTCGACATGCCTCGTTCCAGGTTTCAAATGCCGAGTTTTTCACTCCATCGAAGTCCCATCCTGCCGTAGAATCAGGGATCTCCTCTTCGGCATTCGCACAAGCTTGATCTGCACTGATATAGCTCACGCCTAATTATAGGAAAGGTCCAGTCTCGGACGGCTATATCATACTCGACAGCCGAACTCACCTACGCGTACCAGGACCGAGCTGGTGTTGGCCGGGAAGGTGAGCAGAGCCCCTAGCTCGTCTCTAAATCCTGAGGAATGGACGGCATTAGTAATCGGATGTACATAGCACAATACTCCTGTGAGGCCCCAAAGCCATGAAACGTCAGGCGGACTCACCGTAGTACATTTGGTCGACGTTCTCAGTCCATCGCACTGGATAGTCAGCCAACCACGCCCCGTATTCCTCGATTCCAGCTCCCGGTTCACTCTGTCCGGGCACTTGGAAGTCGGTGCATACGTATAAACTATATCTACCTGGCCCAAACGACGCCTGGAATTGCGCACCGCCTGTGTGGAAAGTCGATCATGAACTAAGCACGCGCGTCTACGTGGTAGTAACTGACCCGTGACTCTTTTAGTGGTAGTGTTGATTTGCATCGATGGGTATGTGCTAGTCTGACTACCGTCATTCGTCACATCTACCACGATTCTCGGGTGAATGTATGTATTGTTGACATTTGTGTTGGGGTTCGAGGAGACATTGGACGGGAACGAGGACGGGAAGGTGTACCGATGCAGTGCAGCCCGACGCGATGCTGTAAGTTCAACACGGACACCGGTAGACTGATGATAGGTCAGATCAGAAGTTTGTCTTTTAGCGTGTTCGCTGCAAAGGCATGGACATACGAGATTCGTGCTGAAGTACCCCGGCTGAGCAAAATCGTCAGGACTACCTGTTATCCAAAGCAACAGCGATTCACGCATTAATTCGAGGACATTCTTGTAGTGCTCCGGGGGCGCGGCCACCTACCGTCCTCTAAGAGATTCCGCAGGACTTTTCGGCTCTCCACGCTGGTTTTGCAGTACTCAAAGTAGTCTTGCTCGCATGTCAGCAGAGGAAAGATCTTGAAATTGGACAACGATATGCCCTGTTATTCGCATGTCAGGCGAATCAAAGTGTGGCGCGCAGAGCTCAAACGTACACCCCCGGTCCCGCTATCGTGCAACTGGGAAAAGCCCGTCACGTTATATTGCGGATCAGCATCATAACCAGCTTGCTGGACGAACGATTAGACATGTCACTGGTGAATGCCCAGGATACTCACGTTCCCCGGAGAATCGGTGTCCATTCCGGTTTTCACCATTCCGTGTGGCAGAGTCGCACCTACGACCGTAGTGTTCCATTATACAACGCAAGAATCGACGGAATCCCTACCTGGAAACACATGACCACCATTAGTAGTGCCTATGAACAAGTTCACCAAGCTCGCAGGGTCCGTGATGAACGCCGAACGGGAAGATTTCGCGTATCCTAGAATAAGGATCAAACCTGAGAGGACCCGCATGGCTGGCAGAGTCGACAACCACGCGAAGCAAGGAACATGGGTGGTATATATACCTGGGGGCGGGGAAACCGAAGGGTGCATGGAGGCAGTCACATGCCATGCCGCAGGGTCATGTACGCGATTGATCAATTGGAAGGAGGCACAGAAGCAGTAACACAGGCATATCGAGAAAGAAGCGGCCGAACGGGCCTCGGATCCGGTAAGCTTCCGAGCAGGATCACGGACATCAGTTGTTAAGCAGTATACGTATGTCGCGTTTAGAATCTGGAAGGTATCGCAACTCAATTCGTCTCTACAGCACAGGTCCACGCACACGCACCTCACTCTTTTTTCTTGTGCCATTGGGACATAAGCCGTTATCGAACGCTTCTCACCTTATTTGTAGGTTCTACAGAATTAATCAGGAAGATGAGGTGCCCTGCAAATTGAGTGACGCCGAGGCTGTCGAGTAACAAGGGACGCGCTTGAACACGGCTTGCCTGGCCTTGGTGGAGCATACCCGACCCAATAACATTACAAGTGAGATCATACAAACTAAACATCGAGGCCTTCGACAGTTACTCATGTAAGAAAACAAGATAGAACCTGCCGGGATAATATATCGCTCCTCGAGTGAGCGTTACGGCTCTATGTCATGTAGAAGTACGAACTGCACCTTGTCTGCAGCCGCCCCGTGCAGTCGTTTGGTAGCATTCATCGGGTCTTCTGACCCGAAGCCCCAGGTACTCAAGCGGACCCGAGTCAGCGAGAAAGAGACCCTAGCTTTGTAGAACTTTTCACAACAGCGGCCTTAATGAGACTGGATGATCGCATGTAGACGTCGTTCGGGCTGCATGCCTCCTGAGATGCCGGATTACCACTTTGCCACATACGTTTCATCCTGTCCCTCCAATCGATATCTGGTGTGACGACGCAGATAGAGCTATTGTTGGTTGCCTGGCGCTGCGCAACGCTACGGCGGCAGTGGATGGCTCTGTGTGCTATAGCTAGCGCTTGGACTCGACGCCACATCGCTATGGCCGGGTCTTGCCGACGAGCTTTATTCTTACCCTCATCGTTCTATAGGGTGCGAGCTTACAACTCAGTATGAGACCCGTTGTCAGACACTTATAAGATTCTAGATATTGGTTGCATATGCCACATATGATGCGCATGAATTATTACTTGCGTTGAAGCTGGCAGGTCAAATCTCATTCTTATCACCCTCGTTGCATCTATAAAGCCCTAACCACACGATGATTTTACAGACTTAATGGAGAAACTTCCCTATGAACTCCTGTCCCTAATAACCCTCCAGGTCTGCAAGGACGGTGGCAAGACAGTCTGCTGCCTTCGGCAGGTGTCTCAGTACATCTCGGCCGCCGTGGAACGATACAGGTTCTATTCTGTCGCGTTACACGGACGCAAGCAAATCACGGGCTTCTGGAAGAGCTATCAAGCAGCCCCCAAGTACGTCAAGGAGAATATCCGGCACCTTTTCCTGTCCGATGCGAAGAAAGGCAGTGAGACCGGCTCAAGGGTTTCCGAGGCTTTCGCTGGTGCCCTGCGAGGGCTCCTAATCGCCGTTTCACAGTACCTTCGCACTCTGACGTATCTCGTCTACAATTACCGCCAAGAAGAGCCTTACAATGTCCTGATGAAGCATGTCTTTCCCCTACTGACACACCTGACCATCCGAGACGCTTCACTGTCTTGGAGAGCCAGTCGCCGCCGCAAGACGTGCGCCGTGCAAAATCTCGAGGAGGCCCTACCTACCACGCCGCGCCTCAGTCATGTCCATCAAGCTCACGCCTACCTCCCGAATCGCGTGGCGACAGAATTTCGTATCCTGTCTAACATCGGATGGCGAACCTCTGGTGATACACTGCGAAGTGTCCATCTCTCAGGTTTGCACCTGGCTACTACCGTGCTAGTGTACATACAGGAATACCTGGGATGCGTCCCACCTTCCACCTCGCCTTACGTCAACGATCGCCGCGGCCGTCTGCCGTCCGGGGTTCAGCGACTCACTCTACAGCCTGCAATTCAGGATGGACAGTACGAACACCTTGTCACTATGCACAACAACGAGAAGAAGAAGCTGCGTGATCTACAAACTGAGCGCGAAGGACAGGACGGTACACAGTTCATACTTCTGCCTGATGCGCCGCCATGGACACAAGCGCAGTTCAGAGAAGAGTGGCTGCAAATGCAGAACGACTACGTATACAATTAGAAAATATGCAGGTTTGTCACCCGGACCTCCCTTCCGAAATGGTATCCAGACATACTTATACTAGGATGGACATACAGTGCACTGGCTCGCACCATGAACTACTCGACATGCTCCTCAATCATCTCTCTCAGCCTCCCCATTCTCGGCACAAACTTCACTTCAAATGGCAATGGATGCACGTTCGCCGTATCCGTAAACGCGAGCGTATCTATTGGCTTATGCGGGTCTTCAAAAATCTTGAATGCCCACAGGATCAAGGCGGTATTGATGAACACGGATCTATATAACGGAATTGATATATTGTCCCCTATCATGCAGGTTGCAGACGGCTTACCGGACGGCTAGATGTTGGCCGGGGCACACCCTAGAAGAAAAGAAACGATCGTCAGGGCATCGACGGTCATGGGATGGGGAGGGCAGAATGGGTATTTACCGCCTGCCGAAACCAAAATTGTAGAATTTTAGGTCGTTTCTGATCTGTCCGTCTTCGCCGATCCAACGCGGGGGCTTGAACGACTCGGGATCCGGGAACACGACGGGGTCACGCCCTATTGACCTGCAGCCTCCAATTCAACAAGGGAGTGGACAGAGAATGAAGTCACGCAACGAACCAGTGGTTGCCGATTATCGTAGCGCCCTTGGGGATACAGTAGTTTTTCTATCTGGGCAGTGAGTTACCCAGAAATGGCAGAAGCATTGCGCACACGTACCCAGAAGATATCCTTCGTAGCCTTATGCCCAAACCCTGTTCGCGGGCTCAGCCCTCACGCTGCGACACAAACCAATCAGATAGACTAACCGCCAGCGCTGACCGGTCTCCACCTGAAAGTCTCCAGCACGAACGCCATCGTCTGCGGGAGCATATCCATGTCGCCGAAGGTCGGCACTGGCAACCCGAGGATCAATTCTCCGCCCTTTAGCAGGACAACACTAGCGAGAAAGCTTACGTCGATCACGACCAACGACGCTGTCCAGTTCTTCCTGGACTTTTGCCTGGGCCTCGGGATGGGTAGCAGCTGCCATGATTGCTATAGTAATCGCCGCAGCACTCTGGGATTCAACGATTTGTGAACATCAAATGCTGGCTGTGAAGGTGAGATGAAGCTACCGTGTCTGAGCCAGCGCCGAACATCGACCCAGCCAGATAAGCAAGCTCGTCGTCTGTCAGGTCGTATTCGGTCTGGCGTTCGAGGAGGTACTTTGCAAATGAGGGTCGAGCTTGGCCAGAATCCTGCAGGCAGTGCCATAAAAACGAAGGCTGCTGGAGAACATGGAGAAGATGAAACACACCATTTGTTTACGGACGCCGTCCAGCTGGCCCTTGAACAACGCCAGCTCCTCCTTATGCCACTGTCGCAATGTAGTAAGGTATCCGGGGACATATCTAACCACGTATAATGAGGGTTCGGTTCCGAGGGGGGCCAAACCGATCCTTACCTCAGGATCGGATAGGCATCGACCATCCACTTTCCAGGAGTCAACGTAACGCCCAGTCGGACGAGGCATTTCTGCACTTCCTGCACTACCGGGTCAGAGTACGACGTGGGTGTTGTCTTTCCATACGTGACGGACATGACCACGGACGCTGCGTATCTACAAGTCCAGCATCCATAAGCCGGGAAAGGCGTGGTAGCAAGGGTCCCCTACGCACCGCTTCGCGTGCGACTGATGCTCGGACGGGCTGTCGAGAATATCCAGGACAACGTTCTTTGCGTTGGCCATTTGGATCGGCTCGTACGTTTCGGAGACCTTCTGCTGCAGCTGCGAATGGAGCGCTCTGACAGACGCCAGCTTGAGTACAGAGGTTTACGGGCGTGTATGTGGTGCACTCACCTGCGAAGTTTCTTGATGCGATCACCAGCGCCGGCGAGGAGCGTCCTCATGCCGCCCGAGAGCGTCTCTCCAGCAGCTATTGACCGAGGACGGTCGACTGTGTTCGCACCTTCCTTCTCGAGGATATCCACCGCAGCCTTGGGTTCATGATTAAGTTCAACATCCCCTGGCATCATGAGCATAGACTCCGTCGTACCTGGTACCGCCCAATGATGACGATGATATTGCGGCCTTGCCTCAAGGTAAAGAGCGGGCCATACTCCTTCGTCCACTCCTCGAACTTGCGGTGCGCACTAGACAAGTCAAATACGAAGAACCAAGAGACACTGGTGTATCAGACTCACTGAGGCCTAGGCATTGTATTGCCATACAACCAATGCCCCGGAGGACCTGGCGGCAGCAACCCATGGGCACCCGCCTTGCTCGTGAACTTCGTGTACACCGTCGCACAGAGCAAGGCCGCGCATACCAGCAGCGCGCCCAGCTGCACCGGTGTCAGGCTGCTCGAGTACTCATACAGACCGGCCATCCTCTACGCCTCGTGAGGGTACGAGACAAGCTAGACAGACATGTAGTAGAGCCCAAGGTAATTATAGTCGCTGATCACGATGGCAGTGCGTGTCTTCGTCTTTACGGGGAATTGAGAACTCGTGCTGGGGATAATTCCGTATATCGAAGCTAGTCCTGGACCCCTATTCGGAATTCCTGCCTGAGTGCTGTCTGCGTTCAACCTGAATGAATCGCGACTGGAAGAAATACATACCCGCTCATCACCTGGGTAGCGTATCTGGCAGAGCCTCCTGGATCATGACGTCCGAATCGGCTTTGTGCTGGTCATCGGACGTCTGTGCGGGGAATGCGGGGAAGTTTGTTGAGGTCTCAGTTTCCGGTACCTGCCTTCTCTGGCGCGAAAGTCAAGGACCACCTTCGCAATTCTGCTTATGCTGCAGGACGAGTATCCATTCAGCCTCATATGTTTAATTCACATGGACGGAGGATATGCCTCCAGATGTGGCAAGGGCTGCATATTCCATTGACAGATTGAAAGCTGGCGACGAAGACACAAGGCGCGTCTATTTGTCTCCAACTTGAGTTGGAGTGAATGTGTGGTCTCTCTCCTGGCACAGGCTGGCAGCGTGAAACGTCCAACATAGTCTGACTCGGACTATCTCAAATTCTATGCAAACTGGGGCAGCGTCAACCTCTGGAATCTCGCAGGTTCCTCTTCCGCATGGTCATCAGACTCAAGCCTAAGATATTTGGAAGTATCTTTCTATCATCAGAGTCAAGCATAGTCACACCATCATCACACCGACGTCTCCTGGCGACAATCCAACTCGCGATCTGGAGAGCCATAATGTGTCATACTGCATTACGCATAGAGCATACCGCTGTACGGAGGAAAGATAATTTTGGAGGCAGAGGGAGGGCGTCTTGCAATGGATACAATGCGAGTGCGGAGAGCAAAATGCAAGTGAAGGCGGGAGGAGGGACCCAAGGAGGAGACAACACAGCGCGGACAATACAACATCCAACGACGGCAACACCGCTTAATCGAACAGACCGAAGCCCTGAGCGCGAACAAGTCAGCGAGAGGCACATCTCCATCCAATCCAAATGTGAACGCACCATATCCTCGTCGGACTCCTCCTTCTCCTCCTCCTTCTCTTCGGCCTTCTCCTCAGCAGCAGCAGCGGGTGCACCGCCGGCAGCGGCGGGTGCAGCGCCAACTGCGGGGCCGGCACCGCCGGCGCCGACGTTCGATAGCAGGTCCTTCACGTTCTTGCCCTCGAGCGCCTTGGCGAGGAGCGTTGCCCAGATGGGCTCGAGCTCAACGTCGGCCGCCGACGTTAATGCGATGATCTTGTCGGACTACAGCGGATATCATCATGAAAAGGCTGAAACTGCGGGACTCAGAGGATTGTACGCACGGTGATCTCGATACCTTCATCGGCGAGGATGAGGGCGGCGTAGGTAGCGGCGAGTTCAGCGGTGGCCTGTCGGTCAAACCGTCAGTACATCCAGTCCATCCCGTGCCCATCCACCCCAACCAAGACTCCTGATCCCGCTACTTCTCTACTTCCAACTTGCACAAAGCGGTAGAACTCACCATTGGGATAGATTAGTGCGTCGGGGCCGTTAACGTCGGTGGAAGAGCTCGTCGATGTCGGTTGTGGTGCTTGCCGTGCAAGTTTCCGGCGGTGAGTGGGCGACATGCCACGTGGACACCACGCAACGCACGTGGGCGGCGATTCGCGCGGGTGGCGTGGCTTCGAATTCGCGTCTTGACGGACTTACGGAAAGCCTCATTTCGTGCGAAGTCTTTATCGCTGGTCGCTGTTGCGCTCGTTCTAGAGGCAAACGCGACGTAGGCGACACGCATATATCCACCTCGAACGATGGCGCCGTCGAGCCCGAACAAGAGGGCCAAGGAAGAAGAGGTGGACGAGTTAGAGGCGGAAGAGCTTCTGCACACTTCGCCGCCGCGCACTCCGGCGTCGGGCAGGAATTTGAGGAGCGTGAGTGACGAATAATAGGTGGCTTGGTGTCTATTAATCCATCGACGTGACCACACAGTCAGCGAAGGGGACACCGACAACTGGGACGCCACAGAAGAAGCCGAAGAAGGGCCCAAGCAATGCGACAGCCACAGCTTCACCCACCCAGAAGGCTCGGGAAGGAAGGCCGTTGATCAATAATGCAAGGGCGTTGGCAGATGCTCGATACGGTAAGTCCGCGACTGCGAGCCATACCCGGTCTTTGGCTCATCAAGCTACTTCAGCTCGCCGCTATAGGGCCTTGGCGTTGTCGCTCCGCTCTTCTTCACCAGAGGATACGGTGGACTCTCGGACACATGCAGTCCAGAAAACCCCAGGTCCAAAAGAAGCGTCCAAAAGAGACACACCGCGTGCATCTCGTCCAACTACCCCTCCTGCCCGTGCAAACGACGAGGCATTCGGTACATCCACGAATACTCCGGAACAGGCGTCCGAATCCGGACCAACCCAGAAGAACAAGCCTTCGACGCAGCGACCATCCACAACCGGGCCCACGTCTCACGCTGCACCCCTACCTACCCCAAAGGCAGCAGCCACGACAGGTCCTTCCTCGCCGGCACGTAAGACACCCCGTAGACTTGATTCAGAACCAGAAGTGTCATCCCCGAAACCTACATCCGAACGCGATGGCAATGGGGAGGCCGCAGCCTCCCCTGAACGTCCCAAGGACCCTCCGCCTACGGTGGAAGATGCAGCCGTCGCCCCAGAACCAGTCGCTGCAGCAGCTGACTGCGCTCAGACTCCAGCCGCGGATGGTGCATCAGCGTCGTCGGTGAATACGCACAAACCCGCGTCCGTACCGGGCCCTCCCCGTGCCGACGCCTCATCGTCGTCCATGCCTCCTCCCTCTCAAAGCCGTCGGCCCTCGCAGATCCCCATCCCGTCACCCCTGTCTTCGCCCAGGCTCAAGGCCGCAGAGGCCAGTCTTCGCGGTCACGCCTCGAATGGCGGGAGCGACGGCGAGTTGGAGTATACGGACGACGACGAGCTGCTGAATCTGCGGCAGATGCTGGGTGACATCCAGTCAGTCGGGTCGCAAGCGCAGTCGCAGTCGCAATCACAAGCGGGGCGGCAGGACTCCCAGCCAGAGCCCAGCCAGAAAAAGCTGATCAAGAAAGAGCCCCGGGAATCGCTCTCCGGGAAGGGCAAGCAGCGCGCCGTCACATTTGACTTTGATGACGTCGAAGGAGCTGACGTCACCCAGCCCATCGACGTCGACATGCTCGAGTTGAGCGACTCGCCGCCGCCGCCCGCTCAGGCATTCAAACCCAAGAAGCGGAAGCGCGCGCTGTCGTCCCCGCGAAGCCTCTCGGACTCACCTGAACCTACCCCGCGGAAGAAGATCAGCCCCCCACCTGCGTCTCAGCCCAAGACTAAGAAGCCGCGTTCGTCCTCCGTCCGCGGCGCTAACAAGTCGCGCCATCGGCATCAGCGATTCTGGCACCTCGACGGGTCGGTCGTTGTGCAGGTGGAAGATGTCCTCTTTCGTCTCCACAGGTCGCGGCTCGTGAGTGAGTCAGAGTATTTTGCTCAGCTATTCGGCCAGCGTGGTGAGGGCGATGACGATGATGACGAAGAGTCAAAGGACTTGGACGCTGATCGAGAAATCATTGATCGCTGCCCTGTGTACAAGATTCGAGACCCTCATGTCACGTCTAGGGAGTTTGAGAAACTCCTGTCCGCTATGGAGGATGCAATGTAAGTCCCATTGTGATGTATTATTGGCTGAAGATCTAACTCTTTCCTTCGCAAAGTACATACTTGAGACAGCGACCCTCCTTCTCGGTCATCCTGTCCGTTCTCCGTGTCTCGACCCACCTCCGGTTCCCAAAGTACCGTGACTGGGCCCTCGCTGAGGTGGAGGAGGTCTGGGGAGGTGACCTTGAAGGTATCATCCAGGAATGGAGAAGCCAGGGAAATGGTAACCGCGGAGGCATCGTCCAAGCCAGACGAGCAACACGTATGATCACGGTCGCAAAGGAGTGCGGCCTTAATGCCCTTCTTCGCCGCGCGTTCTACGAGGTCCTTCGGACCGCTGCGTTTGGGCAAGGGGATGATTTCTTTGACGATGATGAAGATGTCGACTCTGCGCTGCTCCCGAAAGTTGACTTCAACAAGCTGCTCGCCATCAGGGAGCATCTGACTGCTGAGTGGATGCAAGCCTGCAAGGCCCCAAGATTTGCCTGTCCTCTGGCGGCTCGAGCTACACCCGGGTCAGAGCAGCTACCGAGTCCAGGCTCGTCTACCCCTGCCCGCACATGCCCGACGGAAGCGGAGAAGATGCTTGCTTGGGCTGATGTCATGGACTCGGAAGATGTGAAGAGTGAGTATATCTATGACCCCATCTGTGGACTCTCATCTCTTCTAGAGATGAACTGGGGAACTGGAGGGTTTGGATATTGCGACGACTGTGTACAGATGAGGAAGAGTATGTGGACTGCCCATAGGAAGAAAATATGGGAGAACATGGAGGTTTGGCTTGCATCAGCTGGCCTCTTATGATAGCTGCTTGTGCTTAAATGAACATTTACACTATATACTTGGTACAGATGATGCTACAGCAATTGTACTGGTAATCAGATAACCATGGTGCTGATACTTGAGACTGGTGGAAGGCAATTGATCATGGAAAGATGCATATACATTCCCCTTCGAGTGTTGTTATGAACTCGGATCGGTGATACAATGTGATACCTATGGGACTCAGATGATCAACATATTGCTGATACTGAACTCATTCCTTCATTTTGCGACCGCCGTGTTTAGGCTTTGCTACCCGTTCATAGGTTGAAAGTATTCGGGTATCCCACCGCGGTGTACTAGCAGTTGGACTGGTACCAAATTCTGATGCGGTGGTGTTGTGCTCCAGCACCATTATCTCTGAGGTGGGTGTGGTTGGCAGTATGTCGGGAACATATCCCCGAAGCAAGTTTCGTACAGGGGGCGAAATGTGTACTTCGTCTGGCCGCAGAGGGTGCAGGGGAAGTGGTGTCTTGACATCACCAATGGCTTGAGGTTGATAGAATAGAGGCGGTGAGTGCACAAAAGGAGTGACTGCCGGTTTTGCATTAGGCTTGAGGAATCGGAATAATCTTGCCATGACTGTGCGCTGGCCGCCATCCTGTGGCTGACCCTCCGATGGGCTGGATGCATCGTCAGCCTCTTCCCTGCCAATGCAGCGACCAGACTCGGCCAAATCAACGAACGATGCGACCCCTAGAGCCGCCCTCGGGTTCGACGACCGGAACAACGATCGCATGAACAGGGGTGCTCTGTTCTCTGCCTCTTTCTCGACGGATGGGCTACCGCAGGAAGAGCTGCAGTAATCTGAGCGTTGTTCAGAAAGATATAGGTAAGCAGAGGCTGTATGTGCACACCTGACTGAGGGCTCATAACCGGGTTCTGCCTCTGCATGGCATGGATTTTTCGCAGGAAGAAATAGGTAAGGCCGGCAATTAGGCATAGTGGCAGCACAATCGCTACCGCGATACCAGCCTTGATAGAATCCATCGGTCCAATTCGACTTGCGATAGCGGCCGCACCCGCGGCCCCCGCGATCGAGGACCCTGCGGCAGACGACGTATTATACTCGATGTAATCCATGTATACCACCGAACCGTTCTCATTGGTCATGGTAAGATTGTGCTGACCGTACGGGAGAACACCGGAGTCATAGTATGCCTGACGGTATACTGGGTGGTCCGCTTGGGTGACGTTGAAGCGGTTCGTCGCGACAGAAGCCCCATAGCCGGTGTTGGTGGCGAGCTCAAAGGTCAGATTGACACCGGAGACACCGATAGTTCCGTATACTCCAACCCATGTACCTTCGATCGGGTTAAGGGGTTGTTCCTCTGTATCACAAGTGTGTGACGTACCGGTAAAAGAGAACGTAGTTCTGTCGCCTGAAGTACTGGTATAATGGACGGTGCCCATATATTCGTCCGAAGGGTCACCTCCGAGGGTCCAGTTCCCGAAGTAATGTAGCTCGGGAGAAGCGTCGTCGACGATGACTTGATTCATGCCGGCTATGCTTTGCGTGGATACCAACTTGCATGAATAAGGCCGACTCTTATAGGTGGAACTGCCGCGCCGCCCCAGCTATACCGTACGACGCAGCTGCTGTCGCGAAGGATCACGAAGAACAAGGTCAAACCATCGAAAGAACAGTTGGATGTGTCAATCAAGTGAGCTGCATATATGGAATACCACACATTGAACCTCGCTGCGGAACGTCATGCCTGCTCATATGGAGTGAGGACTCGGAATAGGCGCACGGACGGAATCAGTCAAATGAGGCGAGGATCGAAAGTAACCGTCATGTGTCGTGAGTCCTGTTCGAAGGAGTATTTTCTGGAACGCTTGCCACTGTCAAGTCATTCGAGCCCGGGGCATGGAGGGGGGTCGCGTTACCTCAATAACGGCTTGGCGTCACTAGCCAGCACAAGTCGTACCGCCGACCGCTGTTGTTGAAAGTTCTAAAAGACCGTAGCCAGCATCAACGCCCAGGGTTGTCTGGGCATTCGTCGTTACTAGAGCACAGGAATCAGAACAGACTAGTGGCGCCGGAACAAGCGTCTCACTTACCGAGATGAGGTGGCTGATATACTGATGCCACATCAGATAGTACGCAACGTGCAGATCCCAGCCTTGCGTAACTCCCGCATATCCTCGATGACATTGGGATTCGATTCCTCCACACAACATTAGTGTCGTTGGTACACTGGCTGCCCTGCTCAATCAAGAACCGCCCGGAACTCGGAGCCCGCCGGTGGTAACTGCATTATCATGTATGCATACCCATGAGCGCATATATACCAGCTCGCTCAGGATCTGGTCAGAAACCGAATGCATGCGTACTAGTAACTTGGATCATGATCACGCAGCGGTACGCTGTGAAGAGGCAGGACATGAGACTGCCTCCCAATGCCCTGGCATACGCTGCATCCCGAGCATATTGCGCTGAGCGGCGATGCTCTCGCGGCAGAAGAGAGATGAAAAAGACACACGTATTGAAATATGAGGATAATCGCGACGCCACCCACAAAGGCCAGCGGATCACAGCCACAAATCGTCGACGCGTCGGCTCGAACTGATCATGATTGGCTGCTTCAAGTAGAACATGAAAATGAGCTCGATGGTCAAGAACTCCTCCCCCAAAGCATATTCCAACAAGCTCATGGCAATTCGGGGACATCTTACTACTGAGCCGCGAGTGGATGCAGGGTTACGTACTAGTACGCCTGGGATAGAGCCGTACCGAATTCCAGTTCTTCGGCCACCACCGTGCTCACGCAAGCTGAGGAGACGCTTTTCTGGTTGGATACTATGGACTTTTGACGATGTCAAGAGTGAATACATTTATGACCCAATATGCGGATTGTCACTCCTGCTCGAGTTCGAGTGGAGGCCTGGTGACCACGGGTACATGTACATCTACTGCGACAAATGTGAGAAGATGAGCAAGACTGCGTGGACCGCGCAGGAGAATAATTGTAGTATGTGCTTGCACAACATCTATCCTGTACATTTGATGCATGAGATGCAGCCATCGGCACCAAAATGCATGAAGAGACAAGTGATGGGACTCTTGGTCTGATGAATGAGAGTAATCACGACGGACGTGCAAGTTGTGGAACTCGAATGGTGGACGCCACGCTAGCAAAACACTCATTCCTTCATCTTGCGACGACCGCGCTTAGGTCGTTCGCAGGTTTCGAGTATGCGCGCGTCCCACCTTGGCGTACTCGTCGTCGGACTGGTGCCGAACTCCGACGCCGTCGTGTTGTGTTCGAGGACCATAATCTCTGACACTGGGGTAGTGGGCAATACATCGGGAACGTATCCCCCAAGTGGATTCCGAGCGCGGAGAGGATTGTGAAAGTCGTCTCGCCTTACAGGACGCAGAGGGTGCGGCGCTTTTACGTCCGCGGCTATTTGGTCCTGATAGAACGGAGGCGGGGGATGCACGAAAGGCGTGACGACCAACTTCGGTTTTGGCTTCGTCCTGAGAAACGGGAATAGTCTCTGCATAATAGATTGTTGAGGAGCGTCCGAGTCACGCTGGGGCTCCAATGGACTCGGCGGATCGACGGCCTCGACACAGTCAACATAGCGAGCGGACTCCGCCAAGTCGACGACCGAGGCGGCTCGTGAAGCGGTCCTCGATTTCCGTGGCGCAAATAGAGAGCGCATGAACATGGATCTCGGTTCTTGGTTGACCTCCTCCCTCTCAGGCGGACTACCAAAGGAGGAGCCGCTGTACCCTGAAGGGCCTTCAGGAAAAATGGGAGGAGGGAAATTCGGTGGACGCACCCGACTGAGGCCTGATGACCGCGAGCCGTTTCTCGACGGCGCGAATCTTCCGCACGAAGAAATAGGAAAGGCCGGCGATTACGCAAAGAGGCAGCACGATCGCTACTGCCATAACCGCCTTGGTCGAAGCCAGAGGTCCGCCGCGGCTTGCGACAGCGGCCACCTGCGACACCTGCGAAGTTGTATTGCCCGGCGATGCCGAGGAGGAGGAGGAGGAGGAGTTATACATGACGTAGTCGAGGAAGACCTCAGAGCCATTCTTGTTGGTCATGGTGAGGTTGTGAACCCCATATGTGAGGGCCCCGGAGTCGTAGTACACCTGGTGGTACACGGGGTGGTCCGCACGCGTGACGTTGAAGCTGGCAGTCGCGCCAGGGCCGTCGCCGCCATCCAGAGCGAACGTCAGATTCAAACCGGGGAAACCAATAACGCCGTACACCCCGACCCATGAACCTGCAACCCGGTCATGATTTCCAGACACTATTGGACTCTTTCATCAAAGGTGGCTGGCCTACCTGTAAACGAGAACGTTGCCGAGTCGCCTGCGGTGGTGGTGTAATGGGTAGTGCCCATGTACGTGTTATTAGGATCGCCTCCCACTGTCCAGTTCCCGAAGTAGTGCAGTTCCGGAGACGTGTCATCGAGGACGACCTGAGCCATGTCCCCCGCGGAATGAGTCGGTGTTTATGAATGATGCGAGGCGACTTCTTAAAGGATAGAGAAGCTATTGGTCGCACCGTGGCGCCGTTTCAGCCTAGTGCGCCCTCACCCGCGATACCAGAAGACGCAGCCGCAGCCGCAAACAAAGTAAACGATCAAGTCGAGCATCAAGAGAACGTCGATCAAACTGGTCGCATACACGGAAGACAAGAATCGGGCCTTCGACCTAGCCGCAGGGTCTCAAGTCCTTAGTCCAGGCTGGCACAAGGCATCACTGAGAACTCGGAACACAGGTGCTCTGACGGTATCAGTCAGATGTGACGATCATCGAACGTAGGCGTCGTCTCCTCGTGTACGGCGTGCAACACCTCAACCGACGGAACGCCTCCAAATAATTTTGTTGGAAGTACTATGCGCTGGTAGGCTTGTCAGACCACCGTCAATGCTACGGAACATATCAACACACCAACACGCGCAAAGCTGTTCCCGGTCTAGACATCCCGCGTCTATTTAAGTAGTGATCAGACCAACAAGATGCGGCGGGACAAACGCCCCTTCACTGACCAATATGAGACGAGGACTGCGTTGGATAAATCGTGCACATCCCTACCTAGCGCAAATGCCGCAGAAGGTCAGCGCCACAGGAATCCCTGGCCGCCTGCGGAAATAGGCAAGTAGGACGCACGTTTCCCCCACGACGCACCGGCAGGCGCGACGTTACCGAAATACTCAGCCCGAGGGTGAGCTCAAGTAAGTTATAATGTATAACCACTCAACTCCTTGGTATCACCAATATCAGCGAAGTATAACAAACTTGAAGCTTGAAGACCCGCGACTGAGGGTAACACCATATGTCGCGAAGAGCAGTGGATCACCAACACGCAGGCACGACCTCCGACCTCCGATCAGTTGACCTGATCGCCCGCTGGCTCGGAGCCGCGTGTAACCTGTAGGAAATGCATCAGAAATCACAGCACACACATACAGCAGACCGCATATACGCGGGCTCACTGAGACGAGGCAGTCATGCATATATGAATACCCAAGGGGAAACCGACTGCCACGCCGCATCCCCGGAATACTCTGTTCAAGAAATACGTTGAGGGGACCACAGTACTCAGCATAGAAAAGAGGGGATCGCAGACACCGGCGCTGATCCAACCCCGCCTATGAGTATGACTGGACTGCACCACGTACGAATCTGAGAGCCCGCTCTGCGAGTATACGTATCCACTAGGTTCCCATAGGACAGTAACGCCCGACTAGAGCAACGACGCCGACGCAGACGCCGACCGCCGTCCAAACCTTTCTTTCTTTTTGCCGAACGATACAGCGCCCACGGATTTCCAGCAACAGGATATCAACTACACTCTGTACGCCCTGCTCGAGAGTCGGCGCTTCCCCTCATCTGGCGGCGGCGTCAGTATGAGAAACGCACGTGCCATCAACTCACAGCTCACCTGCGCCTGATCCAGGACGGAGCACAGTGACGCGCACATATCCTGCCTTCCTATTATCGGGGTCGCCAAGTATGCACCGAGACGCGACGGACGCGGCGGGATATATGTCCGCAGAAACTTGAATGGAGCGCGGCGCGCCGAAAGTCCCGAGAGCAGGATACCAGCTATACCCACAGCCTTGCATGAAAACTCATAGCCGCGCCGTCCGTGATCACAACTTCCACGCCGTCAACCCACCTGCGCATATAGCGAAGAACCGGGGACGATTACCGTCCGCGAAGTGCGCGACGAGCGACTAGTGCCAATGCGACAGTCACTAGATTATTATCGGTTAAAATCAGAGATAACGAAGCGGGATGGAGAACAGGGGCGGGAGCGATGGTACGCAATCCGCGGCAACGGGATGAATGAGGGTGAGTGCGTGACCGTATTGGCAGGAGGCTACGTATGACATGGGGAAACGGGAATCAGCGGTATGCGAGTAAGGCCAGCGACACCCACCTGAGATCTCACTTCGGTGCTACGGGTCCACTCGTCCTCGAAAATCTAGACAACGGACGAAACTCGTGTATTTCTACACTCGAGAACCGCGGGCAATATAGCGAGAGATCCATGTGAATAAGATCAGATTGCACACGTTATAGACTGGGGATATACAGATAATGATACGAGAAGCAGCGGGCCAGCGTCATGTACGCAACCAAGCCGTCTTTGCTATCTTCTTCTGTTTCTTCTGTTCCTTCCACCGATCCTGGATACACCAAATAACATCAGTACTCCGCGCATACATCCACACCCCACGCTCCCTTCCGTCACAGGCGCTCGCAGCCGCACCCTCGCAAACCACAACCGCACTCACCAAATCCTTCTTCGTGGGCCGCTTCCTCTTCTTCCCCTCGCGCTCCTCCTCCTCCTTCTGCAGCGCGACCTGCCGCTCCCACTCCGCCATGTCGAAGTACACCTCGCTCATGCGCTTCATGCGCTCGTACTCGCTCAGGTGCCCGGGGTCGCGCGCGTCGGGCCGCGCGAACGCGCCCGTGCGCGCGTTGAACTTGGCGGTGAACTCGAACGGCTGCGGGCCGGCGCCGCCGGGCTGCGCGAGCGACGGGTCGAGGAAGGCGAGGGACGGGTCGATGCCCTGCGCGGCGGCGGCGGCCTGCATGGCGTACAGGTGCGCGACGGCGGGGTTGCTGCCCGGCCCGGGGGACGTCGCGGAGGACGGGCCGGCTTGCGCTTGCGCCTGCGGCTCAGGGGACGCGGATGCGTGCGCGCTCGTGGACGCGGAGGGCTGGGAGGAAGCGGGCTGCAGGGGGTTCTGCCAGGTCGTCTCGTTCGTGCGGGCGTTGTAAAAGTAGTACGCGTTGTGCGCGGGCGAGTAGATCGCCTGCCATTCGTGTTGTGTTGCAGGCGCCGGTGCGGGCGAGGAACTATCTGTAGCAGGCGCCGCGTTCTCAGGAGCAGCGTCGCCCTCGGTCTTGGACGACTCCTGCGCCGGCGCCTCGGACTCGTCCTTCTGTGGTGAAGGGGACGCCTTGCCGTCGGCGCTGGCGTTGGGGGACGGCGAGGGAGAGCGGGTCTTGCTGCTGCTGGGTCGAGGACTGGGGCTGGACATGGCAGTGGCGACGAGCTCGAGCGCACTGCAGGCCGTTCGGAAGCTCTCCGCGGGTGTTTGGCCATGTTTACTCATATACTAAATGTAGTAACTGTAGTATTCACGATCAGGCTGCCGAGTCCCTTTTTACTGATGTCGAGTCCCAAGCGAACTTGGGACTCGATATACATACTTAGATATACGCCTCATGATTGCTGCATCGTAGAGACTTTCTACTAGTACCAGAAAGATACATCGCAGTGTAAGTACACCGATGTCGCATAAACTATCACAGAATCTTGGGCCGCGTACCTGTCATCCGGATGCCCCCGCAACCCTACTGGAACTTGTGGCACATGTGTATAGGTGATTCTGCAATCAGTAGATCTAGCAACCTTCGGCAGCTTTCCGCTGCATCGCGTCTTACATACATCCGGCTTCACCCATCAAGGTCGTCTGCCACCAGGTGTGGCACTCGTACTTCATGGTACATCTACGTACGATGAATCTACGAGTAACGGGAAATTGGCCCTGTTACATAGCCCCGGGCATAGGACTCGCCGGCATCCCACTCATAAGTTAAAAAAAAAAAGCGCGGACGATCCTGTCAAGTGCCAACCCTTCGGGAACGTCATCCTGTGTCCTTCTGGACTTCGACTGCATCGCCTCCTCCGCGCAGCCTTATCACTTCCGCTCTCAGGTCATGAATTGTCTGCTACAGGGAAGTCAGCTTAGCACTCCCTCCACGCAACAGCTGTTAAAAAAGAACGCGCTTGCCTCCAGCTGCGCCGAGACCACGGTGATCACCGGCTCCACCGCGATTTGGCCTTGGCGGGTCTCGACAACGGCCACACGGATGGCCACCTGGTTGGACACCTGCAAAGGGGATCAATGAGGGGACCCGCAGAAAAATAGCGGGAACAAAGACAGAACATACACTGAACCAGGCCTTTGCGGTATCAAGTTTATTCTTGCATTTCTGAATGACGTCCTTGTCGTCCTCGGTCGCCGCCATGCGCCTGAGGAGCCCTCGGGAAGATATCTTTGCTATATCTTCGCGTACACACTCCAATTCTCTGCGCGCACAGGCAGGATTAGTCGTGCATAAAAAGGATTTTATGTGTTGTTTCGTGTCACTCACGACCTGAATTGTTCGATGGCTGCTTCGAACCCATCACCCAGTTCGCCTGGATTTTTTCCTTGGGTCTCCTTTACCAGGACCTGCACGACTGCATTGACCAGGTCAAGGACAGCAAAACATTGCTCCTTATTCCTTTTCGCGTTCTGGCGCACAAATCAACACGCAGCCTCAGATCCTGACAAATACCTCGACATGCCTGCACTAATTTCGCGATCTCTTGCGCTACTCCCACCGCCGCTTTGATCCCGGGTATATTCAGGTCGTCCGCGGTTTTGGAAAGAGCAGCCAAGGCGACGAAGCCTACCGTGCCTGCCACCTGACGCTTGCGCTTCGATATCGTTACCTTTCGAAAGACACGGCGGTGGAGGGGTATCGGGGAGGGGGTGTCAGATGCTGCCCCGATGTCCGCCATGGTAGGAGCACGGGAGGCTTGGTCGCTGCGGCATTCCCCGGTTGCCTTCTTCGCTTTCTTGAACGCGCGCTGGCGGAGGGATGTGCCTAGGGAGGGCATCGTCCACGTCCGACGTGGCTGGCTGCTGACTGCTGACTGCTGTAGAGTAGGGAGGACAAACGAGAGACGGGAGTTAGTGCTGTGCAAGAGGACATCGTCGAATCGAGAGCGCAGGTCGGAACTCGAGCGTTTCCGGTCTTTCACAGCTTACTGACATGCTTTCCTTAGCACCAAAGGCCGTGAAAATTGAAGGAACGATTATTCGGTAAATCTCAGTGCTTCAGAACCATCGCACGAAGCCTGGATCCATGGCCCCTGGCTTGTTCCTGATATGTCAATCACAGTAGTTTTCAGCGACTCAAAACAAACACAGAGGGTGTAGAAGATAGAGGGGACGGCACCCAACCGCTATAGGACAAGGGCTGTAGCTTCAGAGCTTGGGGCTGTGGGGACACTGGACGCTGTACTGGGCAGTGATGTGCCGGTCGACGACTAGTCGACCAAAGTCAACAAAGTCGACAAGTCGTCGACTAGTCGACAACAGTCCACGGTCGACCGTGAGAATAGTCGACCGGACTGATGCGTGGAGGCCTGAGCCAATCGCTGACCAGGAAAAGATGTCCCTGGCCTGGCCCTGGCCAGTCTTCTCGGCTTTTGCCTTCGGGGGAAACCGCTGCATGTTGCTCAGAGCTGTTCGTACACCGTGGGACAGTCGACAACGCCGTGGGACAGTCGACAAGACTTACGGTCGACGCGCCGGACTGTCGACTAGTCGACAAGTCGACGGGTGGACTGCACGGACTAGTCGCCGACCGGCACAACACTGGTACTGGGCCTAGGACAGGTGTACTTGTGACCTGATATAAATCTGACTGGAGACATGCATATACAGATAGCAACTGAAAACGACAGGCAGAGCGTTACTGGTCGGGGAATTGAGCGTCCTCCCTCCTGTCGAGTGAAAGACCACGCGGCCGACACTCAGGCCGAAGTCGCTGACAACAGTCACAGTGGCAACCTTCTCTTGAAGCAAACATCCTGCAGCCTCTACCAGTCTAAGCATCGGGAATGAGTGGGGAAGCCAGGACATAATCGGATTAATTGCAGCGCTAAGGGACAGTTCCTATCCCACGCTCTGCGACTCAGGAACCCATGCCTCAGATTTGTTGACAATTGCTTCCTCTGCATGATTTTCTGGTATGGTATGGCTCCCACTTTTCCACATCCCGAGATGGGGGTCAGCGGCAAGAAAACAGAGCATCGGGTCCAGTCCCGGGCCAACGAAGCCTCATCTACAGGAGCACCTCACTTGGCGCCCAATCTCTACTTCAGTGCAATCCTGCGGTATTTAGTCCTGCGCATTATGCATAACGTATTACGTATGCACAATTTTGAGTACATCATGCAGCCTGCGACTTCTCCTCGGGAGCCGACACACTGTTATCAGCAATTCTAACACCCTTCTTCCCACCCGTAATCCCAATGCCCCGAAGCCACACCACGTTCACAGCCAGCCCGACACAACTCGCAGCGAAGCACGTCCACCCTGCTGCCCTATACCCTTTCAGCAAGCTCCCTGCCGCGTCACTGTGGTCAGAAACTGCAGTGGCGATGGCTGAGGTAATCGCCAGGCCGATAGAAGTGGCAATCTGCATTGACATTCGGGGTTACGGTTAGCCAGGCAGGATGTCCGATATATTTTTACGAGCGATGCATACCCGCGTCCCCGTCGCGAAAAGCCCCCCTGCGAGTGCCTGCGAGTCGTCCGGCATGGACGTGAGCACGAATAGGTTCCCAACTGTGTAGATCGCGTCCGCGCCGGCTACAATCCAGCGCATCAGTCAGCTTTTGCCAGGACGGCGCCCTTCCAGATCCGGGACCTACGCAAGAGTACCATCACCCAGAATGCGTTTCGCCAGTATGTGGTTGATGGGTCTATAACGGCGAATATCGCGGAGGACGCCTGCGTAATAGGAGCCAATACCCTTAGAACTGAATGCACAGCTATCACAGAAGAAGCAAAAGAGCTCACGACTGTGGTCCCCACTCCGAATGCGTTGAGCCATTCACCAGGGAGGTACTCGACTAGCCACCCTGTAGCCGTGTTCACCACCACGCCGGATATCGATTCGGGAATGAAGCGTATCCCCGTCTGGGCTGGTGTCAAATATTGTACGTCTTGATAACTAGGTCCGGTGATGAGCAGGAGGTCCGGTCAGCAAAACGATTGACCATGACATAGTGGAGGCTCACTAGACGGTGACGAAGTACTGCAGCACGTTGAAGTTCCACCAGATAAAGAATATAAGCAGGAAAAACGCGCGGAACTGTGTATCCTTGAATATAGACATTTTGAGGAGGACGGAGTGTCCCCGCTTGTCCCGCATATGCTCCCACGCCACAAAGGCCGCCAAAATGACGACGGACAGCGCAAAGAGCGTCGGAATGTACGCCACCCTCCATCTGCGGGGTCTTAGCGCTCGCCTAAGAGCTTCCGCGGACACTTACCCGACATTTTGAGACTGTCTGTAAGCATACCGCACATAAATGGATGAAACCGTGCGATCAACTGAGGTAAGGGTCACTTACGACAGGGAGAAGATCAATAGCACCAGCCCGGTCGAGCTCAAGCACACGCCCGGCCAGTCGAGTGCTCTGTCATACTTCACCACGTCCTGCGGGACAGACGCCACGCCAGCCAGTAAGAAGAGCCCGCCCAACCCCGCTTGGACGACGAATATCCAGCGCCAGCCTCTGTGCAGCTCGCAGAGGAAGCCCGCTGGGGATTGTGCGTGTCACAGGGACAGAAGCGGTATCACAAGGGAACGTGAGGTACATACCTGACAACAGACCAAGTATGAATCCGATGCTCTGCCCGCCGGCCATCACTGCGATGGCGCGGTTCTTGAGGGCTCCTTCGAGGTTGCTCCCTAGGACGCCCATGCCTGTTACGTAGCTAGATGGGCCGGGGGTTATACTGCGAGATTAACTAAACATACCGGAGGACGTCATCATCGCGGCGCCGATCCCCAGCAAACCCATCATAGTGTTGAATGAGATCGGTTCTGCATCGGGCGGTGAGATGCATACTTCGCATAATTGACTGTAACAGACTGACCAGGGCAGAAAATGGGCGGTATACTGAGGAAGGTGAAGAGAGCTGTTCCAATGAGGAAGACGGGTTTCCGACCATACTTATCCGCAAGACGACCAGTAAGAAGCAGGAGACATCCAAATGTTAGACTAAAACGATGAAACAGTCAGTGGATAGTAGGAAAGAGGTATGAGAGAGAACAGACTTGAAAGCTTGTAGAGGCCATGCCAAATCCGACTGCGAGAAATGCAGGTCTTTGCCAAAGGAGGGAATGGCCACAGTGACCGCTCCATTCATGTACACCTGTAGCGATTGCCCTCGTTAATGTAGGATACTTCCAATGGAGAAGAGAAGGCAGTGAGAACATTGAGCAATGTCGAACCGCTCACGGCTATAATCATACACCATGCTCTCCAGCCGGTTAAAGGCTGAATCCGCGGCGGACCGAGAACTGGCGAGACGGAGCCCAAAGTAGGGCTTTGTGCGCCCTTTTCAACGACAGGAACGGTAGGCTCCGGCAAGGGGTCGCCAGCAAATACGTTGTGGTCCGTTATGCATTCTGGGGTCGATTGTTCGACTTGATTTCCTTTGCTCATGTTGAACGGGAAGCTGCCTGGCGCTTGGGTCTTTCGAGGGATTTAGGGCCCGGGCGGTCCGCTGGCAGTATCGCCAGTCGCCTCGCGTGAAACTGTGAGAGTGGAACGGTTTCGTTATCATTATTGTCAGTACGCGGCGGCTATACTCACCCTTCAGACGGAAGCAAAACGTTCAAGAAGCAAATTTGCAATTGACAGGCACGATTATGAGCGAATGATGGGGTGCTCGGACCCGAGAATACTTCAGTTTCCCTATTGGAGATCTTGACTATGTAGCAGGTTGATTGCCAAATTTACATGAGCCTGCAACTACGGCATGTTCCATAACTCACACAAATGCGGGTTTGCGTCAAATCTTGGGATAAAACTTGTGGCTGTAGCATCGTCTACGTATGGAACCCCCACTTCATGCGAAGGAGGTGAGTCCGCTTGCGAAACCCGTTGTACGTAGTGGCGATGCGCTCCACGTGCGGGTTTGCAATTGGCACACTCCGGAGCAGTCATCAGGCGTCGCTCACGAACGGCTATGTACTATCATTTGGGTAGTTTTGCAAAACTCTCTGTAAATCGACGTGTTGCGGCCAATTCGCTAGCTCTTGCGCCAAAACGTTTTTATGGCATTGTGTAGCACCCTTTTATGTACCCAACTGTAATTTTTTTGTATTTTAATTCATGGTGTAGAGGATGCTGGACAGATGCCGGGGTGTGCAGGGGGTTTTGCAAAAGTTTGTCACGCGTGACATCCCCGCGAGATTCATCACGTTTTTGTCACGATCCGCCTCTCGGCGTTTTGCAAAACAGGTTTGCTATAGCTACATCCTCTATCTCTCCACAATCGGGCTGCTTAGGTGGCTCAATGTATGGTACACCAGTATAGTCCAAACAAAATCCCGGCAAAAAATCATGGAATGGGTACCAGATCTAGATTTCACACGGTCTGTAGGCAGTTGCAAACACCCTCCTCTTCCTCCCTCTCCATGACCACTCGATATTTCCCTAAACCAACTTCACAGAGGGTATCTACTAGTCTATATCTACATCCCTAAGAAGTCTCTGAATTTTTTTATTTGGTATAGAGCTCTCTCTAGGGGCTGCGGTAGTTTTGCAAATTTTGCAAAACTACCCAAATGATAGTAATGATGAAGGGCACGAGGACGCATCTCCATCATTCTATCCGGAGACATCGGTGAGTTGGTAAGTAACACGGTTTGTCCGACTATGTCATATTTTGGCATCTGCATGAAGACGATCGAAGGAATGCAAGTCTTTGTTCTCATGCAATGCTATTACCTTCCTCATGGATGGATCAAACAGGAATTCAAGCCATCACGCCTGTCCATCCGATACCGTATGCTTCTGATCATCAGGCCATCATCAATCGAGCTCGCTTTGCTCATACTCTGTAAGGCCTGTAAGTCGAGCATAGCATCAGGACCGCGGTACATTAACGAATACACTATACCCTTTCTGTTGCAGCTCTGATGTGGCACTGCCCTTGCATGTCAATTAGCACTACCATATGGCCGATGACGCGCTCCGACGACGTTACGCCGGGAAATATGCCAGGTCCGGACATCGCAACAGAGCTCGCAGTAGATCTGCCAAGGGCCTGTCGGCTGACATCTGACTTTTCCTGCTCATGTGCGACAGGCGGCTGCGTCGGTTGAAATAAACTGATGGTAATTCCGCATTCTCTGCGTCTGCAGGTCCAACCTGTTAACACGCCTCTTTCGTAGGCCTGGAAAGGTCCATCAGTATAAAATACCAGTATGCACGCAGCTTAGCTCGTCCGAAGTTCTTGACTTCTACAATGTCCTCCTCTAGTTCTCCGAGACATGTCGCCATCATCGGCATGGGGCTTGTTGGATGCCTCGCAGCCCTCGGGCTCGCGAAGCGCTTTTCCTGGGAGGTAGACATCTACGAATCACGAAGCTGTGGGTTATAGGTCACCGCTTGCTCATACGCTTCCTGACGAGAGACCACAGCGACGTCGCAGGCCATTGATGACAACAAGACGATTAACCTCGCTCTGAGCAACCGGGGACTCCGATCGTTCGAAGAGATCGACCCTCGTCTTGCCGCCGAGCTCGTGCGCCAGAGCGTTCCACTTTACGGTCGGACGATACACAAATCCGACGGCAAGACCGAGTTCCAAGCCTACGGTCCGCGCGGAGAGGTAAGTACCTTCCCTGAGCAGCAAGTAGCCTCAACAATAACCGTACACCCAGGCGATTTATTCTGTCAACCGACTTACGATGATAGCTCTCTTGAAAGAAGCTATTGACGCGTGCCCGCTGATCACGACGCACTACAGTCGCAAACTTCTCAAGTCAGACGGACGTAACCTCGTATTCGAGGATCCTGCAACAGGCGAACGCACCTCCGCCTCCGCCGACCTCGTCATCGGCGCGGACGGAGCATATTCCACAGTCAGAGAGCAGATGCGCAGAGTTATCAAGTCCGTGCTCGAATTCATCCAATGCGACCCTTGGCACTTGACACCTTCATACTGACCCGTGACCATCGGAATTCATTGCAGAATGGACCTGACCACTCGGTGGGCACCCTTGTCATACATGAAGATCGAGGTTCCGCCCATGGTCCGCCCGGACGGGAACACCGACCACGCGTTCGACCCCACCACGCTGCACGTCTGGCCCCGCAAGGACTTCCTGCTGATCGCGCCGAGCAACCCGGTGGGTTTCCTTTAATGCAGAGCACTAGCGCATACCTTGATGCTTTCTCTCATTCTTAGGACAAGACGTTCACATGCGTCCTGTGGGCGCCGGAGTCGCTCCTGGAGGGCCTTCGGGACAAAGAGGCAGCGACGCATTTCCTTCAGGAACAGTTCCCATCATTCGTGGCAGCTACTTGCTCCGCCGATGTAGTCAAGCAAGTGACCACGGGCCCTATTGTACCAATGAGCTCAACAAAGGTGTGCATCTGCGCAGTTTACGTCGGCGCCACCAGATTAACCCGTCAATCACCATCATGTCAGTGTTTCCCCATGAACGACGCCGACAGAATCTTGATTGGTGACGCTGCCCACGCAATCGTTCCTTACCTCGGCCGTGAGTAATGCCGCCTGATTGACAGTTAGAAAGTCAATCATGTACTTGGCAGACGGAGCGAACGTGGGTTTCGAGGATGTCCGAATCCTCCTAGAATGCCTCGAGCGCGAGGTCGACCAGGTCTCCGCACTGGACGCCTACTCAAGGATCCGTCGCGATGACCTCGAGGCTATTGAAGCCATCTCCTGGGGTCACAATAAGGTCTGTCCCACCTTGCATGCCGTAGACCCAATCTCACCTTTGCCTTCCGTCGACACAGGAACTTGGCCAGTCAGTGCTGGAGATAAGTTACCGCATTCGAAAGAGCCTCGACTTCTTCCTCGCACGCCTCTTCCCAGGACGCTGGGCGCCGCTCTACGCCGCGGTCACCTTTGAAGCAGGCACACCCTACTCCAAGGTAATCGAGCGGCATCAGCGACAACAGCGGATCATCAGAACTCTTACGTGGTTCGTGTCTACATTACTCCTCTTGACGCTATGGAGGGTGTTGGGCCAGCCCGGGTTGGTGACGTTCTTGCATTTATTCATGCTTGACCAAGCTTTTTGCTCAGCTTGAAGTGGGTTCTTTTGGGCATGGTGACGGGATGATTGCTGTTCATAGACTAGCATAGGACTTGGAATATCACATTCGTCTTTATATCTGTTGGGCGCAGAGTATGAGTCTCGGAAAATATACGACATACAGCGGTTAGGCCGACTTCAATAGCCGGCCTTAAGCCGCGAAGACTAGACGGTGATCTGCAGCAGACATTGTCGACACAACATGCCGAGACATCCCCCTTGTTACAGAGCGGGTCAAGGTCATAATAGGATGGGAAGAGCGATTGGTCCAGACGACGGCGCGGTCAAGGCAGGGTACTTGCACATATTCTGGGTGCTGTGAAACTGCCAGAGGTTAGTATATATCTGGCACAACCTATTAGGATGACACCCGAGAGCACCGTCGAAGGTCCACTCTGGCACTCAACTAGGTACCTGGCTCGCACAATCCCTATTCGCCACCGATCCTCTTATTTTCGCTCTCAAGTCTCTCCTTGGCACTCTGCAATCTCACCTTATCCCCCGCTTCTCCAAGCTCCACCCTCCACAAATCTGGCTCTCGCAGCTTGAATCCCAACCGCTTCTTCACAGCCGCTACGTACCCGACCTCAGACAAGCTTCTGCTGACAAAGTCCAACCTCCTCTCCTCCGGAGTCATCCTAGCGAGCACATGCGCTGGCGGCCCGGCCCGTTTCCTCAGGAAGGAGTGCTTGGTGTCCTCACCCCGAAGCTCGCGGAGGCGCTCCCTGGTCTTGTTCGCGAGCTTCTCGCGCCGAGCAGCGGTGACCACCTCGAGGAGCTCGGGAGTGTAGGGAGCATTTTCGCGCTGGCTGTCCAGTTCGAACGACTTACGAATGGATGCCCGCACTTCGTTGATAGGGCGATCTACGGATTCACCTTAACTTTGAGCGGGGCGTCTAGCAGAGAAAGAGAGCACGACGCACACCACTCATTCATATGACCCGTGAATATCGGCTCGAACATCCCCATACTCACCCGCGTCAGCCCCGCTTCAAAACGCTCCTCGTACTTCAGGAACTCCATCCACTCCTGGTACATCGCGAACCTCTCCCCACGGATCGCGCGTGTCTTTCGCCGGCGGTTGATCATTCCAGTGATATGGATCGGTTGCGGCTTCAGCCTCGGGAGGGGTTTATTGTAGACGGAGGCACGGATGAAGGAGCCCGTGAGGATAGGGCGATTGAGCAGTTTCTCATGCCATGCCTACCCGAGAGATCTTCAGCCGAGTGCCATTCAATATGGCTCGATGACTCACTTGTTCCTTGAGAATGAGGTCTCGCCAGCGGTCCTTCTCTCGTCGGACGGCGACAAGCCGGCTATATCGTTCCAAGATGCGCTGTAGCCTTTCGTCTCCCTTTTTCGCCTTGCGAAAGGCGTCCAGCGACTACTCACGCGTATAAGTCAGCCCCTCCTCAAGCGCACACACATGCAGCGAAACGTACTTTATGTCCTCTGATTAGTTCCTCCCTCGTCGCCGTCGCGCTCGTCAAATGCTTGTTATCCCTAAACGCTTTCCTCACTTGAAAGTACACCTTGGGCCCGATTAAACTACACTGCCATTGATAACGATCAGAATATTCATACGTCGTTACTCGGCGCCTCCCTCAACAATCCACGATACAAACTCCATAGTGTCGGCACACGGTGCGCTGAAAGCTCCCAGAATGGTACCCGCGGACGAACGCGTCTCAGTTCAGAGAATGCTGCAGATAAACGAGCTCGGTGCGCGACCGATGCTGCAGACGGAGACGCGGACATTCAGTAGTCCATACTAGAGGTAAGCAGAAGTCACGCTTCCAATGTGACATTTGCCACAAGGCATGACCGTCACGATGCCACAAAATAGGCCCCTCTAACTGGACGACGGTTACACTTCAGTTTAATGATACTTGTCCCTGGCCTTCCACCTGGATATTCGAGCAGTTTGCGTGTAAAATCCGATTTGACGGAAGTATACGTTGTAAAGACCCAGAAAGCTATCAGCTAAGGAACAACCCGACGGGCGCATCAACACAGCCGGCCGGTCCAGCATTAAAACTGCTCCCGGTCAAACCGCTTCCACGCATGCTTCTCGTACTCTTTATCCTTTGTTCTCCTCCTCTTTGGTCTACAAACACAAACGCCAAACAAGTCAGTGACAGACGATAATCGGCGGAGTGAGAAAACATACATGACAGGCTGACGCGGCTCAATAAGCGCACGTTTCTGTAAGCTCAGGAAACGATCACGGAACAGGTTTCCTTCCGGCTATAGTCACGCAAGCACAGGTTCAATAAGCCATCCTCGTTCGATATCGGTAGTGAAAAGACTCAACGCACCTTCAACCCCCTTAAACTTTCGCTGAGGTCCTCACCCAGCTGCACGTCCACCTCCCCCTCCGGGACCTTATGCTTGCCGATCCGCTGCCCAGCCAGCCCCTTCCTCAGTTTCTCCTCATCCGCTCTTTGACGCTCGGCCCGAGTTTTCTCAGACAACGAGAGGGAACGATTCACCATCGAGCGAAGCGCCTTTACCGAAGTCACAGAGGTCAGCAGACGTTTACGTGCAGCACGTTCTGCGAGGGCTTGTTTCTGCATTGGGGGAACAAAGTATCAGCATCTGGTGGGTTGGATAGGCGGCCAGGTGTACCTCCTTCCGTAGCCGCTCAGCTCTCTTACGATCCTGCTTTGTCTTCCTCCTCGGCATCTTCGGTGCTACCCTGCCTTCCACCTCATCCACCCCCGCCTCTGGGTCCTCCTCCCCTTCCCCAACAGTCATCCCAGGCGGCACACCCTCCGCTTCCTCTTCCCTCGCAACCTTTCGTGCGGCGTCAGCTTTTTCTTGCCACTCCTTCAACTTTTCCGCCTCCCGGATTCGCTTCTCTTCGATCTGCGCGGCGGACAGGACGAGCTCGGTGTGAGCGTCCACGGGCGGGTTGTACGACGTGCCGACATGCGGCTGCTCAACCGCGGGCAACTGTATCTGCGATCGGAGCGGGTGTGGGGGTGGCTGCGTGACCGTTAGACGATTATGAAGTTCCATCTCTCTTCCTTGGATGATGCAGACGTACCTTGGCAGGTTGCTTCTTCGGTGCATCCACAGGCACATCCTCACTAGTGTTGGATGACCAGATATCATATCCCCCGCTCTTCGCCGCCTCGCTCACTTCCATTGTCGCACTTCCCTTCCCCACCTCACTCTCGTCGACATAGCTGTTCAGAGGTCCTTTGCGGCGCCTCTTGGCAATGCGCAGAAGACGCTCTTTCTCTTCGTGCGTCAGCTTGCGCTTGGACGAAGACGAGGAAGTGGTGGAGCGAGAGAAGACGGCGGGCACAGCGGAACGTTGGGAGAGGATTTTGGTGGAGGTGAGCGCGGATTTGGAGTATTTCGGTAGGGATTTGCGGACTATTCAAGTAGCGTCAGCTTAGAATAGCTGGAAAGGATATAGGGGCAGCGACCTTTGTCGTCGCCGTGTGTATCAACTTGGAACAAGTCCTCGTCTTTCTTCTTCTGCAGCGCAGACCTACAGAAAGTATGATGTCCGGTTGATGCCTGTATTAAACAGCAGCAAAAAAATGAGTGCGCACCCAGTAACCCTCTCTTCCGCCCGCATGCCCTCCATCCCCTCCTCTACATCCTCGATATCGACATTCTTCCTCCACGCCTTTTTGCCCTTCCGGCTGCCTTGCTTGAGCTGGGCAGGTGCACCGACTGAGGACTTCGTTTTCTTCGCCTTCACCTCTTTCCTCGCAGTCGATGAGACCTTCATAGTCGTCGCTGCCGTCGCCATTATGTAGGAAGAGGCCGCAGAGTGTAAGCAGGCAAAGCAGAGCTCAGCCCTCCGGAGGAAAAACGGGTATTGATGGCCACGTGGTTGTGCCCATATCGGGCTCGTGCCACGGTCCTGGCTGTACATGTCGCCACAGATCCCGAACTTACCTGGTATTCGACCGATGAACGGGTTTAACCTCTATGCAAGACCATGAACACCATCCTTTCCTAGTGAGTTGATCCGACGCATTGATTTGAAGGGCCACGCACGGTACTTGTATGTCTCTCTGCGTACTCGCATTCTCTAGATATGCCTATCAGTCTTCCGAGGGGTCTACTGAAGTATTAGCTTTCATTATCGTGGAAATTTCTGCCCCCGGATACATTATCATAGACGCAGGTTTAGCGGCCTGTCCAGAGCAATTAACCATCTCGTCCAGCAGCCTGTATACGATGCCGTGGGCACCACCAAAGTGCAACGAAGCCAAAGCCTCGCGAGTCCTACCAAACGGCATGTGGCTATGCCCTCAGACTTGCAGGCTGTGAAAGCTTGCTGGACTCAAGCCTGTCGCCCAGCACTACACTGCGTTCACACTCAGTCTCCCCCGCGATAACCAGCGACAGTGAACACAGGAAAATCCCCTCAATAGACACGACACTCCGCCAGGACCGCCTCAAGATGATCAAGAAGGCGAAGAACCCACCTCTGGAAGACTGCTCGTACTATGTATACTGTAACTCATAGGAACCTTCCACCCCTTCCTCGACTCCGCGTCATCGTCGCGCCTTCAGCAAGGTCAACGTCCAAGAGGACACTTCAAACCGCCGGGACCGCAGCCGCTTTACCCGGCGGCGCGGACGACCTCAATGTAGCCAGAGTGTACGCTGTGGTAGGAATAGCGAAGGAAACACTTTCCGCTGCTTTGTCCATTTTCTATCAACGATGCCTGGGATAGCCAAATTCGTTGCTCTTCTCATTGATACCCGGGCCACCATGAGCCCGGACGGATTTCCCCAGCGCCCACATCCTCTGCAAATAGCTTGCGTGTTTACTCTGGGCCTATTATCTGCGATGTCTATGGTACATTCTTCACCAATCAGTCTATGTCATGCTGTATGAAAGGACAAGCACCTCGTGCTTGGGCTGTTCCCTAGGGCACATCAAACCAAGTACTGCTTCTGCCTTAATAAGGCCGGAGGGCCACTCGCTAGCTTGGGCCACTACCGAGTTCAATCTTCAGATTCTTAGCATCGCGCCGGGAGTCGCGAAGTGCAATCCACTCGCAGCATTAGGTACAATTTCCCGTACCTAGTACCCGCATCAGTACAGTAACTCGGCTTTTCAGTTCCGGGGGAGGGAGGGAGGGAGGGACGCACCACGATATAATACACCCATCAACCCCTCAATTAAAACTACAACCTAAGTAAAATGGACTCTTATTGCCGTGTCGTAGCAGGGCTCAGTGCCACAGGCGTTCCCGGAAGCCTGGAACTTATTCTTCAGAACCACGTCGATACGCAATAGAGTACCGCCGTTTACTCACCCGTCAAAGTGCCTTCCGCGCTTCGGGTCCGCGCGGCGCTTCTCCCTTGCCTTGCGCACTTTCGATTCGGGGCGCACGACGATGATCGGGACCGGGGAATGCGAGAGGCAGTATCTGCAGGGGGGAGTTAGCGGGTGATTTAAAAATGGCTGGGGACACTCACTTGCTGACGCTCCCCACGCCGCCGCCACTGCTCCCGATTAGCCCAGAAACGCCCCACGAGACGAGCCCGCGTTGGCCCCGAGTCCCGACTACGAGCGCGTCGGGGCGATAGAGGGCGATTAATCTGGGCACGGTCAGACCACGACAGAGCACATGGGCGGTGACACGCACCGATCGATAGTTGTCGTGATCTTCCCCGCGACAAACTCGACTATGAGCGACAGCTTGCGGTCCGGATCAGACTCGAGGCATTTCTCTTGGATGTAGCGCATGAGCTCGTTCGCTGACTCGCGCACGGCCGCATGTGGTTTCTCTGCAGTGGGGGTTAGTTACCTCGACGCAAAGCCCTAAGCGGCCACTCACGCAACTCTTCTTCCCCAATCCCGCGCAGCACAATCAGCTCGTCCCCGTCCTGGACCAAGCTCTCGCACGCCCAGTCGAGCGCCTGCATGCCGCTCTCGTCTGGGCTCGCCGCGCACAGGAACACGCGGGTGCACTTGCCCTTCTCGAAGCCGTCGCTCTTGACGCGCAGCGTGTAGCTGAACATCGAGCTCGACGGCTCGTCGAACGTGTCGAACGACACCTTGGGCGTGTACCCGCTCAGCGGGATCGGCGTCGACGGCGACGGCGTCAGCAGCGGGGACGACGGCAGAGGCAGCGTCGAGGGGGACGGGGAGGGCATCGCGGACGGGCTGTTGTCGTTGCTCGAGAGCGCGCTGTGGCTTGAGATGGACGTGAAGGTGGACGTCCGGGGCAGGCTGGAGCCCGCGGCGAGCTGGGGCGGCGACCCCGGCGTGGAGGGGCGAGAGCCGGAGCTCTTCATCGCCGAGCGGAGGGGGGCGGGCGGGGGAAGCGGGATGTATGACGGGTGCTGGTGGGGGTGCGGCGAGGATTGCCTCGATTCGGACATCTTGGCTTCGAGATTGGGTTCTGCCGGAAGGAGCAACGCCGATGGAGGCCGTACGGGCGGGTGACGACTCTGGAAGGCAGAAGACAGCGGTGACGTCCTGTGGCAGAAAAGGTGCAGAGGATAACAAGTCCTCACGATGCCAAGACCGATGCAGACCTAACCCTAATACCAGTGGTAGCAGGTCACGTGCTAATCCCGGGGTTCCCCGTTCGCTTGTGTCACAGTCATCCGGTCAGAATAAGCCAGACTGTCGGTACCTGCTGCAGGACTGTAAGGCCGTAGCAGTCAACTTGAATGCGCGTGGTCGCGCTCGAACAATGAGGACGGACGCAGTAATACACTTCGATTAATTTGGACGTTTACCGCCACTATATGATATCATGCGTATGATTGCCCTTCCACGCAGTTTCAGCGATTTTTCCTGCCTAAAAACTTTTTCGGCCGTTTTGTAACGTTTCTTGGACGAAGTATAGAATCAACCAGACATCACTTGAAGTTAGGTTAAGCGGGTACGCTCAGTGGTGGGCTGTGTCACGTAGCGATCACACAAATGAGACGGAGGACAGAGCACCTTTTGGTTGCGAAAACAAGGGGCGCGGTAGCAGCGATTGTCAGACAAGCAGGGGCACTGGCATGGTTAGGGTTCTGGACACCTTCATCCGAAGCCACAAAAATTTACCTCGCGCGCAACACACTACAATCTACGCACATATAGACAATCACCCAACAAGTTATAACTCAAGATGGGCTTCAGGTATATCGTCGGTACGTTATCAGTCGCTGGCCAGCCCAGCGCACCGCAAGGATGCCCGATCACTGAAGTAATCACGCCGTGTTTGGACAGAACACATGGAAGAAGATGAGAATACGCCGCGATCACTGCCAGAGTGGGTCGTATTGGAATACCAGGTACTGCGACTCTGAATGGTTTCATTTTTCTATGCTCACCACCCATGGATTCTTCAACAACATTCATTGACCGTCGAATCGATTGCTAAAATCGCTCTCAATCCTTCTCAATCCTACCTGATATCTTCCTCGTGACGTACTGTTGTGTGCACGTGTAGCACATGCGCGCCCTGGCAGGTGCATCCTCCACGGTTCACTTCACGCACCTCTCGCAGGCCTCGACCGATTCCTTAACAGCCTTATTTTCTGCGTCGCCACAGCCATCCTCTTCCGAATCTGGATTAGCTGCCGCATACGCCCACACAACGCCCATTTTACCTTTCTTGTCCTCAATGCAGATACCTCTCGAAAGAGTTTGCTTGTTAGACCCGAAGGCGCCCCAGGAGATATCTCCCGCGGACGCCGCTGAATTCGACTGCTTTCTGTTAGGAGTACGTCCGATCCCCCTTTGTTGGAGGAATCCATCTGACTGAAAATATGTTCTGTAGGGGATCTTAGGCGAGAATACGTTTACTGTTTATTCCGTACCAATCATATTTACAGGATGTTAGGTGACGACCCCCCACGCGACCGCACCTCCGAACTGCGGGCTCTGGGATTCCCATCGAGACACCTAGGGCCTGTCCAAATGACTACCGACACAGCACTAGGCGTCACGAAAAAGGTCGTCGAGGACAAGAGTACGTCCGAGCCTACTCCGGCTTTTCACCAAACTAACACCCTACCATAGTTCCATTATCGGAAATTCCCTACGTCGTGCGCTTCTATCCTCGCCTGTTACTGGAAATGCCGTGCTAATAAAGGTCAAGGACTTCCCGACTATCCGCTTTTCGGCGAAGGAATCCGTTGAGATGCCATTCCGTGCGTTTCCCGCTGTCGATCCTGTTCCGTACGTGGTGCGAGCCTGCCTGGTGTAGGATATATATCTCAGGATGGATCCCCCCTTCTGCCGCCCGGCATGAAGGACCTGCTCAAAAGGGATTTGGATCGGGGATTCGAGTTCTAATTGTTAGTAGTTGCAAGAGCGTGTAGATAATGAAGGTGCGTTAACGTTAGACTGTGTAGAACTAGGTGCGTATAAACTCAATTATCGCGAGCATGCTGACTCCACTAAATGCTGCCACTAGTGAATGCCGTCCTTTAGTGATGCTAAAACCTATGTAAGGTACTTAGGATATCCAGCGGGTCCTCAATGATTGTGAAGATTGCGCGTCTGTTGCGAATTCTTGTTCTGAGGATGTGTACACATGCATTATGCATGGGGTAACCTAGTCAGCCGAAGAGTTGCCTTCCGAATACGCCACAGCCCACTTCTGGCCAAAATGGAGGGAGGAGGGGAACGGATGCCTACGAATCTTCAGTCGGAAGAAGGCGGACATCTGACTCTCATAGTGCGTATGAGGCGAAATAATTCGACGTCTCATGCTCTCCTTCCAACCTGATCGCTCAAGAAGACATGTTTCGCACGTCTGAAGGCACGAGAGCAACCTGCTGAGGCTGAGTTCGATGGCGGAGACAATATGGTCTACCTGAATTGATCCTTCCGTCCTCTCCTCACCACAGATATCACGCAACAGCTCACGCAGGACGAATCAAGATGCTCAGGGACGGCGGTATCCATGCACGATCCCGGGACGCAGAGACTGGGGCAATGGTCGGGTGAGCTCCCTAAAAACTCCTACCCTCGGCTGCATAGGCTAAATTCAGCAACGCCTGACTTCTATTTTTGTAAGAGATATGAATAACAGAGCTAATACGGCCCCCCGACTGTTGCCTCCCGACACTGGAATATTCAGTTGCCCTTTGCGCATCCCGAGCGCATCCGCAGCGTGAGTAAAGGGCCTCTCGGAACGGGTCACCGCAGAGAAGGCATCATAATCTGGAAGGACGGAGAACGACTTCGATAGCTTCCCTGGCTTCTCTTCTTGAGCTTCGGCTTAATGAACTTCATTCGAAGTTTACCTGGACCGCGCCTTGGGTATCACGGGCAAAGAGATGGGACTATCTGGGTCAGGTAGTGCGAGGACTTGGAGGCCAAAGGTGAACTTGCTCATAATCCCGAGACCGTCACGGTGCTAAATAGATATCGCCGTTCTATCGTTGCAAGAGTGGAAATAATGGTGCGTAGTTATAACAAGCTGTGTCATCATCGAGTGAGATAACTTGGAGGAAGATTCGGGCCTACCTCGGCAAGGGCTCTGCATGACGTCAAAGCTTACTTTCTGTGCCGCCGTTCACTAAGATTAGTGCGCACGCCACTCGCTCTCTGCCGCTCATCGTGTCAAAATATCCTACCGTCTATGATATATAAGAGGTTGGTCGGGGTTGTAATCTACCCAGTACCGTCCACGCGACCATACCTATCTCCAAGCATAATGGGATCATCGGAAAGCAAAGTCAACACGACGGGAAGGACGGTCGAGCAGACAAAGGCTAGTGAGGTAAAGACTGGCACCGGGCAGACAGAGGGCATGATCAGGCAAGCCGCCATCGTCGGCAAGTCAGACAGAATATGCGGGACTCGTAAGTATTCACTACCCAGAACGCTGCCCGAACATTTCTGACGTGTCAACAGTAATGAGGGCACAACCGCATAGTTCATCAGCAGTGCATCATCATGCCGAACAAGGTAAGCGCCTGTATCACATCCGATCGTTGAGACCCGATAGTAAGACAATGACACGGCGCAGACACCATTGTCTACGGCGTTTCTGGACGGGGTACGATTGCCTTCGGCCCTAACGGCCAGAATCGCGTAGAAATGAACCCGGGTGACTGGGCAATCATACCTGCCTATGCAGAGCACCAGGAAATAAACGACGGCGACGAGGAGGTGGTATGGGCAATCGTTAGAAGTGGCGGAACACCCGCGGTTGTCAACTTGAAAGGCTGGGGCCAGCCACCACGGGAAGACCAGTAAACAATTTCGTCTATTAGGTAGAATAATAGTGTAATGCTTACTTGTAATGTATAACCTGACGGACCTTCGAACGAAGATAGTACGGATTCCAAGCCATAGTTACCAAGTTAGTGAGATTGGAGCACGGGAGGTTGAGAGGAGATCTGGAGTGTCTCCGTACCAATACACTGAAAATGATCAGCAGCTTCCTGGGTGAAACATTGGTCGAAACTGAACAGACGAACTCGTGCAAGAGAGAGAGAGATGATCAGACAAAATGGACACTGTGGGAGTCGAACCCACGACCTCACGCATGCGAAGCGTGCGCGCTACCACTGTGCCAAGTGCCCATACAAATAGGTGCAGCAGGTGTTTATTCTGGCGCTGGCAGATCATAGCTAGTAAAATCATTCATAATGCTCACCTTGTGGTCCGCACGACGGACTATGAGATGAGGTTCCGGGGAGTTGGAGGTGTCTGAATCCGAGGGGAGGGCCACTTTCGTATGCCATCCGTGTAAGTAAAGTCATTGGAGTCTTTCTCCTTCCACCTCACATTTCACAGTGCCATCTTTCGTAGCTGCACTGTCTTATATAGACATGACGTCACGCGTCCGTCCAAGAATAACTCCTGCTTCACGGGCAGACGTACGTCGGTGACGCAGGATTCTGAGTTCAGAGGGACCAGAATATATATAAGTACTTAGGCAGAGCAGGCCCATGGTAGTTCCACATCTGCCCCAACACACACGCACGCATACACTCTCGTTCGCCGTCGTCGTCGCCGTTTCCAACCGTCAGTCATAGATTGCAGTCAGCATGGCCCGAGGATTCGTTATTGACTTCAAAGGTGCGTACGCCGGCTGAGGAGTGGACGGACCACAACGACAGAAACAGAGGGCCGGATCTGACGCCTCACAGGAAAGTGCGTCGTGGTCACCGGTGGCAACCGCGGGATAGGACTGGCCATTAGCAAGGCGGTAGCGCAGGCCGGAGCCAGCGTCGCCATCATCTATAGGTCGGACTCTCGAGCGCTACCCTAGGCTCGGGCAGTTGACGCGTATATTGCGAGAACAGGTCCTCCAAGGATGCCGACCAGGTTGCCTCGAATATCGGGAAAGAGTTTGGTGTGAAGACCAAGGTACGCCCAGGTTGTGGGCCCGCACAATACATCCTTGAGTCTGACGCATACATCCCCGATAAAGGCGTACAAATGCGATGTCTCGGATGCAGACCTGGTCAACAAGACGTTTACGAAGATCGACGACGAGCTTGGTCCAATCACCGGCCTTGTTGCGGTGCGTATGCCATCCATAAGTGCGATAAAGCGCGCATATATTGACCTTTTCGCTCCCTTCCAGAACGCGGGGGTCTCCGTAGTCAAGCCAGCGATAGAGATGACCACGGACGACTTCAATAAGGTCTTCACCGTGAACGTCCTCGGCGTATTCAATAGTGCCCGGGCAGCCGCAAAGTAAGTTGGGCCTCGGTCTTCGTACGAAGTCTTGCTTGACCAAGAACAGGTTGTGGATCGACCGGAAGCATCAGGGCGGCTCCATCGTCATAACATCGTCGATGTCTTCGCAGATCATCAACCAGACCGGCGCGAACGAGCCGTTAACCCAGGCGAGTCCTCCAATGCATATAGAAACATATGACGCTGATATTTCCTGCAGATATTCTATAACTCTTCAAAAGGAGCGGTGAGCAACTTGTGCAAGGGGCTCGCAGCGGAGTGGGCGGCACATAATATCCGAGTAAACGCGGTGTCTCCCGGATACGGTGCGTATATGCCTTTACACAGCTCGGCACAGAGTAGCAACAAACTTCGCAGTGGATACCGACCAGACTGCCGGAATGGATGAAAACATTAGGAAGTACCAAGCGAACAACGTACCACTCAAGCGGTTTGCAAAGGTTTGTCCAAGTCCCCTGTTCGGATTAATCTGCTGATTGCTGCCGCCCGCTACAGCCCGAAGAGATGACCGGACAGACAGTTTTGCTTCTGTCCGATTACGCGAGCTACATGACTGGCGGGGAGTATTTCGTGGATGGGTATGTCTACGTTCTTCGGGTGCGGAACCTTTCTGACAGCGAGTTCTACGCAATATAGTGGCCAATTGATTTGGTAATTAAGTCTTGCGACGGAAAAGTGCGGTTCCGAGTATCTGCGAAGTCGTAATCAATGTACAGTAAGAAGAAGCTGCGTGATATCCAGTTCGCCCGTAAGAGAATCGTGCAACCTTCTTCCGTTGAGACGTTCGCTGTTGGCTATTACCTTCGCAGCGTAGGTCGGTATCGGCACTATTCCATTTCCGAGACATCGTGAACGATAGAATCGCGCCATCCATCTCGACATTGAGAAGAGGGGTGCGTTCATCAAAGGCGCAGGCCCGGGGAAGTATTCCAACCAAACCGGAGGAGCAAATGCTTTCCACGTTAACTTTCACCGTTCTGTTTTGCTCAATCGTCGGGGATCCTTAACAAGGGAGGTGACCTGCCTGGTGCTTGGGCCTGGATAAAGTTCATGCTTGGAATTGGATCACTAAGTGAGTCGATGCCCTCCCCTTCCTCCGGGGTTTGATAAGATCGCGGCGGTATCCTATTCAGGTTTATCGTGAGACTTGTGTTGATATCCCTTTGCTGACCGAGGTCTAGTGTCCGACGTACAGGACCTCAGAGCCAACGCTACTTTGTCTCCCCGCCTGGCGTTCAGACACGACAGCATTCAAGGTTTCCCAGTCTTGAAGTGGCCAGCATAATAACATCGCTGTGTATTCAAGACCAAGGATATAGCGAAGGTATACTGGATGCTATCATCTCCAATGTTCTTTTCTTCACTTCACGCTCGACGAAGGTGATAATTTCCCGAAATCGACCGCTGCGGTACCCACGAACCAGGACGCCGACTGTTGTGGCATTGTGGCGGCAAATCCAAGGGGACCGCGCAGGTCATCTAAAGGATTCATCGGGTATTTGTTCTGGAAATGTCCGCCTCGCTCACCAAGTCTGATGTCATCTGCACAGCGTCGACGACGTTCAGACCGGTTATCTTATCGAGCGGATCCCATGGCGATCGTCTGCCTTGCTTCGCCAGCGACGTATATATGAGCCCTGACGTAGGCTTAGAGCAGCCTTGACGATATCTATCAATTTGCGTCCTCTTGGCTACTCCACTGCTCGGCCATGGCTTCAGATTTCGATATCAACTTTGAAGGTAAGTACCGGTAGGAAGGCAAGGCAAGGAAAGACCTGAATATTCCTTAGGGAAGTGCATCATCGTCACTGGCGGGAATCGTTAAATCGGACTGGCCATTAGCAAGGGCCTGGCTAAGGCAGGAGCCACTGTCGCCATCATATACAAGTTAGATTTCCAAGTTATGCTGCAGTTATACTTGGTCTGACGCTCGAATTGCTGGAATATAGGTCCGCCAAGGATGCCGACCAGGTAGTCGCAGACATCGCGAAGGATTTTGGAGTGAAAGCAAAGGTCGGACATGAGTGATGAAACGTCTCATCCATATTGACGAGTTTGCTGTTGGGATAGGCATACCAATGCGACGTTTCGGACACCTATGCCGTCGACAAGACGTTTGCTACCATCGACGATGGACTTGGGCCCATTACGGGTCTCGTTGCTGAGAGTACAGTATAAATTGTTTGTGATGCGTCGTTCACGCATAGAGACGCGTGGTCGATAGAATGCTGGAGTTGCCGTTCCCAAGGCAGCCCTCGAGCTTAGGGAGGAGGACTTTGACTACATATACAGCGTGAACGTTCTCGGTGTCTTCAACACGGCACGGACGGCAGCGAAGTGAGTGGGTGACGCCGTTCTAGAGAGACTTTTCTGATCTCGGAGCAGACTATGGATTAAGCGCAAACACCCGACTGGCTCGATCGTCGTCGTGTCCTCGATGTCCTCGCAGCTCATCAACCAGGTATCGCCGAATACGCCACTCTCTCAGGTATGTCTTCGAGTCCCAGGGCCCCGGACGGAAACACTAACGTTGTGTGAAGGTGTTCTACAACTCGTCGAAGGCCGCGGTGACGAACTTGTGCAAGGGACTCGCTGCTGAATGGGCGCCGCATAACATCCGAGTGAATGCTTTGTCCCCTGGATACGGTACGTCGTCCAGTGTTCCGCAGCTAGACCCAGTAGATAACGATCGAGTCCTTTACCATAGTGAATACCGATCAGACCGCGTACATGGACGGGAAGATCAGGAACCCCCAGGCAAGCAATGTCTCGCTCAAGCGGTTCGCGAAGGTACGTCCTTGGTCGTGTCGCCATATCCTTGACACTGATTTGGCTACTAAGCCCAAGGAAATGATTGGCCAGACACTCTTACTCCTCTCCGACTACTCGAGCTACATGACGGGCGCGGAGTATCTTGCAGACGGGTAAGTGCACCGGCCGGGATACAAGCACCTTGCTGATAGTCATCGTGCAACAGCGGCCAGCTAGTCTGGTAAGAGCTAATCCGAGACATCAATGCGGGGCGCAGACATGAGCGACAGAGTAGTAAAGTCGCGATCACGAGAAGTTGCCAACAGTGTAGAACTTTCGGAGATCGGGTGGTGGTATCGAATCGGATATCCCACTGTAAGAATATCATGCAGCTCTATTTCGAGGTCTCGACTCCTGTCACCTTTACAGCACCTGACGGAGGCTTCGGAAACCAGACACTGCTTCATCTCACCTCGTCGGGTCCTGCAAGCACGACGGACAGCATGAGAGGGGGTGAATGTGATATTTCACCTCGGTTCTTTCTGCGGCGCTTTGGCTGATCCAAGGTCCATCCGCGACAGCAGAATGATTGCGAAGATCCTGGTTAGGTGCCCATGAAATGACGATGCAATTTGAGCGGTTGAGGCATACTAGTAAGAACTTCCAGACACGACGGAACTTCAGTAAGACGTCCGGAAGCACTTGCGGGACTTGAGAAATCTGCGAGTTCGTATAGCTTCGCAGGTACACAGGGATGTCGAACTGCGGCAACCCTGGTGACCTTGACAGATACTCTGGTCCCTTGAGCACGTCACCACAAGGAGGAGGCTCTCTAGAATCCCGCAAGCACGAAGTTCCCAGTGGCATCGTGGCAAGCTAAACAAGGGCGAAGGTTCCATTCCATGTATTGATTGTTGCCTAGGGTCCTCTGTGTCAACGGAAAGAATATTGGTCGCCAGTGCAGAAAAGTCGATGAGGCTACAAGGTCCGAAATACACCTAGCTTTCCTTCATGTCGCGAAGATTTGTTCATCAGTCTCGCAGCACTTGCCTGTCAACCGAAGCAGACCCTGCCTAAATCGGCCCTGCATGTCCCGTGTGTAGGCCTGGCCACAAATCCAGGTGAAATTTGAGGATTGTCAGTCAAGAGCAGACTTCCACTATGTGCGTAAGCAGCGCTCAAACAGGAGGTACGTGTAGTCATGAGTGGGCTATGGTGCAGCACTGTGCGTCTTTGCTTGTTGGGAGACATCATCAGCTTCTTGTTTAACTATCAGAACATGACAGTGAGCGCGTACCTGTCTGTTGTATACATTAGGTGCTCTCACAGATTTCGCACCGGATTCAAAAGTCCGTCTGATCTAGAAAGCTGTGCCCAGTAACCCCGTGTTACCAAATGACCTCATAAACTCCAGGTTCATAAAGACGGCGAGTCAGTATGACATTTTCTGTCGATCTTGGCAAGGCGTGTTAGAGCTACCCGAGCAGCTGCATTCGCCGTCAAGCAGGTCCATCCGCAACTCTGGCGTCTCGATAGTAGCGTGGCGGTGGATGAAGCTGGAATCGCTTGACGGGACCTGACCAGAACCTATTCCAGACTTGATGATTTCCCCAAATAGATCGGACGCCGACGAGCCAGAGGCGATGACAGAGATCCTTGTTTTGCGCAACATACCGGAAAGACCGACGACCGTCATTTATTCATCCTCAAACATATGATGAGGTGGCGCGACCGACTCGCGACGCAGCAGATTTTCAGGCTCGATGCGAGCGCCAAGAAGTAACGATAAGCCAGAAGAATAGGCCTGATGGAGAAGGCCAGGCGAACAGGTGAATCTCGGATCCGTGCGCGTGCTTATATAGCCTCCGCAGCTATAAATGATGAATTCTTCTGTGCATGCTATTCTTGCGCGCTCGTTCACCTTCTCGGTTCTGAAGTTTGTTTCAAGAGGCAAAGAGGCAGCCGCAAACTGCAACGACCTACAACCGGATGGATTCGCGGGCTGGTGACGGTGGCTGGAAGGAAATCGGGCCAAACAAGCGCAAACCGTCATTGCTGTCAGCCTGGCTGTCACGTTCGCCGCGCTGGACCAACGACTTGGAACGCGGCCGGAGAGCAAACGGTCTGTCTGCTCTCGCCAGCATGCACTCGCTCGACTCCTGGGCTTCACGACGCGGCTTAATATTTGTATTTGTGGTCTTCTTCATTTCCGTGCAGTGCGGCGTCTTTGCGGGATACAGAAGCGAGGGAACGCCTCAGAAATGGCTGTCCGTGGACGCGATTAGGCTTGGCGGAGCCGGGATGCACGACCATCCCATCCCGAAGCTGATGGCAGACGCGGAGGAGAAGTTCAAGGCAAAGCTGGCTAGGCAGAGTACGACGTTGGACGCTGCGGTTGCGGAGTATCGGAGGCGCTACACCAGGGAGCCGCCCAAGGGATTCGACGCATGGTTCGCGTTTGCGCAGAAGAATGGTTTCAAGATGATGGATGAGTTTGATGGGCTGATGGAGGACTTTGAGCCGTTTCATGCACTTTCGGGGGTCGAGTTCAGGCGGAGGGTACAGCAGGTGAGTAGCCTCCCTATACATCTTTCTTCTACGTTAAGACCGTCGTTAGGTCAGTTCGTTACCTTCCATCGACATCGTCCGAGTGCGGAACGGAAAAGGTTCCGCAGTCAACATGGAGAAGGGCTTTGACGATTCTGAAGCGAGTGCTCGTGCCCATGGATTCAGACGAATGATCGAGCCATTTCAAAGCACAGTATGTATCCAGAAGCATACATTATCAGTATTAACCCACATGCTTCCAGCTACCCGACCTAGATTTTCCCATTAATGCAAAGGCCGAGGGCAGGATCCTAGTCCCCTGGGAGCACCAAAAGTACCCTAACCTCACCTATCAAGACTCCTCCGGCGGTGTAAAGTCCATGTTGGGCGACTTCACTCCCGACTGGCGCGGCACCGGCAACGTCTGGGAGGCGTACCGGCGTACCTGTGACCCGGCGAGCGCGGCGCGGCGCGTCTTCAGCTCGCTCCGACCGTCAGTCGTCAACCGGACGACGCGGGCGCTCTACTCGGTCGAGTCGGACCCCGCGCAGGAGTTCTCGTTCGCCGAGAGCACCGACGCAAACTACTCGTTTTGCGAGAACCCGTGGGCGCATTACTACCAGGGCCACTTCTTCTCGGACTGGCGCACGATTCCGGTGCTGTATCCCGTGCTGTCGCCCGCGAAGAGCGTCGGTTTCGGCGATATCAAGATTCCGAGCCATTACTATCATGGGTCGACGCCGAAGTACACGTATGGCTGGGACTCCGTGAATATGATCCTGAAAGACGTGGATGACATGGAGATGCCCTGGGAGCATAAGACCGACAAGATCTTTTGGAGGGGTGCTACGACCGGCGGTGGAAGCTCGCCTCCTGGTTTTTCGCACCAATACCAGCGTCAACGGTACGTCACCTGATGAAATCTGGACTTACAGCTTACTGATCAATTTCGCCAGGTTTGTCAAGATGGTGAACGACATGTCCAAGACGGAACACACGGTCGTCTTCCCCGATCCCTCAGGCTCGGGCCAGTACCTGTCCTCGGTCGTGCCAGCTTCCGCGCTCAATAGCGAACTAATGGATGTGGCCTTCACCGTCGCTGTCGATGCGGACAACTATCCCGGCGGCTGGGAGGCTATGCAGCGGGAACTCCGGTTTTCCGACCCTGTACCGCTCGGTGAACATTGGGCGCACAAGTACCTAATAGATGTCGATGGGATGAGTTATTCGGGGCGGTTCATGGCCTTCTTGGCTTCGGACAGCGCTGTCATCAAGTCGACGGTCTATCAGGAATTCTTCTCAGACTGGATACAACCTTGGTAAGTACCAGCACTACTGCCTCCTGAAAGTCTCGTCCTGAGTATGATGGTATAGGCTCCACTTCATCCCTCTTTCTTCGACGTACAAGGAGATCTACAACATCCACGCGTATTTCTCCGGACCATCACAGGCAGCGCTCGAGGCTGCCAACGTCACTTCTCCACATGAGCGGCCAGCTCTGCATGACGGTGACAGACGGCTACGTCGAATAGCTCGAGCCGGGAAGCACTGGAAGCGCATCCTTGGGCGAAAGGTAGACATGGAAGGTGAGTCATGCGATGCTACTCTTTGTATACGATGCCGTGCTAATGGGCGCTCCGTCGTGCAGTCTATGTTTACAGGCTATGTCTGGAATACGCTCGTTTATGGGCTGATGACCGGGATTCCATGAATTACGTTCCCTCATAAGTTATTGCATTATTCTCTATAATTTCGGAGCATCCTAGACGACCTACATATCCATGCATGTATCAACAGATCATCACTATAATCCTTCTTTAGTTTTACATTGTCGTCGTCATACAGCATACCTACGAGCAGACTGTTGTACCTCGTGTTAAACATCCATCGACCACAGCTTAAACTGCGCTTTGTGCGAGGCTGATCATGAAGCGCTGAAGCTTGAGGCATCCGGATCCGCATCATGATTTGTCGGTGAATGAGATGTGGCGGGCAGCACAATGGACACAAACTGCCTTTCTTCCTGCCCACCATCATCGACACCGCGTGTATATCGGCCGCACCTCTGTTGTTTGCGGCACCGATTGTTGCTCGATTAGCGTAGGTGCATACGGATCTGTATGCTGTGATCCGCTTGCAGGTTTAGTAGGCGCATATTGACGCTGCGCAAGCCTCGCGGTACGGAAGCACAACGATCTGTGGCTTCAACTTGAACAATGGTAAGTTGTCTGATTATTCCGCCCAGTGCGTATAGCTGAACTCTCGGATCCAGTTGCTGGCTGTATTGGCCTTACCTGCCTGCTGCTCACAAGGGCTATCATGAATCCGTAGGGGAGGTATACATGTTTATACATGCTCCAACTGTATCTGCCTGCCGAACCCCCGAGCAACACGTTGCATCGGATTCACGCAATCGTGATCAACTCTGCAGGCTTCTTCTGTCCGTGGGCCTGGACTAAATGGTGCTTCTCGATAATCATGCCGACGAAGTTTTGTCCCTTGGTGTCGCCGACGGTGAACCCTTACATACACAAGACATAAGGGAAGACCACTTTCCATTCTTTTCATAGGTCTATCGTGCACAGGGGTCATCTGCTGTGTCTGGAACATCCTCGAATTGCATCGTTAGCTCCTTTGTGGGCAAGCTCCGAGTGACGTGGTGAACCTGCCTTTCACATGGCGAAAACACGCTGTTTGGGCGTGGCGCTTTCCTTGTCTCTATCGCAGATATCCCAAGTTATCTGCGCGCGGTTGCCATCGTTCTTTCTTCCCTTTACAAGCCGTGGCTCAAGCTCCTGCCTGCATCATAGCCTCTGGGGCTCTAAAACCAGCTTCCGGTTGTCCCTCTCTCTTGCCTTCCACTCTTTCCCACTGTATCCTCGATCGTCTTACGACCCTTCAACGCCCTTGACGTTTGATTGTGTGTTCTCCCTGCAGAATGCTGCCGCTTACCACGTTCCCCGTGCCTGCGATGCCCTCGCCTGCACCAAGATCCAGACATGCATCCGAAAGCCCGCCTTTGCCCTTCGAGAGAAGTCCAAGTCTCTCAGACTTTGAGATTGAGCGTCCTGCGAAGACCCCTCATCGAGCGAACCGGCCGCTGCGACGATCGTCCGAATATGATCCAGAACAAGTGTTGCGCTCCGTTGCCGCAGTAATCGCGGCGAAGGCTCGTCCTACCACCGTATCTGGGCGGATTCCAGTTGACCCCGCCCAACTGGTCCTCTTTTTCCGATCGAAGGTGTGTTGCCTGACATTATTCGCGGTGGCATAGACATTGACGATTTATAATAGAGCGGCATCACACATGCATTGGATTTCCCGATAGACGTTGAACATGACACACCTCCAGCACTCGACGTGCTGATAGCAGCATGCAAGCCGTACCCACCCACAGATGGCTCGGAGAATTATCCTGAAGCTATCTACTATCCTCCAAACCTCCCACTAACAGCCACATTAGAGATGGCTAATCACCCCATTCTCGACGCCGTCCGGAACACCCTTTTCCCTGCCTTACCAGTCGGCCATTATCTCGTCGCATTACGCGACAAGCTCGAGATAATCGTGACCGGTGGGAGGATGAGTCCGCAGCCGCGCACTCTTCGAAGCGATGGGCGGGTCGCTATGATTGTAGTGACGCTCCCAGTGCGCTTCCGCGGAGGCAACCTCGTCGTACGAGACGCGGAGGGGAATCCAGAGAAGTTCCACGGCAGAGGCGGGAAGGTCGGCGACATGGAGTGGGTGGCTTTCCTTTCAGATTGTGATTACGAAACGGAGACGGTCGAGAAGGGATGCAAAGTCTGCATCTCGTATGCCGTATACGTGAAGAGCCATGGACCATCGGGGCTCACTCCAGACCCCCTGATTACCCCGAGCATTCAGTTCCTCGATTTGCTCATCCCAATCCTCAATGTCACCCGCGGTCGGCAGATAGCGTTCTATCTGACGGGGGAGTATGGCGTTAATCCAGCCGAGCTCATTGCGGATTCCCTGGTGCCTAATGTACGTCTCCTTACCATGTCTTCGTGTTTGTAGCAGCACTTACCTATTCCCTTCTAGCTCAAAGGCGGTGATTCATTGCTTTACCACGCTTTGAAACTCTTCAAGTTAAGCCCTGAGCTACGGTGGACAGCGGGCGGCTATATCTGGCCTGTTGACCGGGCAGTGGAATGTGTGGACGAGATCGATGTCATGGGCGGTGCACGCACACCTCTGGCTACCACGAACGGTTCTCGCCGTGCTGCAGCAGTGCGCGGAGCTTTCAGCGCTTACGGCGATGAAAGCAGCGACGTCTTGGACCTCCGGAGCAGGGTAGAAGACAGCGGCGCAATACCACTTGCAGAAGCAGACATTACGATCTTGACAGACTGGAACCAACCCGGACCCATCACAAGGGAGAAAGTCCCTTTCGTCTCGAACGGCACGCTGGAGAAGCTCATTGTCAATGTGCTCCTGGTCGTCTACGTGGCATGACATGATTTCCTTTCTACTTCGTTTTCTTGGGTTACATATATTATTATGGGCTGTACTCATCAACTGTACTACTAGCTTCTCCTTCATTCACGGACATGTACAGTAGTGCGCCAAATGCATATCTCACCAGTTGTCCGCACAGTATTCATGCAAGATGTAGCTCAATTCCTTATGATGTCGACGTCTCACATCGACTCAAGTCCATTGCATGCACTGTCAGATAGGCTACAACCGAAAGCGAATGACCAATGAATTCTTTTGTAGCGGAAGCCTTTGTATACAATATTAGTTGGAGCGTATTATGCAACAGCCGCCTTCGCCTGCGGTGCTTCACTGAAACCATAGTTCTCACCCTTGACGAATGATCGTGTGCACTGCGCCATCGTCACAGAACTGTGAAAGATCTAATCAGTCGCAGGTCTCTTACTAGGAGCAGAAGATACTCACGCTCTAGAGATAGGATCCGTCTGATAGAAATTGGTAATAGGTTTCCGGAACGGCTGACCAGACACCTTTGCACTAGAGGTCTGGACAGCGAGGGTACTCAGACCAGTCAAGGCCACGTCTACTGACGTCGGTTCCACAACGTCATACCGAACCAACGTGGGGGAGATCTCCCACATACGGTCACGCAAGCTAAGGACGTCGTCGTACGGTAATGGGGAGCCCACTATCTCGGACAGTGCGCTATTAATTACTCGTGTAAGCATCGCGATTGCGTCTCCACCGGAAATGAAACCATACCGAATGATCTTCCAGTCTTCACGCGAGGAGCCCGGAGGAGGCACGGCTGCGCGACCAAGCTGCGCCCGCCCTTCGGTGTTGATCCAGGTCATTGCCTTCTCGGTGTATGCAGAGCCAGGCAAGACGACATCAGCAAGTTGCGCTCCAAGGTCACCGTGGTGGCCCTGGTAAACGACGAAAGCATCTTGAGGAATCGACTTGGGGTCGACCTCATCAGCATTCAGGAGGTATATAAATTTAGGTTTCGTCGTAGAAGCCTTCTTCGAAGGGACAAAGCCGATGTCGTATGCAGCCGCACGAGAAGCAACCTATGTGAAAGCAGCGGCAACGTCAGACCTGCACCACGCTATGGGGGGGGGGGGGATAATGAACTTACGCGCTGTAAGACACTCAGACCCTGCCACTCAGGATTAAGCAGGGTACTCTTGTTCTTCTCGACGTATTTAGCCAGGCCATTGTACACAGCAGCACCGTCAGGGTGTTCATTCAGTGCACTTCCAACGATGATCAGGGGCTTCTTGGCCGACTGGAACTTTTTAGCGAACTCGCCCTTGCCGGCGATGAAGTCAGCCAAAGCCTTCGCGTCCGGTCCCAGGTAGTCGTAGCCATACGTCGTGTCTGCCCGCTCACCGATCAAGCCAACCTCGAGACCAGTGTGTAACCAACTTTTGCGGATGCGAGAGTTCAGAACCGCGGCCTCGTGCCGAGGGTTGGTACCGACGAGGAGGATGACATCAGCTTCTTCTACCTTGGGTATCGTGGAGTTGAAGAGGTAGTTCGACCGGACATCTACGCCGTGTACGGGAGGAGCAGAACCATTGACCTGATCGAGAGCCAGATTGTCGGAGCCGAGTCGGTTGATGAGGTCCTTGAGTGCGACCAACGACTCAGTGTCCGCCAAATGTCCTGCAACGGCCTGGATCTCGTCGCCCTGCGCACCCGAGCGCGACAAGCCATTGGCAATGGCTGAGAGTGCGTCTTCCCATGCAGCGGGAACGAACCGGTCGCCTTCTTTGATCAGTGGCGTGGTCAACCGCTGGAACCTAAGACCATCGTACGCGTATCGGGTCTTGTCGCTAATCCACTCCTCGTTCACATCGTCATTGGTTCGCGGCTGCACGCGCATGACCACGACTCCGCGCGAGTCTACGCGGATATTCGAGCCCACAGCATCCATGACATCGATCGACTCCGTGTGCTTCAGCTCCCACGGGCGCGCGTGGAACGCGTACGGCTTGCTGGTCAGGGCGCCGACGGGGCACAGGTCAACGACGTTGCCCGACAGCTCCGAGTCCATCGTCTTCTCGACGTACATGCCGATCTGCAGGTCGTTGCCGCGCCCGGTCGAGCCCAGCTCCTCGACGCCGGCGACTTCGTTCGCAAACCGGATGCAGCGCGTGCACTGGATACAACGGTTCATCGACGTCTTGACGAGAGGACCGAGGTTCTTGTCCTCAACCGCGCGCTTGCCGGCGATCTCGTGGAAGCGTGTGCGGTCGGAGCCGTACCGCATGGACTGGTCTTGCAGGTCACATTCGCCACCCTGGTCGCAGATGGGGCAGTCTAGCGGGTGATTGGCGAGCAGGAACTCCATCACGCCCTCACTATGTGACAAATATTAAGTGACGCCACATTGCGAAATTATGAAGTACGTACCGAGCTTCGTGAACCATTGGAGTGTTGGTCCACACCTTTGAACCAGGCATTGCGGGCATCGCGCTTCTTATATTTCAGAGAAATTTCTTGGTGTAGGCTAGGAGTGCACTCACCATGATGCGACCGGCTTGGGTGACCTCTCCACCTCTACCAAGCACATACTGAATAATAGTTGAGTACTAGAAGAAGTGATCATACGCAATTACATACCGACAGTTTCCTGCGATCGCCAGCCTTCATTCATGTTCAATACAGCTAGAATCCAAGAGAGATACAATTACCCTTACCTGTCATGGTAGCAAAATCTAGGCAAGATTCGCGCTTGAGCCAGACAAGACTATCGTTAATACCTGCGGACATACCGTGGTATGACCGCGCCGGCAGCTTCGCATGCCTGAATCAGAGCAGACCCTGATACAAATCGCCCGTCAGCGAGTCCCTCAACCCTTCGTGACTTCATGCATACCCTGTGGTACCGTGACCTCCTTGCCGTCTACTGTCAAAGTGATATCGGCCTGCCGAGGTGCGGTAGATGATATATGCCGTCGAACTGCATAACTACTCAACTTTTCGCCCAATTCACCGAGCGCTGTACGAAGACGTACCTCCGCTAGACGAAGCCGACGAGCAGACAACCTTTGCGAGGCGCCCAGAGGGCTGTCTTGAGGCCACTCGAAGCATGCTCGAAGGAGAAATAAGAGAGAACGCTTGCCGCAGGGTCCTCAGCCCAGTTGACGACGTCAAAAGCAGCGTCCTCGTCGTTCAGCACAGCAATCAACGAGCAACCAACGACGGCGCTTGCATTCCGGATTCCCCCTTTCGACTGTGATCTGCTGACTAAACGCCCCTTTTACGGTAACTCTGGGTGTACGGCGCTAGCACTACAGGCCACAGCTTTCCGAGTCTCTTGCAGTCTCTTGCATTCTGCTATCCTCTGGTCGTTCTTTCTGCATGACATCGACTTAGGCCAGGAGCGAGGCCGAAATTAGAAATGCTATGATTTTGCGATTTTATACTTGCAACCGGTGTATCACCTCGTTTCGGTCGAATCTTTCGCTGGTCTTTCCAGGTGAACGAGGTTCAGTCTAGCGAAAGTATGTATGCATTGTGGACTATACGGGACAGTGTGCAGAGCGGCTCATCAAGAGGGAGAAGGGGGATTTTATCAGTTATGTGTATATCTTATCTACCTGTATGCAGGGGGACCTTGCTCGGTATCGACCATATTACGACCAACGCCGAGGTCTTCTAATAACGAGTGTTCCGCTAAGCTTGTATCAAGAACGAGTACACCGTTTGGTCTTGAAGTTGAGCAGCGGGATACGCTTCAAATGCGCACACTGGTTGTCCGAAGCTATAAGTAGTACCACATCGTGGCAATAGTAGAAGGATCGGCCCAAGGCCCTAGCACGCAACATCGTTACTGGCACACAACTCGTAGCTGCAGGAAATCCGAGTTCGACGATGGCGCCGAACGGGTATGTCATTGATCTGACTGGTAGGTTTTCGTGTTCCACTCACAAGTGTTAGCTGAGATAATCTAATAAGTGTATAACAGGCGGTTGCATCGTCGTAACAGGTGGTAATCGCGGAATCGGACTGGAGATCAGCAAGGCAGTCGCGAGAGCCGGCGCCAGTGTTGCCATCATCTACAAGTGAAGCTCTCCTCTGCCGCATTACTCTACGACAATTCTTATCTCCAGATTTACCCAGGGCATCTCAAGATGCTGAGGACGTCGCGGCTCAGATCGAAGAAAGGTATGGCGTGAAGGCACAAGTAAGAAAGGACGCATATAGTCATGATCGTGTTGCCGATAACGCGTATGCTATTGAAAGGCGTACAAGTGCGACGTCGGGGATGCAAGTCTTGTTACCAAGACTGTTAGTAAAATCGAAACCGAGCTGGGACCTATTTCGGGTCTCGTGGCGGTAAGTTATCGCTCAAATGTAGTTGGTATCGCGCATATAACGCACCTCCCCCAGAACGCGGGCATCACAATCCAGAAACCTGCTCTAGAACTAAATACGCAAGATTTTCAGCAAATATACAACGTCAACGTACTGGGCGTATTCAACGTAGCCAAAAGCGTTGCGAAGTACGACCCATTATCTTACCTTTCGCGTATAGACTGACTGACGCGGGATCTCAGGGTGTGGATCGACCGCCAGTTCAAGGGCGGGTCCATTGTAGTCACGTCATCCATGTCTTCTCGGATCTACAATCGCAAAGGGCCACATGACCCCATTACCCAAGTAGGGTGAACGCTGGAGGTTGGAGAGGCCGATAGCTGACGTTCGTCTGCGATCTCAGGTCTTCTACAATTCGTCCAAGGCCGCAGTCACTAATTTGTGCAAGGGTCTGGCCGCAGAATGGGCGAAACACAGTATACGTGTTAACGCCATTGCGCCCGGATATGGTGGGCTGGTTGTGACCACAACACTTCTTTAAGGGCTAAGAACCCAACCCTGGTATACAGTTGACACCGACATCGTCGAAGTAGATCCAAAAGTGAGGCAATATATTAACGACACGGTCCCCGTTGGACGGTTTGCCAAGGTACGCGTCCCTCCCTGAGCAAGGTCATCTTCCAAGTCCTTATCTGGTTACCCTATGATGTAGCCGGAGGAGATCACAGGTCAGACTATCTTACTCCTCTCTGAATACGCCAGCTACATGACAGGCGGCGAGTATTTGATCGACGGGTAAGTGTCAACCTTCCGTCCTGGAGGTTTGTGAGGATAGTCTTGACGATTTGACCAAAGCGGACAGACGATATGGTAGATTGGAAAGCTAGATCTTCACCGAGGAGATAGTGGCGAGCTTGTTGTGCACCTTCCAGGCATAGCGCTAGTCCATAGGGCGTACATTGTCCCGTAGAAGTCCGAGTGAGTGCTCCCTCAACGAAATTCTTCTAGATAATTTCTGGCGCAGGGGATTGTACCAACTTCCCTTCCTCTGAGAGATAACATGACCATCTCAGCACTTGCAGGAACAGAGGAGCCTCCGATTCCGTTGCCACAAAGTCGCTACAATTAGGCACTGACCCACGTGGCATGAATAATCACATGCCAAAAGCCGGTGAATCCTGAGCGAGTTTTGAGATCGAGACGGCGCTGCGCAAGAAGTTTCTTGGTGGTTGACACCATGTCGGAATCATGATCATGAACGATCTCCCTTATTAACGGAGTCCAGCTGTATCGAGGAACGTGTGCAGGTTGGTGTGCGGCGCATGTTCCTCACTTGTACGGCAGGGCGTACAAGTAGGAGCATTCTCCGTACCTCAGATATTGCCCGGCTTCCGAGAAACGGGGCTGTGTGTTATTGCCCGGTTCACTGCAGCTCAACCCAGAGAGGCATGTCACTGCGCGATGCGGCGAGTAATCTCTCTCGGCACTGAGGCGTCAAAGTTAACCCGCGACGATATCTAACCGCCGGCGGTTGTCCCTCAGTATCCCGGGCACCTTCTGGCGACGAGCGGCCAGAGGTACGTTCCATGCACGCCGAAGCTCATGGTCAATTTCCTGGAGTAGCTGACCGCCGACAGCGTCCTTCATGTTTAGCTGTTTTCCGATTACATCTAAACTTCCCCTCTCCAGCACTCTTTTGTCCATGCAGTTGCCTCGAGCTCCCCGAGAGTGGCAGTATCTGCTTCCGCCGGAGAACGACATCTCCGACTCGCGTGGCAGCCTCACGGATCAACCAGAACGGGCCTCTATCCAGGCACTCCGAGTCTCCGACGCCAATCATCTAGATCCTCGATATCCAAACACTTATCGCATTATCACATGCTTCGAGTTCACGCCGCACAGGCGTTCCCGGTTGGCTCGACAAGTCGCAGAAACCAGGCTCGGGAGGCTGCTTTGTGTTCCAAAGCACGCCTATTCCGTCGATATGCATCTCGTATCATCGAAACATCACTTGCATGTGTTTCTGACCGGTCCCCGCGCATGCACCATGAAGCACGGCGGCGTGAAGGCAGCGTTTGGAAGAAGAAGAAGGACGACCGAATAAACAGACTCTGGCCCGAAGCCGCAAGATGTCTGCCAGGCTCTAGAATGCTTCTAATCTCTGCTGCGTAATCGCGCGAATGGCCAAATTTTTCGACTCTTGTCCTTTCGTATAAATGCCGGGCGCCAGTCTTTTCTCATGTCAGTATCTATTCACTCCCTCCCAGGACTGCAGATCGCTTGACTGTCTAGCTGACAGCCATGGAAGGCTCAACATTGCCAGCATCGCGCGAAATGGACGTCTCGCAGGTAGCCGAACAACGTTCGCAAGGCTCCGCCGTCGGGGACGCAAATTCTGAGCATGATCCATCTCATGTGGCAGCTGCTTCGACTCATGTCGATATCCACCATTTCGACCCTGCTGGTGTAGACGAGTTGCAGCGAACTCTCTCCCGCCTGTCACAAGATACTCATCGCCGACGCCCGTCGAGCGATTATTCGGGCGTTACGTTAACTAACATGGCGGATGGGCCTTTTGATTTCGAGAAAATCCTTCGTCATGTTATCAAGAAGTAAGTCTATCCTCCTGTGGCCTAATCTTACGATACTGAGTTCTGGATGCTAGGCGAGAAGAAACAGAACTGAAGGGCAGGGAGCTCGGGGTTATGTTCAAAGACCTGACAGTGAAGGGTCTGGGAGCATCCGTCTCATATCAGTCGACCCTTGGCTCTGTGCTTAATCCTCTCAACGTACTCGACACGCTCCAGAGGCTTCGTCATCCTCCCGTGCGCAACATCCTTAGCGGCTTCGAAGGCGTGGTATGTCCCGGTGAAATGCTACGTATGTCACATTCAGCCGTTTCGTCTCGAGTGCCTGCTAATGCTCGCCGATCTAGTGGTCCTTGGCCGGCCAGGCTCCGGTTGCTCCACTTTCTTGAAAACCCTCGCAAATCAGCGAGACGAGTACTACGCAGTCGAAGGGGAAGTGCACTATGACTCTTTCTCGCCCGAGGACATCAAGAGACATTATCGCGGCGACGTACGATACTGCCCGGAAGACGATATACACTTCCCGACGCTTACCGTCGAGGAGACGTTAGCTTTTGCCTCGAAGACGAGGACGCCTAGAAGTCGCCTCGGAGGAATGACCCGCGACGAGTATACACATGCCTTTGTCGAGGTGCTGCTAACTGTCTTTGGTCTACGGCATGCCCGCAAGACACTAGTGGGTGACGCGAGTATACGCGGCGTCAGCGGTGGCGAGAAGAAACGAGTATCGATTGCAGAAGCTCTCGCCACGAGAAGCTTACTGTGCGCATGGGATAAGTGAGATTGATTCCTAGCGTTTGTCTGGTTCTTGTACTAACATGCTATCGTAGCTCTACACGTGGTTTGGACTCTTCTACAGCTCTTGAGTTCGGCCGTGCCTTGCGCATAGCCACCGATATTGCTCATTTGACGACTATCGTTTCTATCTACCAAGCTGGAGAGTCCTTGTACCAGCTCTTCGATAAAGTCTGCGTCATTTACGAGGGGCGTATGGTGTATTTCGGACCTGCCAGTCAGGCTCGCCAGTATTTTATCGACATGGGTTATGAGCCTGCTCATAGGCAGACAACAGCGGATTTCCTCGTTGCAGGTAATCATCCTCGCTCCATCGCAGAGTATAGGATTTTACTGACTGGGATCCAGTGACCGATCCTCAAGGACGGACTGTACGGACCGACATTTCCACACCCGTTCCCCGCACTGCAGCCGAGTTCGCAGAATACTACAAGTCGAGCACAATAGGTCGCGACAACGCCCATGATATCGAGTACTACCGCTCCAAGTTTGTCGTTAATCCAGAGCGAGCGGAGGCGTACAGGACTAGTGCACATGCCGAGCGAGCACGTCATGTGCAGGAGAAGAGCCCGTACATTATATCGATTCCTATGCAAACTCGTGCGGTTATGCTGCGGCGGGTCCAAATCCTGAAGGGGAATATCGGGGCACAAGTGATACAGATCGCGTGAGCCCCGTCATCGCTCCTATGTGCTATCCGCGCTCAAAGTTTTTGTAGATCGTACATTATCAAAGCCATTATCATCGGCACCGTATTCCTGAAGATCCCGGAGTCAACATCTGCTTTCTTTTCCCGTGGCGGTATCCTCTTTTTGTATGGCGTTTTATTTGCTGGCGCCGCCATAACTGGAGCTGACTACTTGCATCCCTATTTTAGTGCGATGTTATTCGCTGCAATCAACTCGTTATCGGAAATCCCGGCCCTGTTCACTCAGCGCCCCATTGTTCTTCGTCATCACAAGGCAGCGATGTATCACCCTTACATCGAAGCGCTGGCTTTGACACTGGTTGATATCCCCATCACGTTCGTTACCTTACTCGTTTTCTGCATGATCCTCTATCTCCTGGTCGGTCTTCAGAAGAGCGCCGGTCAATTCTTGTCAGTCATTTCCATGCCATCCATGCGTATCCCACTCACAATGTCGCTGCAGCACGTTCTTTGTCTTTGTATTCATGATGACGGTAACGATGAAATCTTGGTTCCGAGCGCTCGCAGCTGCCTTCAAGGATCCGGCTCCTGCCCAAGCTGTTGCAGGGCTGGTATTGATGATAACCACTCTTTACACTGGATACACTGTTCCCAAGCGCGATATGATCGGTGCCCTTAGGTGGATCACTTACATTGACGTACGTTCTTCGTTCCTTTGATGTCCGGTTTTTCACACTGTTGATATCTTTCATGTGCAGCCTCTGCGATACGGGTACGAAGGTATCCTGACGAATGAGTTCCGTACCGTGAGCGGCACTTGTGCTTCACTGGTACCACAGGGACCAGGATACGAAGGAGTCTCATTGGCCAACCAAGTCTGCACAACTGTTGGATCACTTCCGGGACAGGCGATGGTAGACGGCTCTCGTTATGTAGCTCTCTCTTACGGTTATTATTTCCATAACACATGGCGTGTAAGTGTCACTCATCATCTCATGAGCTGTATTTAACGTCCATCACAGAACTTTGGCATCGTCTGCGCTTTTGCGGTCGGGTTCATCCTGATTCTTCTGTTCATGACCGAGATAAACACGGCTTCAGCAGCTGACGCGGCAGTCACGCTCTTTGGGCGTGGGTCTAAGGCTATGCAGCGTAATGCAGACGACAGTGACGAAGAAAAAGCATCGCATACGCTATCCGGAGCCGCCGAGAAGAGGGAGCAAAACGATGACGGCCAAGATGTACTACATCGGGACTTCAGTATGACCAACGTCTTCTCTTGGCAAGGCATCGAATATACTGTTCCACTGTCTGGTGGTCAGCGACGGCTACTGGACAATGTATCTGGCTATGTAGCTCCGGGAAGGTTGACCGCCTTGATGGGTGAATCCGGAGCGGGGAAGGTATGGCACCTCCAGTTATGTGTTGATCACGCAATCGCTGATGCCATGGTCGTTATAGACTACTCTCTTGAACGTGCTAGCCCAGAGGACGACCGTCGGAGTCGTTCGAGGGGAGCGATACGTGAATGGCCAAGCTCTTCCTGCTGATTTCCAGGCACAAACGTCAGTATATTTCTTGCCTTCTCATATGTTAGCCCTGGCATATATTCAAGCATTCGCATCTAGCGGTTACTGCCAGCAGATGGACACTCACCTGGAGACGGCGACCGTGCGTGAGGCGTTGCAATTCTCGGCCAGCTTGCGCCAGCCTCAGCATGTCCCACGTGCGGAAAAGGAAGCATGGTGAGTTCAGTTGGTGCTGTAGCTTCCGCGTGTGGGTTGATTCAACCTATGATGACCTCTAGGGTCGAGCAGTGTCTGAAGATGTGCGGCCTCTTGGCCTATGCCGATGCAGTCATTGGCACTCTCTCGGTTGAACACCGCAAGAGGACGACCATCGCTGTCGAACTTGCTGCTAAGGTTCGCGCGCGTAATCACCTCCTGCTACCATGCGTCTAATAGTGTTACATGCCTAGCCGAAGCTACTGCTCTTCCTCGATGAACCGACTTCTGGCTTAGACTCCCAGAGTGCTTGGGCGATCGTCATGTTCCTTCGCAAACTGGCAGATAATGGACAGGCTATTCTATGCACGTGAGTCACGTAGAATATGTAACTGCACGAGTAGAAATTGATCCGTCCTCCCTCGTATCAGGATACATCAGCCCTCCGCCGAACTCTTCCAGGTCTTCGATAGGCTCCTGCTTCTCCGTAAAGGTGGCCAGACCGTATACTTTGGAGACCTGGGAAAGAATGCCTCCACTCTTATCACGTACTTCCAAACTCATGGAGGCCGTCAATGTCTGCCTGACGAGAATCCGTATGTCCATCTCCCATGAATTGTTGCTCATGCTGACCCCAGTGCAGTGCGGAGTATATGCTTGATGTCATCGGTGCTGGAGCCACTGCGACAAGTGAATTGGACTGGCATGACATCTGGAAGCACTCCAAGGAAGCGGAAGAGGTGCAGAAGGAACTGGAAGAGATTCACGCCGAGGGCAGGAAACGACCTGCAGTGCAGGCGGAGCTTCGTTCCCAATTTTCAACGTCCTGGATACACCAGATGCTGCAGCTTACCCGGCGTGACCTTCAAACACATTGGCGCAGTCCCACGTATATCATGGCGAAGGTGCTCCTCAACATCGTCGCAGGTCTCTTCATAGGCTTCACTTTCTTCAAATCCAAGAACACTCTACAAGGCACGCAAGATAAGCTCTTCGTGAGTCTTGGTCTCGGTTGTGCCTCATTTACGTTCCTCTGACTGCTTTCTAGGCCGTGTATATGTCCCTCGTCATGCCAGTTGCACTTTCGCAGCAGCTGCAGGTACCATTCATACACATGCGGAATATTTACGAAGTGCGCGAGCGCCCTAGCCGCATGTATAGCTGGTCGGCTCTCTTGACCTCTCAGATCCTGGCCGAGATTCCGTGGAATATCATCGGATCCTCCCTTTTCTTCCTCTGCTGGTATTGGACTGTGGGGTTCCCCAGCGACAGAGCTGGGTACACCTATCTGATGCTGGGGGTTGTCTTCCCGCTCTATTACACCACCATCGGCCAGGCTGTCGCAGCCATGTCTGCCAATACACAGATAGCCGCTCTTATTTTCGGGTTCCTGTTCTCATTTGTTCTTATTTTGTGAGTACATTCCTGGTGTCTTCCGGATTCGGACTCATCGTGCCATGATAGCAATGGTGTCCTGCAACCATATCGTCAACTGGGATGGTGGAGGTGGATGTACCGCCTTTCGCCATTCACATACCTTATTGAGGGTCTTTTGGGACAAGGTCAGGCATCTACTTGACTTCTGTTAGACTAGACACTAACGTGCGGAATCACGACAGCGCTGGGAGAAACCTCTATCGCTTGCAGTGACGTGGAATACGTGACCTTGACGCCCCCCTCCGGTCTTACATGCGGGGACTACATGCGTCCCTTCATATCTTACGCCGGCGGATATCTTGTGGATGCGAACGCCACCAGCAATTGTCAATTCTGCTCGTCCCGCACAGCTGACCAATTACTGGGCAATTTCTTCAACATCGAGTATGCTCATCGATGGAGGAATTTCGGCTTGCTCCTCGCGTACATTGCTTTCAACGTGAGTGCTCTCCATGATCCGAGAGGCAGCGCTGGCTAATGATTGGCTTCCTTCGCTAGACTGCTGCTATATACTTCTTCACCTACATATTCCGTATACGCTCCGGGAATGTCTTGGGTGTTCTTCGAACACGTCTTTCCAAGGCCTCATCGAGCTAATTCTCCATAATATCCATCGCTCCTTCTGTCATAGAGAACATAGAGAACATACAGTATAGAGGTAGAATGCAAGTAGAATTTACGTAATGTTTCTTTAGACGATAGTAGATACTCGCATAGTTTTCAGTATATAGCAACTTCAAGGAGCGCCGCGAACTTTGAAGCCTCTAGACCCTTTTCTTCGCTATTGCGCATACCTGAATCCCTGCTCGAGATATATCTGTGAATACTTCCATTATACCACGATTGACTGTCGCACTCGAGTCCTTCTATGCATCATATTGTCATATTCTAAGCGCACAGCCGGTACCCATTCGCAGAGGTAGTGGTGTTCCCAATAAGGCACATGTCAGGAATTCCACGTCCGCCTCACGTTCCGCGTACGCGTCTTCACGCCACATCGCTACCTGTGCTTTATCTAGTGTCCTCCGTCACGTCTAACTCACTCAACATGGACGTGGAAATGCTGGATGCGACCGAACAAGCCCCCAGTTCCTCGAAAGCGAAGAAGGCGCCGACACCCATCGTCCCTGTCGATGAGAACCATCCGTTTGACCTCGAAACCTATATTGCCAGTTACGAAGGCGTGTATCTTCCGTTGCAGCGCAACCGCCCGTCAACTAAGTATTCGGGATACCACCTGCAGGCCGTGTAGTGGTAGACCGGCTGGTCCATATCATTACCCTTGCACCATCGATAGCGCCCCAGGCTTTGCAGCTTGCTGTGCGCCACATACAGACCCTACGAGACCCAACGTTGTATCCAGTTGCAGTGGCTGCATATGATGTCGGTTATCTCTTGATACTACTTTCCGGACTAACTCAAATGTTATTGAAGCAAGCAGCATCCCTCTCCCCTGGCCAGCTGCCCAGCGCGAGCGAGGTTGCTACTATCAACCAGAAATGGGTCGACGAGACAAGCGCGAAGAACCAGAGCGAACGAATGAAGCTGGAGGTGGAGCTGAAGACGTACACGAACAACATGATCAAGGAGAGCATCCGAGTGAGTGGCCGGCTACTTTCTGTATCCCTGTGCCTGTATCAAATCCCAGCCAGATGGCCCACCGTGACTTGGGCGAGTTCTACAGGAGTGTAGGCGAGTATGGTACTGCCCTTCGGCATTTCACCAAATCGCGCGAGTTCTGCACGACAAACCAGCACATCTTAGAGATGTGTTTGTCTGTTCTGGAGGTGAGCGTATGACCGCTTACTATAGCAAACGGCTTTTTATCTGACTGCGACGAAGCTCCTTATCGAACAACGCAACTACTCTCATGTTCCTACATACATCTTCAAAGCAGAGGCAGCCTTAGATCAAGCTGCGGCCGGCGGGGAGAATCCCAAAGGAGCAGTCGGTACGAAGTCAAAAGCAACGGCCGAGCGAGAGAAATACCAGACGAAGCTCGACTTTGCGCTTGCGTTGAGCCAGCTGGGGCAGGGGATGTACGAAAAGGCTGCACACACTTTCTTGAAGCTTGGTCTGCCAGGCAAATTGGGTGATTGGTCGGGCAAGCTCGTGGCGTCGGGCGATATTGCTGTTTACGGGACCCTTTGCGCCCTTGCAAGCATGTCCCGCAGCGCTATCAAGTCGCGCGTACTCGAGAACGAAACGTTTTCGGTGTATATTGAGCAGGAGCCGTACGTGAGGGATATCGTGGATGCATACATGAGCAACCGCTTCAAGGCCGTGCTCGACTTGCTTGAGAAATATTCAGTGAGCACAATTTTTGTATAGCCCGTATGTGCTTGTCGTGCTAATCCTGGTGTTGCCGCCAGACTCGTCACTATCTAGACCTATACCTCTCTTCACATGTACACGACTTAACGAACCTCATCCGCAACCGCGCGATCGTGTTGTACTTCCAGCCCTTCTCATCGATCAAGCTGGAGCGGATGAGCTCCGTTTTCGGGTGGACGGTGGAAGAGGTGGAGAGGCAGGTCGTGGCGCTCATACAGAGTGGGGATATCCAAGCTCGGGTGGACTCTCAGCACAAGGTGAGGTTCTGTTAATGGACTTGTGCTGGGGCGCGAGTGAGCTGATCTATTCGGTTTGCAGATCTTGAAGGCGAAGCAGGTGGATCCGAGAGCGCAGCTATACGCCAAGGCGCTCAAGGCGGGTAGCGAGATGCAGAGTGCCAACCGAAAGTTGCTCCTACGCATGCGACTGTGAGTACTTGGTTCTGTCTAGGACTACGCAATTGCTGAATGATGCCCCCTTCCAGTCAGCAAGCGGACCTGATCGTGAAACAGCCCAAGAATCAAAAGCAGGATTCCGCGGCCATGGCTTCTGCGTCGCAGATGTCGGATTATATTCAGATCGGCGACTGAGCGGTACCAATTGGAAGGGTGTAATTGTATCATTGAGTTCTTCAATCATTGATATACCGGATAGGCCTTTCATTGAATTCTATATAATGAACGGAGAGAGCTCGACACCACAGGGCACTTGGCACAGTGGTAGCGCGCACGCTTCGCATGCGTGAGGTCGTGGGTTCGACTCCCACAGTGTCCATATATAGCTGGTCATGGGCTTTTTTTGAACAATGTCACCGATAAACCTTACAGTAATTGCTATCTGTTATGGCATGACACGACCAGTACTATGTAGTGCGCCCGCCTAAGTACTTGAGGGTCTGGCGGTTACGCGGTGTTGTATGCACTCTGCATATCATAGGTGTAGCTGATACAGGTGAAAACTCATGTAGGCGTGCATACTATGGCATGGAATATGTAGGTAAAAGCAAAGCGACGGAGACCCCAACGAACTACCCCTCCCACATTTACTCGACGACCACCGTTTGAAGGCCCTACATGAACATTATAACCAAGGCACGGAGAACGACATGTCAAGCACATACCTTGAATGATGCTACTGGGACATGGCTGGCGTATGTGTAAAGCTTCTCCTTCGCGTTCTCGTCGTCATTCCGTTTCCCTATACGTCCCAAACCGTCAGCACACTTCCATAGCACCGCTCCTCCCGACTTTATTTCCTCCTCCGCCCAAGCCATCCAAGAGAGAGAGACCACTCACGCTCGAGCTTCACCCGGATCCGATGCGGCACGTTCTTAATCCCCTGCTCCCACAGCGCCTGGTTGAGCTTGGGGTCGATGCGGACGTCGGACGTGCCCATCGTCTTTTGCGCGAACTCAATAACGGACTTGACGGCGCGCGGCGCCCGCTTTTTGAAGCCCATGCCGAAGACGCGCTTGTGCAGGTGGATGGTGTACTCCCGGGTCACGACATCCTGGAGGGCGGAGCGAGTCTTGCCGCCGGTCTATGCAGTTACGAGATGCGTTCAGCCATCGCGGACATACGTCCCGAGAGAAGGGGAAACGCGCACCTTTTTCTTCTGGGTGTTTCGGGGGGCCTGCGCGGGCGAAACGGTCAGTATGCTGCTCGCGCTGTCGGCAGCGGCGGCGACGTACCATGTCTTGAGGATGTCGGGGTCGGTGAGATCAATGAAAGTGTCCGGTGCGCCTGCAGCCACCCAATGCCAAAGCGGGACAAACAAGATAGAGTTTGCCAGGCTTATTGGAACTGTACAGACGTGCGGCAGTTGCCGACACTCCGTCCCAATATGGCCGCTGTGGCGGCTGCCGTATGTCGGGATTTCGGGAATTTAGAGGCATTTAGCAAGTATCAAGCACCCGCATAGTATCTCTGTGTAGTTTATAAACCCCTCCTCCACTGTGAGTATAGCAATCGCTAGATGTACGCCCAGTTCACTCGTCTGACTGAAGCCTGGGAAACGCCGGTAGTCCTGCCCAGTTTACCCAGCCACAATTCCCACCTTGCTCCAAGACGGAATACTCACTTGGTATCGGCGCCGGCCTCGACAAACCTCAAGAACAAGGTGCGTACGCTCGGCCGTTCGACAGTGGCGACGATGCTGACGGTCTGTGTGATTCTTACAGGTCTCTCCCTTAATGTGAGTTTTCCGAGTTCTGTTTACTGGGTGCTTTTGGAGGCGAGGCGGATCGTGGCGGAGGGAAGCAATACAAGACCGCTGCTATGCTCGTGGAACGTTGGGAGACTCAGAAGCAGTCTTCGCGCTGTGTGGGACGGTATTCACATGAGAACTTTGGCTGATCGCTGTTCTGTCTATGCAGTCGCAATGGCCCAACGAGTGACCCTCCGCAAGCGCACTCCCTACAACACCACCTCCAACCGCCGACGCGTGGTCAAGACCCCCGGTGGCAAGCTCGTCTACCACCACATCGGCAAGCTCGCGTCCGCGCCCAAGTGCGGTGACTGCGGGGTTGCTCTGCCCGGTGTACGTCCACAGAACATCCCAGGCGATTGATCGAAGCTGACGCGATGTTGCGCCTAGATCCCCGCCCTCCGACCCCGCCAGTACGCTACTATTTCCAAGCGTCAAAAGACTGTCAACCGGGCATACGGCGGCTCAAGATGCGGTGACTGCGTCAAGCAGCGGTACGCATGCCTTTCCCTTCCCCTCACCGTCCCATCCTCATCTTACCCGCCTGAACTCCAGCATTCTGCGCGCGTTCTTGGTCGAGGAGGCCAAGATCGTCAAGCGGGTGATCAAGACGCAGCAGCAGGCCGCCAAGAGGAAGTAAACGCCCACCCGCCTCTGCTTCCTGTCCAGTCCCGGTGTGGGATACGCTTTCGGGCTCGTTTCGTCATTGCTATCATTACATATCACGTTCCGTTATGGCGACTACTATGCGACCATGTATTCTGAGGCAAAAATGCGACTGATGAGGTCGGTCTTCATGCTCCGTTTGCCTGCGCGCGTCCGGGTCGGTGCAAGCTTGTGTGCCCTTTGACTGGAATGCGAAGAAACGCGGCGTTGGTGCATTCCGTCGGCTCTTAGACTCTGAGTTTCTCCTCGGTATGTGTTGGACGCGGTGATATCACGGCGCTTCGTCCATGGATTGTGGGATACGATTGTATTGAAGCCCTTGATCATCTCTGTTCCCTCTCCCCAGGTCGGCTGCGCCCACATACGTCCATGCTACTCACTCCAGGGTGCAACAGTATCATGATATGATGTGCATGATGTTCAAGTTCTGCTGAAGATATCGATGTCTTGTTCATCATAGCTATGATTTACACCGTCTTGCCTGCTGCAGAGTTGAACCTTCGTGTCGGAACACTGCTGTTGTACAGCCTCTGCAGATGGATGTTCCGTGGTTACATGTACAGTTGAAGCTCTCTGCGGCGTCGGCTTATACATGGACTGAAAGACGCCGGTATTTATTGTACTTGCAGTGCTGTTTGACATCACTTGTCAACATTGATATTCGATGTCGATCCTGACGTATGAAGGGCGCTCATCGAAGCTGCGCCTCACGGCTACCAAACAGCAAGCAAGGCAATGCATCCCAAACCTGAATACTAATATGTACTAAACAAGAGTGCGAATAAAATAAATTTACACTTCGTGCAGCAAGGGCGCGGCAGGAGAGCGGAACGGAACCAGCCAACGTCCCCCAATCCCCTACGAGAGAGAGAAACCGCTCGATGCTCTCGTTACAGAGCGAGGGCAGCGAGACCGACGGCGGCGAGGCCGGCGACCATGTTGGCACCGTTCGCGCGGGCACCGTTGGCTGACGTTTGCGAAGGGCTGTGAACCAGATCAGTCTATACCTGACAAGTCGGAATGCAAAGCACGTACGCAGCCGAGCTCGTCGAGGAGCCCGAAGCAGAGCCCGTGCTGGACGGGGAGGTAGCGCTGCCCGAGGGCGCGGTCGCGGACGCCGACGATGCCGTCAGGGTGACGCCCTGTTCGAGAATTGAATCAGACAGCCCCCCGGAGATCGCGGAGGACGCCCACAACTCACAACGGCGGCGCACAGCTGTTGCGCGGCGGACTCGGCGGCGGCGAGGTCGCTGCCCTGGCAGGTCGACTCGATGCACGACGTGGTGCTGCTGATGAACGCCTGGCTCTTGCACAGGCAGGTGTCGTCCGTGCCGCAGTTGCCCGTGTCGGCGTTGGCGAGGCAGGTCTGTGCGCACGCTGCGAGAAGCGTCAGGTGTCTGCTCAGAGGCTACGGTGCACGGGGTACCCACTGGGCAGCGACTGGCGGCGGAAGACGGAGACGTGCGAGGCGGACACGGCCGTGAGGGCAGAGAGGGCGACAAAGGCGAGCGTGAAGCGCATGGTGGCGATAACTTAGGGTATCGAGGTGTAGACTCTGCAGCGGCCTGCAAGGCGAAGAGGAAAGGACAGTGCAGGGAGAGTACTCGCAAGAGTTGGGTGTACCAGAACGGGGGCGGGTCGCTTTATAGTCCTGTGACAATGGGAAGCTGGTCCACGCTCGTTATAGTACTCCAGTTCTGATGAACCATGATCAATAGAACGCGTTACAATCTCGCGCGTGCGTAAGAATGGGAAGCCCTAGGCTCCTTGCGTGAGAGCAGCTGCCCCTGGCCGACATATGACTGCTGCTAATTCCGTTGGCAACATCGCGTGTTTCCAGGAGGGCGTCTTGTATTTCCTCGGGCGTTTGGCGGCCTGGATGGTACGCTGCACGGGGCCGAGCGCGTTGCGTCGCACAAAGACTGAAAGGGAGCGCCTTTGTGGGCAGGAGGCGTGCGTGCGCAATGCCCGGGACAGTTCAAGGCGAACAATCGTTTGTTCCGGAAATGGAAGTCAAAAGGCACCGTCTCGAATCGCGGTGTCCGATGCCATTCTCGGACAAATTCCACAGTGTAATACACAAGACAAATGCGCACCTCGACGGCATTGAGGGTGTAAGATTGGCTGACTGGACTATGGGAACTGCTATTGGGTGATTCCGAATCGGTTGATTTCGACACTTAAGTACTTCTGGAGCTGATATTGCTCAAGGCCATCCAACAGATGGGGCTGTGCGCAGCCGCCAACTCCTACTGAATGCCCCGGGACGTTGTCGATGCCGCAGACATCAGTCCTTACAACTGTTTGAAAGGTGCGGCTACCTCCTTGCGATTTGCAGCGGAGGGGCGGCTACCCAGGCCCAGTCTAACGGCCTAGAGAATTGGTGAGGCAACACCCTGGTGAGCCGTTGACCTGTCTATGTGTATAACCGGTAACACTACCTAAGAACACGGCGAATCAAGGAGCTATCCTTGCCGCGGCGTAGTGCGCTAGGTGACCAGGTCTGCTCTAGGAATGCAGTATTGATAGTTTGGGGGTGTCCTTCACCTAGCGACTCAGGACAGATCGAATTGAAGACAATGTCCTCATAAGTATCGCCGTTGCGACTGCAGCGCAGAAGAGGCGAACAGATTGGCACATCCTCCGGAAATACCGTTTCTAGTAAAGGGATTTCTATAACGGGTAACGCTTGACAGAGGGCTCGGGAAGGAGCATCAAGTATCACTGCCCACCAACTGCCCACCTTCCGAGGACCATAGACCCTGACCGAGGAGCGTCAAATATATACTAATAGCTCAATTACACGTAAACCCATATCATAACTGTCTATAGCCAAAGTCCCGCGACAGAACAAGTAACTAGTAAAGTCTCATTTCGCGATGGTGCTTAACCGACACGGCCTCCGATCTCGTCGAGCGATTCGTCCTGCGCTCCCATATGGGATCTACATCAGGTCCATCCAAGTCCCCCGCGCCGTCCCATCCCCAGCACCACACTGTCGCGAGAATCTCGTCAATACCATCTCGCTACCCGCCGCTGAGACTGCTGACTCACCGTATTCGGGCCCCGGCACGAAGTCGACGGGCTCGCCTTCTTCCTCAACGAACAGTCGGTCGTGCGGTCCGAACCACGAGCGATCTTGCGGGTCCGTACGCGGATCGTCAGGTAAGCCACCAAGGCGCACGTAGCCGCGAATGGCGGTCAAATTTCTGCGCGGCGGGTGGATGATGTCAAACACTTTCTGCATAGCAACAATATTATGAGTCAACAAGCGCGACGATGCGAGGGAGACTTACACTGTCATATGCCAACTTCACTCTTGGGACCATCAGAATTCGCCCGTAGCCCGCGTCCCAGTAATCGTTGCAGATCAGACTACATTCACTAGCTGAGCACTCCCCTTCCGTTATCCGCGCCATCCTAAACTTCACGTGTGGAGGCGAGTAGAACGGGGCGGGGTCCAGGATCGCGATACCGTTCCAGCACGACTGTACTTGAATGGGCAGGTGTCGCTGGAAGCGGTCCGAAGATTCCGGGTGGTGGAACACAGACTCAAACGGGGCGTTCTCGAGAGCGGTGCCGTTGATATCCCGCGCGACCCAATTGTCGTAGAACACCGGTGCTCCCTACGCAGATCCGTCAGCCTAAGCCTACCCCCAGAGACAGGCGGTCTTACAATCTCGTCATGGTACATATAATCAGCAGCGCACGTGATGCCCGCATTATTCCGCCTGCTCTGCCAGATAAGCTCGAGGATGTCGTCCAAACAAGGCAGGATGTCGTTCATGAATATGATACTGTCGAACACCTCGTTGTGCGCGTCGCGCAGCTCGTACAGCGGCCCAAACGCCGCGTTCCGCACCTCCGCGAGGTACTCGATCCGGTGGTTGAACGCGCCGCGCGTACGCATCGACGTGCGGATCGTCACGCGCATCCCGACGCTCCGCGTGAGCGCGTCGAAGATGCGCAGCAGCGCCTTCGTCTGGTCCGTCGACCCGTTCTCGTAGATCGACACGTACACGTTGTGGTACCCCAGCACGGCCGCGACGCGGAAGAGCGTCGCGAACAGGTCCGGGATGATGTCGAACGAGTTGTAGAGGTTGATGGCGAAGAAGTATTTGTGCGTGTCCCCGGAGAGGTCGCGCCGCACGTTTTGGATGTTCAGCGGCATCGTGTCTTCTTGTAACGGGGAGAATCCGAGGCCGCCGAGCCACGAGGAGCGCGAGGGCGCGTCGTATCCGATCAGAGGAGAGTACCGGTCCCGGGCTTGTTGGACGTAGAGTGGCTGGGAGTGTCGTGTGCATTCTTTAGTGTAGCGGGGAGAGAGGGATGTGAGGAGGTCGAGGACTCGAGCTCTTTGCTCGATACTGGGTAGGGCGATCGAGTGGCGCGTTGTGCGGGATTGCTGGGAAGGTCCGGCGGTACCTCGCCACGTCGGTGGTGCGGACTACAATGAACAGCGTCAGCACCGAAGGAAAGATGGTATCGTCTACATCCGCAGGAACATAATCATCGCAACGTCCTCAACCATACTTTGCGCATGACAGCCGCCATAACACTCTTGCGCGGTCGCTGGGCCTGCCTTTGTCCGCCCTCCTCGTCCAACGATCCACTCTACGAGTGCCCACCTTAGGCCCAATCACTCGATACCTGCTGGGCTCGACTTCCCCAGCTCCGCCGCAACTCTCCTTACCGATGCCAGAGATTGAGAATCATCAAGGAAGACTCACGTTCCACGAGAGAGACCGAGGCAGGAATATACCACATAGAAGTCCTATGAGGATGGCCAACGGTGTCGGTATTCGTTTTATCGAGTCCAATATTGATGCATTATTGCGCGCCTGACTGGCCTTCGGCGAGTGCATCATGCGGGACGTTTGCTCCTCAGGCGCGTCGAAGTCAAAGGGGAGGTTCGAGGGTCAGATTCCGAGAGGCGAGTTCACCAAGCCTTTTCCACAGCAGCTACGAGCCGGTCATGCAAGTCAACCAGCTTGCGCTCGTCGTCGCCGTCGTAAATGCAAGCTGCAAGCAGTAGGATCGTTCAGCGTTCGGTAATAGGCATTTTCGGCTAAAGCGAGAGCAAAAGGGGTAATCTCGCCAAGTTCCCACCGCTGTATACGCGCGCCACAACCTAAGTCCAACTCTTCTCGCTCGCCAGCGACGTAGCAGCGGTACCGACTTACGGTTTCGACTTGCGGCTTTACTTTTTCGTTTCTGGCGGCGTTGATTTATGCAGCGACGCCCTGGAGGGAAGCTGCAGGCATTCATCAAACCGCCCGTTGAGCGTCCTCTGACGGGCATGGCTTCCGACTCTGAAAAGGGCTCGCGGCTGAGCAGGAAGAGCTTCGGCGTGACGAACCGCATCTGGCTGATTGTATCCTTATTCCTGTTTATAATCCTATTCACTCGTTTAATCCAACACGCCGACCCCGACACCGCGTCCAGAGTCGATTTTTCGCAGCTCAGGCCGAAGAACTACCTCAACGGCTCGGAGGCACAGACACCGTTCGAGTTCTGTCCGACATATGGACCTGGGGATGCTTTATCTGCGAAGTATGGAGCGGTTACATTGGCGAAGACGCGCCTGCATCTTGGGTCGGGCGCTCGGATACAGCGTATCGTTCGGAGAGCCATGACCGGCCAGCCCATGACTGTTAGTGTGATTGGAGGATCCGGTGAGCGTCTGGTTACCTGCGATTACTACATAGGACATCCTAGTCCTCGCATTTTTCTGGCCCACTCGTCGAGCGAGCATCTAGCTATGGGTGGCGGCGAAGCAAATCCGGCACGATAACTGGTTGCTCGCTGGCCGTGCGTGTCAGCGCAACCGCGCACCAAGGTCGCACATAGACTGACATATCGCGCGTCCAGTCTCAGCATGCCATGGAGCAGGCGATGATCCACTTGCACCGCGCTGCTACCCATCCCGCTTCTTCCAATGGTGGAACAGCATCTTCCCCCACCCCGCCTCCGAACTCACCAACGGTGCTATGCGGAGGACGAACTCCGACTACTTCGGTTACTGCAACGGACACCACATCCCCGACAACGTTGACCTTATCATCATCGAGCTCGATGTCGACGATGCTGTGTGAGTGTCCCATGTCCCCTAGATTCAAGGTGAAGTTGTTCTGACGACCCGGTAGCACCGAGCAATCGTTTGAGAATTTTGAGCTGCTCGTCCGGTCAATTCTCATGAGGCCGGACCAGCCTGGGATCATCATTCTCGGCCACTTCAGCCCGCAAACGCACCAGACTTATGCTTTTTCTGGCCCAGACCATTGGCATAACGTTGTCGCTCAATTCTACGACGTACCACACATCAGGTCCGTCGTCCGGTGCCGCATGAACAGAAACGATTGCATCTAACTCGTTAACATTCACAGCACTAAACCCATACTATACCCAGATTATATCGCCGACCCCACGTCTATTCAGAAGTACTATGCAGACCCTGTTCTCGCGAACCCAAGCGGGCACGAGCTTCTCGCGGATGTCCTCATTGCATACCTGCAGACCCAAATCTGCAGTGCATGGAACGCAGGCACTGGTCGCTCGATCGACATCCTACCTGTCCTCGCAGGGGATGCGCCAAAGCAACCTACCGACGCCCGCGGGCTATTCGGCGGCATCGGCCAGCGCAAAGGGGCTGCAGCAGGCAGCGAGGATGTCTCCGACGGGAAGGTCGAGCTGGACCTGTCGAACGCCATATATTCGCAGATGCGTGTCCCACAGGCGCGGATCAACACCCGTACGAACGACGCGCACGCGTTCGAAGAGATCGCGCCATACTGTGTGTCCGCGAACGACCTGATCAACCCGCTGCCGCCCTCGCTGTTCTATGGCTCAGGGTGGTACGCGCACCACCCGCCAACGGGCTCGAACTCGCTGCAGACGTCGGCGCATTATTGGTACTCGACGCTGCCGACAAGCAAGATCCGGATTCCGGTCAAAGTGGGCGCTGGGGATATCGGAGTATATTATCTCAGGGAGTCGCGTTCGGAGGTTGGCCAGGAGGGCAGCGCGGTCGAATGCTGGGTAGATGACAACTACGGCGGCGCGCGGGAGATTCGTAATGCAGCGGATATCGGCGAAGCCACCCCTACGTGAGTTCCTGTCCTCCCGTCATTGTGAGTTGCCGCTAACTGGGCGCTGTCTGTTCTAGACTGGAAATCATTGACCACTTCGTCACTCGTGGCTCGCATTACGTCGAATGCCGGTTAATGGGAGAGGAGGGTAGGAGCGTTCCTGCGTTCAAAATTATGGGCATATTCTCCACATGATGTATCTTGTGCATATTATTTTCCTTGGTTCTCAAGCGTAGCAAAGTATGGCGCTGGACGATAGCGCATCTGTATAGTATGTCTATATGTCTGGATAGATTGGACAGTAATTCATGATCATGGGGTTGCTGTGGGCATCCTGTTGAATCCACACATTACAGCAATCGGCGAAACGATAGAGAAGCTTGGTATTTTCTGCACTCAGCAGCCGTTCCGCGGCTTACTTATTAGAGTAGGGTATCACCAATTTTGCTCCGCTAATGCTGTGTCCTGATCAACAAGAGTGGTGAGTCGTGGTGCACTGTGGCCCCGAGTGGGGTATAATTACCTTTCCGGGCTCGGCTGCCTGCGCGAAGAATTCTGAAAGTTCTCTATCGTTTCGCCGATTGCTGTAAGCTCTTTGTTAAGTATTGCCCGTTATAGAAGTTGTCTTACCGAAAGTGGTATGTTCGACGGCATATGTCACCTCTTTTGGGATCTAGTCATATCGGAAATATACTTAAGGGACAGCTATCTTGTCCGGGACCTCCGTTCCCTCTTTTCCCTTCTCTACTCTACTTATGCGTGCGGACTGTGGGCTGGCCGCGAACTGCTGCTGAGCGTCCCCCTTCCTGGACCGTCACAATGAGAAGTAACTATAATACGAGCATTGCCATATAATAATGTTTCTACTCTAAAAAGACTCGATAATACTTTCTACGGCTGACAGTGCTGAACGCTCACCGGTATCTCTGCGCTATCTTCCCTGGGAAGCAGATAGCAAGGATATCACCTTCATTTCAATGTGTTCTATGTTCTTCCATAGTAACATCATTAACATTGACAGATGGGGACTCACAGGTGACTGATCTGAATCTGCATCAGTATTCGAGCCATTTAGAGGGGGGATTCCACCCTCCGCTATTAAAGACTTCACCAGGGAGTCAGATGGCCGTTCCATCTGGAGTGTGTCGTTGTTGTCCAGAGTCGCCTTTTGCTCAGTATACGCTCGTTCCAGTGAAGCTCGAGCAACATCCTGAGAGGTACGTTGCCCCTGTGGCAATTGGTAGTGGCGTAACTCGTCCTCGGCCGGATCGGGGATTGCGCGAACAATCCGTGGGAACTTGGACGCGCATTGCCCTTTGTTGCTGCGCCGCCCGCAAGTACCGCTTCAAATTCCACCAGCAGTGCTCAGTGCAGGACACGACCATCTTAGCCTCTACGACTCTTCAGCTTCATTTCAAACGACTTTCTCGTTTATTCGCTCTAGGTGCTTGGATATAACTGTATTCTAGCTTGACACGAACATGGACACCACACGACCTCCTCCGCCTCGAGGCGAGTATACTGTGCATCCCGGGTGGCATTCCAAGTCTAATGTTAGCCGTGCAGGAAACCCTCCGCCTTATGCGTTTGTGAACCGCGTTTACCGGTCTAGCCTGAGGCCGGTGGTTATTGTCAGTAAGTATAGAATCCCTTGGATCAGAGATGGTTAGGGTGTAACGACTTATGGTGCAGTCGGCTTGTTATCGGGGATATGGACTCTTGTACAGTACGTATTCCACTTCCTAAGCTCTTAATATGCACTTACCCCGTCCTTTAGAGCGGTAGGTCTGTTCTAGGAGCTCTCAGTTAGCATTTACCCACAGGATCGCGCAGGTCAGCTTGTTCCGGGAGGTCAATGTCGACAAAGGTCGTAAGTACAGACGCATTCGCAAATTCGGGGGTTTGTGTCTTAGGCTGCCATTTCAGAGGGATTCCCAAAGCTCGGTGTATTCGCCATTGCACTCGGAGCGCTGTACCTTGTGGTAGCTTTAATTGAATTCTTCGGCGTCGGCGCAGCTGCTTTGGTAGGTCCTTTGTAGCTTTTCGCGTACAGCTGTCTTAACCATGAACACAGCAAAAAGCAGCGCTTGTCCGTATATACTCTTGGCTCTCTGTTGCCAGTGCACTCATCATAGTGGCCGGTGGCTTCCTACTCGTCATTGTGCACTTTGTCTTCAAGGTGTGCCTCCTGTCTATTTAGGTCGAGGATATGCCGCTCACTTCCGCACCAATAGAATGATATCATCACGGAATGCGTGAATTTATCCAAGGGCGATGAAGTGATAATCGTAAGCCCCATGGATATATCAAGCTGCTCGGCGCTGACGTTATGAATAAGCGAAATGGCATATGGGGTCCGTTTAGCAAGACCCAGCTTAGCGAGCAGGACGCCCAGAAATGTGAGTACGCGTCGCATCCACAATGGTGTTCCCGCTCATCCATGGTCTGCAGTCTGCAACAACGCTTGGTCACACGACTCTTGGGGCGATATCATCGCGCTAATAATCGAGATTGGTAGGTGTCGATACATTTCCCACTCGCGACAATGCTGAACGGACTGTCCTGCGCAATAGTCCTCGCGGCACTATTCTGCAGCGTTGCCTTCGCCTTCTACCGCCAGCTAATCGACCCGACGAGCCCCGCCAACACCTCGCGCGCCCCGTCCAACCAGTACCGCGCCGCCGGCGCTGGCTACCCGCAGCACTATAACCCGCCGTACAACGGTTCTATGCCGGACTTGGCATACAACGCACCGTACGGACAGTATGCGCCGCCCCCTGGCCCACCGCCGAATGCGCCGCCATATGACACGCACGGCCCGCCGGGGTATGGCGTCGGCATGGGCGATAGCAAGGTCGAGCTGGGCCCCGAGAAGGACGTGAAGGACGATCCGTTCGCGGACTTTGATGGGCCGAGTTTGAGCACGAGACGGACGGGCAGTCCCGAGGGAGAGCGGGACGTGACTAGCCGTCCCAGGCCCGGGGAGAGGGAGACGTTCAATGTTTAGATGATGCTCGAAATGAGCTTGGGCGGTAGAATCCGGACTTGGTTGTAGGCGTTTCGCTATCATACGCACATGGACTGGTACTTGATATTCTAGTAGTCGACTACGTTTGGACTACGTAGCATACTTGTTCTCAGCGAGAATACACTTGTATTTGTATGCTCTACAGCCGCGACGCGTTCGATCGCCGCGCGCGCGCTTCTCATTTGCCACGCTTCTCCTTTGCCACACTCGTCTCCTTCGCCACAAAATGCCGTCACGCAAGGCGAAGACAGTGAAGGCACCCACTGCTCAGGCTAAACCTGCTGCAGAACCCGCTCCTTTCATCAGCGATCCTGACACACTTTCATTTCCATTCGCAGCTTATACAGGCCTAGTGGGCATACACACATCGCTGCTCGCCTTCACCGCTCTCTATCTACCACGTTCCAGCTTGTACTTCCCTCAATCGCTTTATAATGCCTACTACCAAGTCCCCGATTACGTCCTTGGCCTACCAAAGAGCGACGTGGCCGGCACGTCGGTGCTGGCGGTGCTGACTGCGAGCCCGGTGCAGACGCTGGCGTGGACCCTCGGCGGGGTCGCGCTGCTGCAGGCATGGTGGGGCGGGTATGTCCGCCAGTGGGCGCTCAGGAGTAGGGAGGAGGGCTCGCAGGGTGAGAGGAAGGCGCAAAGGCAGGAGTTGGAGAAGGATAAGGTTGCCGTGAGTGTTTCCTGACGGCTGGCATTCGTGGGTGTTCGGTATTCACAGGATATTTGTAGGCGCTGAACCAGGCTTTCGTGACTACGGCGATTACTTCGGTGGTATTCTTTGCTGTTATTGTGTTGTTTGGGGCGCCATTGGCCAGGTGTGTACCCTGTAGCCGACGGTTTACCGGGTGCTGAATTCTGTATTTACAGCCATCTCCCGCATACATACCTCCTGAGCCTCCTGCTCTCCTTCCTCGCCGTGTTTCCCGCTGCGTATACCCTAGGTATCCCTCTAGCACTCAGGTGGCCGACTTTCTCTTCGTGGCCGGAGCTCGACGAATCCCAATCAACCTTCGTGACCAGGATTCACTGGGTCCGTCTATTTGCCGAGCTATCGTAAGTACCCGTTATCTCTACGTCCTTGGTCTACCGACTCCTCGGTTGTAGCCCGCGTTCGCCGGTCGAACGGGCACTGGTGTACCCAGCGGCAGGGACTGCTCTGGGCTGCTGGCTCGGTGCGATCCCCCTGGCGCTGGACTGGGATCGCAGTTGGCAGGCGTGGCCGCTGCCCCCGACATACGGCGCGCTGTTGGGGTACGTCCTTGGGTCGTTTGTTGCTATGGCTGCCAGCGCGGTCAAGTACTTTGCTGAGATGAACAGGCTGAATATTCGGCTTCGCGCTGAACGAGGCGTGAAGGAGGAGAGGAAGAAGAAGTAACCGAGTCACCCTATAATAAGGATTGTATAATGCTTTGCATTAATCTCTTGGAGACATTGGGCTCGTCTTGGACATGCTTCCTTGTGCTGTCATCTTGAACGTCACGAGCAGGGATGCCCTAGCCCAGTCTATTGTCTACACATCTACACCCTCTATACCCGTTTGTCTAATCATCTACAGAGTTCACATCTATACCTGCGCGATCTATGCAAGGACGCGCAAGTCTCCGATAGAGCTTGTGACATAGTCGGGGACAATGGTGGATGCATTCGGGCCGGTGATGTCCTCGACGTGAGTGATACCTTCGAGAAAGAGAACTATAAAGGTACGTCGGAGGGACCAAAGGGAGCGGACAAACCTGTGAGTACCAACAGGGTCGAGACCCCGCCAGCCTGGCCGAAGAGGATATCCGTGTTGAGGCGGTCGCCGACCATGAGCGTCCGCTCGGGATCAAAATTGTGTCTGACGCAAAGCGGCACTCAGTCTTCAGCGTACAAATCACCTGCCACGCCGAACTTACTTGGCCTTAATACAGTCCAGCATCGTCTTCGCCGGTTTCCCGATGCTCAGTGGCTCTCTCCCACTTGCCGTCTTCAGCGGCGCACTGATCGCGCCCGCGCCGGGCAGCAAGCCGCCCTCACTGGGGTACGTGCTGTCGTCGTTCGTGACGAGGAACGTAACCTGCGGCTTCTGAAGGTACTGGAACGCCTTGGAGAGCTTGGTGTAGTTGATGGCCGTGTCCAGACCGCACAGGACGACGTCGACGGCGGGGTCGGGGGTGAAGTTAGAGAGGGAGAACGGCTCGAGGGTGTAGTCCGCAGGGTCCTTTCGTCCCGAGGGGTTATCTTGAGTTAGCAGCGAGAGCGCGGAGGAAGGACACTGACGGTTCCCCCAACATACGAGATGCCTTCCGCTGTCAGTTCTTGCTCGAGCCCTTCCATACCTACGACGTAGACTTTCTTGTCTTTAGGCAGCTTCATCACCGAGGAGATGTACACCGCAGACGCATACGCCGATCCGAATATTTCGTCCTATGATTCATGATTACGGTTGGTGTATTGTGAACGGAAGCATAAGGACGAACGACGTGCGCTTCCACCCCCAACTTGTCGAACTTCTTCTTGTAACTCTGCCTCGACTTTGTCGCATTATTCGTTACGAACAGCACCGATTTCTCTATTCGCCTGCTTCAACATCACCCACTGAACTGGTAGCGATCGTACATACTGTGACTCCGCAGAATTTCCAGGACTTTCACCGCGCCATCGACAAGTCTGTCGCCATTCCACAATACTCCGTCGCAGTCGAACATCCATGTGTCATACTTGTCGAGAAGAGACTCGTAGTCTTCCTTGCTTGACAGCCGAGCGCTCATGATGGTCGAATACAACGAAATGCGACGCTCTGGCACGGCTTGGGCACGGCGCTCCTCGGGGAAACTGCAATCGCACGTCTTCGTCTTCGTCGTTACGCCCAATATAGCTCGCATTTGCACGACTGCGCAGGATGACTGCCATATCCCTCATAGTGCAAACGACACGGGAGAGTGATACTACCTCTATCTAGTCGGAAGCTAACTACATAGCGGCAGGCTTGTCCGCTTCGCCAAACGCTGCCACAACATCTAGGGGACAAAGTTCCATCTGTTCTTCGCCTTCTTGCGGGTTTGATTCTGCTGCCGACGCTACTTCTCTGGAGTTATTGGCGATCTGACAGGCCTCATCAGACAAGCATATGCTCGGTGAACGCCTGAACACCCCTGATTTATACGACTTCATATAATGGAATGATAGTCCATCGTTTCGGCGCTAGGACCAAGGATTCGCAGGGGGGTCGGAACCCCAGACTCCAGACTTCGCCTTCGCCCTTCCCGACGTCTACGCTTGACAGCGATGCACAGGCGAAGGCAATGGTCCTGATCAGTGTGTGGCGGCTGGATATCCGCCGACGCTCCTCATTCTTGTTTGTCTCTCCAAAATATTTAGGGCCATCATTCAAGCCGACTTCTTGAATGTCGTCGCCATCAGCGGCGTCGGACTGCGTGCGCACAGTGCAACAGCAAGCTAGTGACACTTTTCGCGGATACCAGCGACTATACTCTATTGAGAAGGTGAGATGCAAGCTACCATGTACTAGCCTTCGATGACCGGCATTCGACTTGATCGGTGACTTACTTCTGGCCAACAAGTAATTGGAAATAATGGCCTATGCTTGCATTGCATCGAAGGTCATCTCCGTCGAGACCATCCAGTTCCTGAGACTCACCCGGCGAGCGCCTGTATCAGAATGTGCTTCCTCCCAATATGTGCTGAAGGAGATAACCATATTGAATCGGGAACCGCATTCTACAACCGATGTGGAATGGTCCAAGTTATCCATAACGCTCTGACTAGTAGCTGCCGGCCGTTCCCCTTACTCTCGCCTACTTGACATCTCCGTTCACACCGGGAAGAATGAGCAGGGCGCATCGATGCATGACCCCATACCGCCCGTCGACGTCTGCAACGCTTTCTGGAATGATGGTCGAGTTATGACGTCTTGTCAGGTCGCTTTTTGAATCTGGCAGGAAGCCATCGGTTTTTTATGGATCGCAATCGCACAACTTTCCCGGCGGAAAGGGAAGAAGGTCGTGCGCGGCACCACTTGGACGGCCTTCCACTGACCCCTGTACATCTGATAACCCCTCCGTGCCTTCCACGGAGAACTGCTCGAAGATACGTATCATCTTTCCTCCACATGCCGCTGGAGGTGCCAGGTATTGAACCAACCAGTTCTGGCTCCCGTTTCCAGATTGAATATATAACCCCTAGATACGGTCATCCCTCGAGTCGCACCTGGAAGACTCGAACAGCGGCTAAAAGCCTACTAGCCAGCATTATTCGAGTGAAGATCATAATTAAACCTGCGGCTTCAGAGGTGCGTCCTCGAGCCCTATGTATGTGCAACATGAATCTTCCTCTTCTCTGCATGTCAGCTGCCTGTCACCGGAAGATCGTACGTCGTTTCAGCCACTTGCGCGGTCGTTCTCTATAAAAGGCACATATTCTTGGTTTTGATATTACAAAGACATAGAGATCGCTGTCGAGGCGGAGGAACACGGTGATTGCAGGCGGCCCCTCGGCCGGCAACCTAGGGGCCTACGTACCTGCGGGAAGTTTATACGGTGAGCTTCGAATCCCCGTGTCAGGGCAGGTTATATTTACTGTATCGGTACCTTCCATGCGCCACAATCATGGAGGGTCTGCACCCGTACACGTTCCGGTATGCCAGATTATCATGTTGGACGCTGTCACTTTAGACCTTGCAGACGGTACTAGGTGGCTCTTCAGATCTTGCTGACGGTCTACCTCTTATTTTGCGCGGCTTGCTCGGATAGCCTTGTCTTTTCGAGTCTATTCATCCCGGGTATCCAGCGTGTTGGGCGACGTTACAAGAGGTATAATCAAAAGGATCGGAGACTGCATACTGCGACGCGGAAGACCCACCGTGGAACGTCTATCTCCGCCCGGCAACCATCTTGCGGAACTTCCAACACTGGAAAGCCATGAACGCCTCCGCAGCTTTAGAGCAGCAGGCCCTCATCAGCCGCGGGCGGACGTCTATTTCCGACATTCTAAGCGCAAAGTATAATGCAACCTTACTGCCGCTCGATCTGCCAGTGGTCGCGGCGGAAACTCGGACTTTGGTGAGTAGTTCGGCAACTACGTCTATGACCGGTCTGCGATCATCGAGGACACAGAGTTAGGAGCTCAACATAATTCGGGTTCCACAACAAATAGCCAAGCAAGGATGGAGGAAGACCGAGCCACCATGCAGTCGTCAGTGGACCCGCAAACGTATGATACAATCTGACGTAGACTTTCACTACTCCCGACTCCGTCGTGCCTGGCTTTGTATTCTGTTCTTCCCTGCATGCAGAAGGGCCGAATGGACACTTCACTTAGGTGGCTATTCCGGGATACCATTCCCTTGTTTCACCGACTATCGCCACCTCCCGACACAATAAGCCCCTTTCCCCATGGTTCGTCGTCGATCCTCGCATTGCAGCGCCGTGGAAACATGTCCATTCATCGACGTATGAAAATAAGCATTGATAGAGCAGTTAATCCGTGTACAAGAATAATGATATGCAGTAAAGAATATGGGCTATCGAACTCTCCGATGTCATCCAGTCAGAAACATTCGGTGTCTTCGTCGAAAAGTGACTGAAGATGCCTAGGATCAACGTTTATGTCGCCAGTAGCCTGGTGCGCATTCTCCATATCCTCGTCCGTTGGTTGCGATTCTCTTCGGCTCTGGAACCATACCCGTGCCTTGGCTCGGCTCCCTGTAACTGATTCCCTGGAAGTACCTGGCGTTTGCACTGCGTCCGGATGCCCTCTGTTCGTCCTGAGGGAGATAACAGGCCTTGAAGTGCTTTGCGTGCGAGGTCTGTGCGTTTCAGGTGCCGCAGCTAAGTCTTCAATAGTCTCTTGGCCGATCACGTCCAAAACCTGAGGGGGAACAGTACTGTAGAACATTCGCCGGTGGATCTCCTCCTCTACGACTGACTCGATGGAGTCCATGTCAGTTGCCATGGCATGGAGTATCTCTTTGAGCACGAAGAGATAAGCAGCATAGTCTACGCTGGACATGCGTTTCCTGAACTTTGTCGTATCCGTAAGGCGTTGGTGAGACCACTGAACTTGCGTGGCGTGACCATAGACCGGCGACGATTCCGTCAGCGGTTCGGACAGAGGAAAGCGTTGACTCCGGAGTCGATGGATCTGGTCCTCAGATAATGCAATAGCGTCGGAATGAGCCAAGTCTTGGATTTCTATTATCTATCCAGGAGTTTGAACTGAGTATCGCAGTCGTGTACTAAAAGGTCGAGACGCACTCGTCCGAAATCGTTGCATATGATCTTCACTGGGATCTCGCGTAGTTTGAAGTAGGTCTGAATTAGCTGGATTGCCATTATGCCTGGGTGTGGTCTGGTCTCCCGCCACACACAGGAGCCCTCCATCTCAAAAAACGACAACACTTTGTCGACGGGAATCGAAATGGACGTGGCTCCGGCGTCCACGCATAATAAAGCATGGGATAAGCTGCTCACCAACGAGAGGTTTACCTGAACACCGGATTCGCGGCTCGTTAACCTGCGACAGGCTATTATACCCCTGAGCGTCGCTGGGATCTTACGTGTGCAGACTTAATATCAGCAATGGTCGGTGTCAGGTATGCCTTCACGCACGTTTATCACAATGCGTTCCTTTGGAACGCCCTTCTTCTCGTATGCACACAAGAAATTCTGAGCCTGCGTGACCATTTCGTCGGAGTTTCCGTGAACACGCGGGTCGACCAGAATGTAGTGAGGACCCGGGACCTGGTCCAAGAATAAAGCGCCGGTCTCAATGAACTGTGGATAGTTAGAGCAGAGTGCCACAATAAATAAGTTTAGCGACTAACAAACATTTCCATCGCGTCCTTAGTGATCGCTCGGACGTTCCTTGCCACAGCCGTTCAGATATCCATGACATCGAAAAGCTCAAATGAGCATACTCACCAGTGAAGCGATCTCTCATTCAAATGTTCGGTGGACAATCTAACAGCATTCCAAAGATGATATGCTATATAATCGGTGTGTATGACGCGAAGCAATCCTGCCGGAGACGTCATGGTCGCAGCAAGGTCAAAGCCCACAGCTGCGATGCATGATGCACGTCAGAGACGAGTGTCGAGGGCAGCGACTAACCGGGTAACGCACGGTAGAAATCAGCCCCTTCTCCGATTATGGATGTCCCAATCTCTCGCAAAGCTTGTATCGTGTAGACACCAGATTCCTTGTCGGCAGGTTCGCATTCCGGAGCGGATGGCACAACGGGGCTCTTGGGCGCAGGTATGATCCATTGGGATGACTCGCTACCCGAAGAGGATTCCGCAGAAGATGTGGCTCGGATCCCGAATCGTATGGCGGAAGTTCGCCGCTTGAGGACAGAGTCAATGACCGTACCATGAAACGTGCGGTCTCTTGAGAAGCTAGAGGATATCATAGCTGATAGTCCTAGTGAGTGAGTAAGATGGTCGAGCCACAACCGCATCGCGAGAGGTTGATATACACAAGTGCTTGGGCCACCGAGGGTTATTGCCACCGCTGGGCCACAACATCTAAGCGGCAACGAGAAGTAAAGGTGGACCGAGTTTCTAGTCCGGTGCCGCGTCCATGGTCAATGCCAATATAGGGTAAACAATGGCGGGGTCTACGGATTGGATATTGTCTTGAGTTTCAGGGTCAACGACCGCTTCCAGCGGCCTGGGAGGTGGATGCTGGTCGATCGCGCCCCATCACACTCGCAGATATGGCTCGAGAGCGGTCAGCGTCAGCGCAGTACAATCCAATGCAGGCTACGGGCATGCGACAAGGTTTGTCTACTGTATCGTTCATGATCCTCAATCGGTGTCATAGCCTAGAATTGAGCTTACTGCACGTGTTTTCCGCGGTCTTTGTGCCATTTCAGTTTCTCGCTGTATTATTGCGCCCTGTACTAGTTGGCGCCGACGCTATACCCACAAGGGGTATCTCATACGAAGGACGCTCCTAGGGCAGAGGAAGGCGGTCAGAATGAGTGGGAAATGAATTCAATAGCTAGACCATAAACCGTTCTTGCATATGGCCTTTCCAGCGGAATTGATCACAGGGTTGTGGGATTAGATTTTCCTATGGTCCGGACGACTGACGTCCTGTCCTCGACATCCTCGGTGGCGACATGCACGTTGGGCGAGGTAGGGCGACGTCTGCGGCCTCCTCATACCCAAATGCACCGGCGCCTTGCCTAGTACCCTCCTCGACTACTCAGAAGGCGCACTGGTGTACGTAAGAGTGCGTCGGACGCTATCGTGCTGCCATGGTCCGATGTCATTATCCGTCTTTGTCAAAATGTCGATCTTTCACTTCCGTTCCCCCGGTGACAGAGGCTTCCAAGGATTATAGCTTCCATCTGTTCAACCGTTACGGGCCCCCATGCAATTCGAGTTCCCCACACGGAACATCAAACTCTATGCATGTCCCTTCAGGGCCTGCTAAATGGGATTGCATTCGCCCGAAAGACTTGCCAGTGGACGTCTATCTGGAGCAGTGGGAATGCGTGTCTTATCGAGCCGCGCTCCCGTTCACCTTAGCTGCAAGCCATGTGGATCACTCTCACAGATGTCTTCATCCGGCGATCATGCCAGCGATAGGCTGCATTGCGTCGTTTCATACGTATTCGGTACACCACCGTGCGCAGCCAGGGAGGCGTTAGACGCACAATAATCTCGCGTCCAACCCCAGCACTTCGCAGATGAAGAGGGGCTGCTGAAACGTGAGATTGCGAGAGGTGGAGACGAAGCAAAAAAGAAAACAAAGAGCAACGAGCAAGAGTAGCATGCTCCGACATCGGGAGCTAATACTGGAATATAATACATTATTTGGACAGCAATCGCGATGAGGGGGTCGTGGGTATCGTATCGTTCGCCGTTTTTCGGGGACCTCGGCACGGAAATGAGGCCAGGAACAGAGCAGGCGGGCAGACACAGCGGGAAAGCAGAGTACTCGAAAGCAAAAACACTCATCACGGGACGGATCAGGCGCTCATCCTATGCTGCTGGAGCTGCGAGCGGTCCGCGGAGTAAGCAGGCCAGCTGCTCATGTCTGGCTGGCCGCCGCCTCCGCCTCCGCTGTGGCCGCTACCATAGGCATTGTAGGGACTACAATCTGCTTGGGCGGGCGATTCATGCTGCGCGGAATAGAAGGCCATCAGAATCAGAGATACTGTAAGCCAATTAATCAAAGAACTCACGTAGTAGTGGTCCTCCTCCATCTTGATGAGCTGATACTGGCTGCTCGCAGTCCCCTGACCATAGAAATTCACAGATTCGTGGCCCCCGACCCCCGGTAGTTGTTGCTGTATTGAATGAGACGCATAACCATTGAGACTATTACTTGCATGACCATTGTTGCCGCTGGGAACATGTGATTGACCTGGAGACGACATAGCCATCATACGGGGCGGCTGCTGGTAGAAATAAAACAGGATGTCACTAGGATCCCAAGAGCTCTCGCAAGAGTTCGCCCGGCCGGCGCTGCGGCTAGGAGCAATAAAAAATAGTACTCGCCGATATCGAAGGGCTCGAAGCTGTTGAGCCGGAAGGCGTGTCTGGCATTTGGAACGATGGAACCTCTAGTGGGTATATCGATGACGAAGGGGGCATAGCAGAATGCTGGGAGGAATGGGAATTTGAGGTGGCATGAGGATGAGACAAGGGAAGTGGCAAAGTTAGAGATGGACGGGAGCCAGTATCTGGTCGAGGAGACTCTGTAGGGCTCTAGGGATTGAACGCGTTATATTAGACAACGTAACGCGTTTTGGGATCGCTGGCACTTACGAGATACGCTCCCTCACCCGACATTCGTCTTCGCTTGTAATCACGCGGGTCTTCGCGGTCCAGTATGGATGGGAACGCTATCCTGCGATCGACCGTCAGCTGCTGGAGCTGCATCGACTTTGCTTCGAGCTGTCTTCTCAGTCTGTCCATTTCGTGATGGAGCCGCTGGTTCTCCTGCTCGAGCTCACGTATCCGAACCGAGGGAGGGGGCAGGGCCGCCACCTGCTCCGGTGAGAGATTCATGATGGTCTGCAACTTGACCACGGTCTGTTCCAACTGAACATAACGTCAGTACTCCCGGGAAAACGACGCAGTGGGTGACGTGAAGTTTTACCTACCTGCTCAATATAGGCCTTTCGCTTCGCGCGATGCCTGGCCTGTGCCTTTGCATTGCGGCTACGTTCAGGTCGTTCAGACGACGAATTCTGCGCGTTGCCGGCGCAAGAGCTGTGGCTACTGGGCGAGGGCGTCATGTAATGGGTGCCGTAACTGGGAGACGCGCTGGAATAGAACGTATACGAGTTGGATGATGCTTGTTGATGTAGGTCCGGAATATGGGCACACCTTTATAAAGGCCGTAATTTCACCGGTAGCGCTCTCGCCGCAGAGACGGGTATGCGTGCCTCCAAACGGCTCGATTCGACTTAGTCGATTTTCGGTCTTTTTCTCGCTCTTCTCCGTAGCGCGCAGTTCCCGCCCAAATTCTTTTCGAGGCAGGGCAGGACGCTGGATCAAGCCTGGTACAAACAACAGGGTCCTATCCGGTCAGGGATCCCAATCTCGCTTATCCGAGGGCTTCTTTTTCTCTGCAAACCCCTCGCTTCCCGTTTGCCGCTGCAGCTTCCATGTCCAGGCTCTCCGCAACTGCTCCTCGTCGCCATGCCTCCGTTCGTCCGTCTCGTTCTTGCCTCCTTCGTCGTCGGCGACCTCGTCCCGAAGCACAGCGCCATGCTTGACGCGCTCGCCGTGCTCGGCATCCTCGACGCCCTCACCAGCGTCGACGCCGCGCGTTATCTTCTTCAAATCGGGGATCAAATTCGTCGGAGCTATTTCTGCGCCCCAGAATCAACTCCGCGAGGCGTTCAGGCGTATTAATTACGTAATTCCTATCTGGATCAGCAGTATGATGGCGGCCTTTGCCTCGAGTCTATTCACCGACGCACCCGAGCCTGCGGCTGCCACCTGCCTTCTGCACCGGCCAGCCACGCGGCGGTACAGGGTCGACAGGGCGTGGGTTCGAGTGAAACGGGTATATTCGCCGCGGTCACCGGACCTTTCAACGCCCATTGTGGCGGAAACCAGCCTTGCTCCGCAAACTCCCGCCGCCCACGGTCACCTGCCGCCCGAATGCACTCCTCCAACGTCCCCGCGAGTGCACAAGCACGCCTGCTTGGGGTATAGGCTTGTACAATTATATTTACCTTCCTCGCCTTCCTTTAATCAATTTGGCCTCGTGCACTCGGCCCTTGGTCAGCCACACCGAGCATCTCCAGCAAAGTTCCCTCGGTGCCAATTTCACCGATCGATGCAATCTCTATTGCGCGGACTGCTTGCTGTGTCGAGTCCAGTTCGCCGCGCCTTCTCAAAATCGCAGCCAACGGGATGGGCCGTTTTACCGCGAGCATCGCCCGACTGTTCTTCCTGCTCGTCGTATACAACAGCACAGTAGCAAGCAGACCGTTCGAATATTACAATGGCTTATCCTTGTTGTTTTTTGACCGCTTCGTCTCGACGAAGAGGCTTGCCCTGGAGCCTCGTTGCCTACAATGTCCACGGATCTTAGCTCCATTCAAATCGGCAGATTCCTGACCTTCCCCCGATGATATCACTTCTCCTGTAGGTCCATATGTTCGAGCGGCAGTTTCGCGTCTACATCTGGTTGAGTACAGGCCAGCTGGCTACCACCTCAAGTCTCCGTGCCCTAACCCTCCCGCTGCAGGCTCTCCGTCTTCCGTCTGCTGGCAAGCTAACTAGTTGCCGAAGCAGAGGGTCGTTCCTTAACTCCCCTAGTAGCTCATCACATGCGATGCAATAGACTCCAGATATCAAGCTTATTTGGTTGCTGTGGAACCCTGGAGCCGCGAGCCTCTCCCTCATGGCATCGGATTTTTCGGACGGTGACGCCCCTCGCTGGCTATCTCATCAACGACTAGTTCCATGATATATCAGCATAGCTTCCTAAACGCCGCAGTCGAGCAGATACAACGAGCAGACGCCAGCAGTGTGCCCTGGCCACCTCTACCTGGAATAGACCCTGCGGCCTGTCGCCCCAAGTCGAATCTACACTTGTCAGGTAGCGCATGCTCGCCGTGCCACCGTCCTTGCACATTGCACGGCCCGACCCTGTTCTGTCTGCCAACTCTTGGGAATCTGCGGGCTTAATTCCTGTGCGGCCCGGTGCCACCAGGTTCTGTATTTATTCTGCGGTCCGGCGGTGAAGGTGATTGAGTTTCGCTGGGAAAATACGATGCCTTCTGCTCCCAAGCGTTGTCAACTCCATTTACGTACCCCAGCCACCTCTCCCCTGCAATGTATATCGCTCGAAGAGACCTAGTTTGCGGAGGTGCCAGCGTCTGCTATGATAGTGACCAGTCGACGAATCGCAGGCGCGCGGCACCTATCACAGATCAGGATGACCAAGCGTTGTGATTCTGGCTGTGCGTTTGACGTCAAAACTATAAGCCCCGTCCGGCGACTTATCAATGGCCTCCTCATCTAGCCTAGGGCGATGTTCATTAGCCGTCGTCCTCTCGCGGGTGGGCACGCACAGTGATTTTATACTATACCCTCTTGAGCATAAATCAACTCGGTACGTCCAGCTTCCGCGCCTTTGCAACTGCTACATAGACACGTTCAATTCAGTCGTATCTATCAGAGGTGTGCTTCTTGCTTCGAATGGGTCCTTGACATGAGAACGATGCAGATGCCTCGATATGGCAGGTGTTGTAGAAACGAGCATTGCATCGCCTCAGCGGAGGCGTTGTTCCTTGTCAGCTCTCTGCAACAGAAGTGGGATCCACCTCTTCCGTTCTTTAGGAAATTAATGGGCATTTAGGTAAAACAAACACTTGGTAGAGTCTGGCATGTTAGAATGGACGACGACCCGATGAGAGGCGGCGCCAGAGCGGCCTCCAGCAGGCCCTGATCATCGGTGACTTGCAAGCGTCTTAGTAGTAGTGCATGAAAGCGAATATACCGCCCTTCGAAGGACCAGCAGACGGTATCATTTACTATTGCCGCCGGATCATATGTCTGCCGGGTCTGTGGGTCACTCTGTAGTTCGCCGCGTCTAGAATCCACCTCGATGATCGTATGCGAGCTACTATACGGAGAACGTATCCTCAAGGGTGCACAAATGTTATGGCGCATGTTCAGCACTGCTACGCGCTGTGCAATGGACGTATGGCTCGGATACGAACCCTAACTAGCTTCACGGTATATGTGAATTCAGCCGTCTGGTTTGGGACAAGTCTCTTTGCAGGCGGGATCCTCACTCGGGTTTCAGCTAAACGGAGCTCCGTTGTCTAAACTTTCCGCCGAAGGTGGGGTCGGTAGTTATGCATGAACACGCGCCCGCGCACAGAATCCACAGTATCCATTAATCAGACAAGTCTAAGCTAGCGTCCGGAGACGGCCGACAGTGTTGGTACAGTATGCAGGATGATAGCGAATAACAAACAACAAGATATCATCAATCCTCGTCGTCTGACAAGACCAATCGTCCCTTAGGCTTGGGACGCAGTGCCGCCGCTGCTGATGCTTGATCGGCTTCTTCCTCGTCGCTCCCCCCATCCAATGCCGCAGGAGAAACAGCGGGAGAAGGCCGAGGCTTGGAGCCCGAGCCTTCTGATCTCTGGCGGTCGCCCTCTTCAACGTCGTCATCTGGCGGATCAGTCGACTGTGGTGGCTCCAAGCCAGGGGACGAGGTACGGCGGCGGAAGCGTGGCTTAGGCCTTGGTCGCGCACTGGGCTTCGGGGAACTCGCCTCTGCTGGCGGGCTCGTGTGGCTCGTGCTGGCGGGAGAGACACGCGGTGAACCGAAGACACCGAGTCCGCTCTCTGAGTCGTCGGAATCGCTGTGCTCTGATTTTTCCACCGAGACAGAGCGGCTTTCGGGTATGCTGGGGTCGCCCTTGCGTTTCTTCCGCTGCTTCACCTTGTCTTCGCCGTCCTTCTTACGCCGCTTCTTCGTGCCCGTTGGTCGCATGGTTGCTATCTTCCCATCCACCGCGGCGAGCGCCATTCTTTCTCTGAGTTGCTTCTCCTTTTCGAAGAAGGCTTTGATGTCCTCCTCCTCGCCGTCGCTGTCTTCGATGAATTGCGCGGACTTGTACTGCTTGTTCTCCTTCTTTTTCTTGGCCCTCTTCTTGGGTTCATCATCCAACAACTCAACTTCCGCGTCCGAGTCAGGCGTGGCTTGGCGCCGTCTTGTGCGCCTGCGCGCTTTCTTCGTTAGAAGTGAGGCAGCTTTTTTGCCGTCCAAGTCGATAGGATTCTCCAGGAACTGGTCGATGACATTGCGACCGCTCTGCAGTTCGTCTGGTGGAATACTCTTGGGCACATGCCATTCCAGCTCGTCGGCATCTGCACGATTGGTCAGGGAGACTCACAAGATGTTACTGTACCCAATCACCTTCATCCACGATCTCGAACTTGAGTAGACGGAAGATTAATTTCAGATGTGGGTTTCTAGTCGCAGCGTCCGCTTGTTCATCATTGATGTAGGGAATTACTATGGTAAGCGGCCGAGGTTAATTAAGGTCACTGCCAAGCAGTGTGGTACTTACGGTAATCCGTGAACTTCGCGAGAGCCTCCTCGGAAGGCCCCCGGTTGCGCTCAATGAAGACATTCTCTGCATCAGACTCTGCATCGCTGTCCAAACCAGCCTTCGACGAGCTGCCATCCGTCTCCTCCACAATTCTTCTCCGCTGGGCTATTACCAGCGACAAGATCTACAGGAAGGAAGTTCATACGACTTGTGAGCCGACCAAAAAATGAGCACCTACGTCTTTGACCCATTCGACTAACTCGCGCTTCCCGTCGTCCGTTAGACAAGCGACAGCGATGCCAACCTGTTCGCTCCAGGAGTAGCCCTTCTTAACTTGGACGTCCGGCGGGAACCTCTTGTCTTCCACCATCTGTTCTTCTGCTTTAACTTTCTTGTCGGGTTCCCAGCTTGAGAATCTCTTCCACGTTCCGCGGTTCTTCGGGAAGAACGCCTAAAACAACGAGAGTTAGAATTACACTCGGTGTTAGAAGGGGAGGGATCGGACCTCGACTAGGACCAGCGGCTCTTCGTCGACAGCTTTGAAGAATTGACGCAGTATGTAGTTAATCAGCGCCACGAGGTCTTTGTACGGTTGATCCTTCGGCAGGGATTTCTGGTCCGCTAAAATTGTCTTGAACAAGTCCAGAGTCGAAGCCTAGGAAAGCTTCAGACAGGAAATAATGGATGTGGCATCTCACTCACCTGGAAGAATAATCCTTCCGCCTTCGCTTTCACGGCCTGTCTGTGGAGTAGCTTGACAATGCGTCTCATTTCCTCCGCCGACGAGTACTCTTTGTATCTAGACAGATATGCCAACAAAGTGTGGTTTATCTCCGAATGCGCAAAGCGCTGGAATGCCGTGGTGTCAGCGTATTGCTAATCGCAATAGCAGATCATCACACTCACCAACTCGAACGCCTCCATGGTCAATGTCGTTTCTCGGACCAGATCTTCATTGTCCGAGGCTGATTCCACGTCTTCGACATCCGGTACCCCCTCCCCCTCTTCGGTTTCTTTCCCTAGTACGAAGTCAGAAATAGGAGCTTGGTGGTACGATAATTTACCGCCCAGAAATACGCACCTTTCCCTTTCTTCTTCTTAGATTTCACCCGTTTCCTCACATACATCTCACCCTTTGTCTTACTCCATTTCTCAAGCATCTTAAACAGGCTATGCGCAAGGTTAACACTGGCCCCTAGATACGCCAAGGACTGCGTTCCCTCGCGGTAGGAGCGCAGGCTCTCGAAGGCGACATCCAGCACCTCACCACTATAAATCAGCTGTTGCTGCAAAATCTCTGCTGCCTCGACGATCGTCGGGTCGACGTCGGCGCTGCTCATCATGCTGTCTATGAGAGCTAACAGCTGCGTGAGGCATTCGATGCCTGCTTGCAATTCCGTCCATAGCTTGGGCTATTCAGCAGCGTCAGCCAGTCAGCTACCTCAGAGAGACCGTGAATGTGATATTTACCTTCTCATCCACAGCCTCACGCATACGCTTGAGCACCCAGACTATCCAGCCGCGGTCGGTCACTTCTGCAATGAGGCCAAAATCCCATGCCTGTCCGTCCTTCCCGTCACGAGCAGCCCGCTCGCGCAGGAAGAACTCGAGGAACCACTTGGTCACGTATAGGAGGCGCAAGTTGTCCTTCTCTGTGATCTTGGCGCGCTCGGCCTTGATGTCTTTCAGCAGTGACGCAAGGAAGGCTATTGGAATGATCAGCACCAGTACTCGCTCTTTCAGAGTGAGTACGAACGTACGGTTGAGAGCAGATTCGACGAAAGTTCGAGCCAAGTTCTGTAGGATGGTCCTTGCCTCCATAGATAGGTTATCCTCTCGCGCCAGCTCGTCGACCTTCTTTGTCTTCGGGGCTCTCTGTTTCTTAGTAAGGTCGATGATGCTCCCTGCCTCACCGCCGATCGCCTGTTGGCGGTGCATCACAAACGTTTGCGACGAAAGCACAGACTCGGCTTGTTTGCTGTTCTCGCCGGCGGAGCCCCTCTTGGGGTTTAGCTTGACTGAGATCGTCGTCCCGAAACGAGAGTGTCTCGATGATGTACTTCTCGCTACGTCGCGCCGAATTCGATTCTCGACCTCCAGCAGTCGGTGTAAGGTAGCAGTAGGTTGCTGCAGCGGCAAGAAGTGTTGGGTGGTAGTGTAGGTTAAAACATGTATTCAGACGCACCTTCGCTTGGTCCAGGGCGAGTGAACTGGGCGTCACGCCACGGAACATCAAGTAGAATATCTCCAAAGCCAGAGTATTCCAGGGATTATACAAAGGGTCAAGAGCATTAGAGGCGATAGTCATAATGAGATCAGTCAAGTGCGACTCCGAGAGCCTCTTCACCAGCTTTGACTGCAAGGACGACAGCTCCGTGCGGTCGGAAGACGCATACATATTCGGCGGAGGGTCCTTGATAAAGGCGAGATTGCGAATAAGATAGAGGACCACATTGATGATCTGCACGTCCCTCTCCTTCCGCTCCTTCTTGTCCTTCGTTATGCACGGCACGACGATGCCGAACATCGCCTCCAGCACCCCCTCCTTCAGAATCGCCGCCTTGTAGTGCAAGTGACTCGTGAGCAGCTGCGTATAGTCGGTCCCCTTGTCCAAATCCTCGTCCAGCTCCTTCAGCTCCTCCGCAAGGTCTATAGGCCAAGTCATAGCCGCCATCAGATCGACACAAGCGACGGCCCTCTTGTCCTCCACCTCCCCTTGTCCCGCAGTCGCCAGCAGGATCGGAACGAGGTCATTGGGCAGCACCCGCGTGTCCCAAAATATCCGAGCAACGGTACGTTCATCGTCGGTGTCGTCCTTCCGCCAGAACTTCTTCAGGTCCTTCAGACAGCCGTATGCCTCGTCGCCCAGCCGGTAGCGTCCGTTTTCGTAGCCGCCGAGCGCGTCAACGACGCTCGAGATGGCCGGCTCCAGAATAGTACGTCTGTCGACATACTGCTCGACTTCAGACTCATGGGAGAGGTCGCCGTCGTCCATGGTTGCTGCAGGTCGCAGCAGAGTACGGAGCTCGCGTCTTAGATGCCCTAATGCCCACACGAACGGTCACGCGTGACGGTGACTACGTTACAGCGGATCCTCCGCACAACCTCCGCACACGCTTCACGCCATGAAAATCCGAGGAGAAGCTGGAAATGCTCATCATAACGCAGACATGGTTCCGGTCAGTCTGAAGGGTTGACATTGTTCCGCATCATCCCAACTACTATTGGTTGCTTCCAATAAGCAAAAAACATGGTCCACCCCCATCCCCTTCGATTCTGACCTTCAGTTCGTCTTCTTTTTCTTCTTCGCCTCCTTTTCCGCTTTTTCCTTTTCGGCCTTCTCCCTCTCCTTAGCAGCCTCTTCCTTAGCGATCTCGTGGGCTCGGTCATTCAGACCTAATCGGTTTCTGCATATCTAGCAAGGACCAGTCATTTTCAGGAAATTGTGGAGGACGGAATCTATGGAAAGCCCACCTCGTACGCGTAGAACTGTATATCAGATCAGCAGTCAGTCGCAGTCATGAGCGAATGTGATAATGACAATATACCTGTATTCTCGTTACTATAATGCGATATATCAGCTTTGACTTATGCCTGCAAGTGCTTATACCACGCACCGAAGATGGTATTAAGCTCTGCATATTCCTCCCTCGCATCGGTTCGTATTAACGAGCCAAAGTTATAGTCCTTGATCTTCTTCTCATACCTGCGTAACGTGAAGCGGCCTTTACAAGGACGCTCAGGGAGAAACGCACGGAGCGATGAACTTGCGCCATCTGTCCTTCCCCTCCTTGCTCTTCAGCCAGTCCTCGTCGATCTTCGTCAGCTTGTCGTACGGCTCCTGCGCGAGCTCGGGGAAGTCCTTCATGACATGCTCAAATATCTCATCGTCGTATCTGTTCGGCGAGAACCCATCGTACAGGTTCCCGAGAGAGCACCCGGAAAGACTCACTGCGTCAATTTCAGCTGCCGTGGAGGGATCTTCTCCAGGAGGTTCCAGTACGTCTACACCGAATACCATCCATACTTAAGCCTCGAGAGGACGGAAGTGAGAAGTACAGACCCACCTGTGCATGCTCAACCGCTTTCACAGCAAACCTCAATACCGCCATTCATCACTCAAGTCTGAGGCACTGTGAGCTGAACTCACTGTTTCTCGATCTACTCCAAGACGGAAGTTATGCATGCACGTTCACGAGAATACCGTTACAACATACCTCAATCAAGTTCTGAGCGTTATTCGGGTCGAATTGGGTAGTAGCCATATTAACCCAACTTCAATTTTGGCGGCAGGAGGTAAGTGCAAAAGACAAGAGTCAAGGAAAGACGGCCCAGAGATGAGCTGGCCACAGTGTCACAAGGGTGCCTGTCCATATGATCGACGGAAGAACCGGGAATCAACGGTAATTGTCCGACGAATACAAGTCGATTACAAGCATCATGATTCATTACACCATCATTATAGTGACCTATAGACTGCATTACAAGGTGCATTATAGCGTTCGTGGTCGAAGTCTACCATCCTCACTCCCTCTCTGTACTACCCTTACCGGCAGGATCAATCCCGAATCGCTTCAGCTTCTCGAAATACTTCTGCACGCGGCTCGCAACTTGTCGGGGCGTCCTCCGCCCATTCATAGCCTGAGAAATCTTCTGCCACCTGACCGACAGCATCAGCTCCGGATACACATACCCAGGGCTAAGGTAACACGCACCGATTCCGCTCCCCATGGGGTATCTCCTCCAACAAGCGCTCCAGGAGGTGTTGCTCCGAAACCGACCATGCTTGTTTATACGTCTCCGGTTTGGGCTTGCCAGAGGTGCGACCCGATGCGTCGGTGGCAACAGGTTCTGGTTTGGGAGAGTCCTCTTGTTTGCGGGCGTTCTTCGACGGTTTAGAGCCTCTCTGGCCATTCACCTTCGACGGCTCTACAGCCTTTTCTTCAATACGTCGGCGCTTAGGCAGGCGCGAAGTTCGAGAGGCCCGAGGTTTGTCGTCGACGGACTCCGACATCGAGACAGGCGTCGGTAACCCGGCGAAGTCAGCGCTTGGATCCTCTTTCATCCGGAACGGCGCAGGCGAATCCTCGCTATCCCCAGCGAGCGATATATCTACATCCGCGCTCTCGTCTTCCAAGTCTCTTCGTATAAAGACCCCATTGACAGCATGTGCGCGCAGCGGGACAGTCAGCCCGCAGCTGATCTTACGCTTCTTGAGCTCACGTATCTTCTCGCGCTCCCTCTCTTTGATGAGCTCCTCCTGATCAACTTCTTCGTCTGGCGAATCTTCGTCGTCAGACAGAGGGGGCAGCTGGCTGAGGACGGGATCGACTATCATTCGTCGCGTCTCTTTCACAAGCTTCTGCAGGTCGGAAAGTGGTCCCTGCTGAGTCTTCGAAGGACTGGAACGTTGCGTCTGGATGGCCCTAACACTAGAAGCCAGATCCCTGAACGGCGTCGGGTCTGCGAGTCATTAGTCGGGATACATGGATCCGATGGATTCAATACGCACCGCAAGACCTGAATAATGACCAGTCGACGTTGTCGGGAAGCAGAGATGCTTCAGCGCTCTGGTCACTGAGCAATTGTCCGCCGAACTGCAGGTCGCGTCGGTTGCGTTCCCTCCGAAATCATGGCTAATGAACGGCATACCTTCTCAGTGAGACTCCCCAGGTCAAGTTCGGGCTGGGAGACAACATGTCTCTTGAGAGATATCAGACTCTCAATATCCGCCTGGGTACGAGCCAACACGGCTCTCTGACGTTCTATGAAACTCGAAAGCGCTTGAAGGCTGAAGGGGGAAGGGGATGTCAGTACGGTTAGAGGGGAGAATAGAAACGAATACTCGCGTCTGTGAGCGTTTATCGTCCATACTACTGTAGGCATTAGTATTTCGTGGAGTGTCGGGTCGGAGGTGGTGGGCCCGTAACGGAGGGGAATTGGGTACGCGCTTTGGCTTGGGGGAGGTGACATCTTATAAGTTGGATCGTGGGAAGAACATCCGTCTGCAGAAAATTGCCACAAGCATATGTACCCATATTTGTGTTCTGTGGCGTTCGCTACAAGGCCATCTATCTCTAGAGAACAGACACGGATACCACTCTGATACTGGAAGCAACGACTTAGTTTTGAGTAGACATTTGGTTCTAAAGTCCCAGAAAAGCATACGAAAGGCAGGATGTGATTACGGGAAGACGATTCTCTGTATTGTGCAGTGCAAGTCCATTTGCATATCATTAGTATACAGCCGCAAGGAGTTCCGTAAGTACGTTAGGCGATTAGCGGTTACATAGCGAATGTTCCAGGTCTGTCTGTGCAATCTAGGAAGTCTAATAAATGGTAGATGCAAAATAAAATCAAGCCCGTCGAGCAAAGCGCTTCTTTAGCCAACCGCCCAGCGAGCCCTTCTTAGGTATACGGAACAGATACATGAAGACGTAGACACATGTAATCTGCAGGGAATCCATGTTAACGTCTCGTACACGATAGGGGAAGCTGGGAAGCCTACTCACATTAAAAGCGATATAAACGAAGAGCAGCCCCAAATCCCTCCAGTGACGAGAGTATAAGATGTTGAAGTTGCCCTCGAGGAATGCATCCGTGCTGTTTATGGAACAGTAGTTGCATTGCGACGTGGCGTCGGGGTTTGTCAGATAACCACCCGCATTCGCGATGTAGTTCTGGAGGTATTGCCCGCACGTGCTGCCAGAGGGAGGGTTGACCTGAACGTACTCGACAGCGCTGCAGCGGACCTGGGACCTCCCGACGGCTGTGGGCAGACATAAGGGGGAGAAGTACAGTGCATATGGATGAGCAACGTACCTTGTCCGAGAAGTCCTTCAATGAGATAAGTGAACGGGGTAACACGGTACATCCACTGCCACCAGCCCAGCAAGCGGAACGGCTGCATGACACCATTGCTATGGAACTGTGAGCGTCGCAAGCAGACATTCTCTGCAATTGGAACTCACAATGTCAGGACGAACGAGAACAGGAAACTGAACAGGATGGCAGCGATTTCTGCAGTCGCCGACATAGCAGCAACCGCTTGGCCGATAGTCGTATAGTACAGCGGGAACACGACCGCGTATACGAGATAGGTGTAACCAGCTCGGCTCGTAGGGAAGCCAACCGTCCAGTACCAGCACAAGAAGAACAGCGAGGAGCCAAAGATGTTCCATGGGATCTCAACGATAATCATGGCTGTGACAAGGGCGGTCCAGCTATACATTCGGCTCGGTCGCTCACGGATCTCATAGATCGTCCGGGTACGGATGAAGGGAACTTGGAGTTGACTGGCCAGCGGAACGGAGTTGATTGTACCCATGAAGATAGCCTGACGTGGACGAAAGGAACGATTAGAAACGTCTCAAGCAGCTACAGGGGGGCACTTACGAAGAGCTTATTCTGTGTTCCTTGAATGGTGTCCTTCGACTTGAAGAACGTAAAGCCGATGAAAAGTCCAGACAGAATATTGAGCATTATCTTAGCCATGAGATAGACGGGGTCGCGCCAGTGGGCAGAGAGGTCGCGCCGAGTAAGCTCCTGAACTTGGTACAGCCATGACGTAGTAAATTCAGTATGGACAGTGGCTTCGACCGGTGGTCTGCGACGCCCTTCTTCGTGGATTTCTTCGATCTCCTTCGTCGTTCGCTGGTTCTCCTCGGATCGCATCCAAATGTCGTGCCAGTCGCGGTCAGTAGTAGCTGTCGCGCCGGCACCGATAACGTCGAGCATGAACTCAGCCCTTCATACCATTTAGCATGCAATCGTGACGGATATTATGGAGACTCACGGGTTTTCATTAGGAGCGCACTTGCGGGAGCCGTTCTTCTCGAAATAGTGGATCATGGTGGTTGCATGTCTGCCAAGATCTCCGAAGTACACGGTCTGGCCACCCTTACGGAGGAGCAACAGCTTGTCGAACACCTGGAACAGTTCGGCCGAAGGTTGGTGAATCCTGCGGGACGCGGTGAGCACGATATAATAAACAATCAATACGGGTCCTCACGTGCACAGGATAGCTTGGCCGTTATCTGCCAAACTTCGGAGGAATTGCATGATTGCCCATGCGCTCTGTGAATCAAGACCAGATGTCGGCTCGTCCAGGAACAACAGAAGTTTGGGCTTTGCCGCGAGCTCAACACCAATAGTAGTCCTCTTGCGATGCTCAACGCCAAGAGTACCAACTATAGCATCGGCATGATCCTCCAGACCACACATCTTCAAACAGGTCTCGACACTGCCCAAGCGGTCAGATCCAACCAGCGCTACGAAAATCGCTTGAACTTACTATGCCTTCTTTTCCGACAACGGGACCGATTGGGGCTGACGCAGCTTAGCCGAGAACAGGAGGGCTTCTCGCACACTGGTCGTCTCGAGATGGGTATCCATCTGTTGACAGTAACCGCTGCAAAACATGTTATTTACGCGTCGGACGAAAGTGCAATAGGGGCGCGCTCACGTCTGGGCCTGGAAATCCGCAGGGAGGGCTTGCCCGTTGACAAAACGGTCACCAGTCACGACTCCAGTAGACGTCCTCTGGGCGAGGACGTTCAACAGCGTAGTCTTTCCGGCACCCGACTCGCCCATGAGAGCGGTCAATTTGCCCGGGGCGACGTATCCCGAGACGTCGTCGAGAAGCTTGCGATGATCACCGCCGCCAACAGGGACGACATACTGCAAGTGCTGCCAAGTAAACACGTCCTGCATCTTCGGGGCCGCTTGTGCAATGACCTTCTCCGTCTCCGCCAGCGACCCAGGGCGCGTCGAGTCAGCCGTCGCCGTGGCCCCGCCTTTCTCCGGATCGCCCTTGCCGTTCTCCTCTTCCTCGTGTACCGGGGCTTTCGTGCCACGCTTGTAGAGCATGACAGCGGTCTCAGCGCCCGCTGCGGTATTGAACTCGGTCACCAGGAGCAGCGCGGCCAAGAAGGCGATACCAAATGCAACGACGATGCCGTAATTCTGCAATGATATGTCAGCGGACGCATGAGCAGTCAGCGCGTGTCGACGTACCCTCCAAGTGTTACTGTAGCTATACCCGTAGGAAAGTTCGACATATCGGTTCCCGTCGACGTACGGCTGCCCAGGGGCGGATCCAACCGTGGTGCATACTTGATTGGCCAATGAAACAGTGTCGTATCCTGGACCTGACGGCACCAGAGTCGCGCACGTGCCGTTCAAGGTTCGGAACTCGTTGGTCAGAATCGCCTCGTATCCGTACCGCAGAGGCTAAGGATTCATCAGTCCGCTAAGCTCGTCGCAAGAAGGAAGGGAAAACTAACATTGATATACGTGATCCACCGCAAAGCACCGATCATAGACGGCTTGGGGATGTTATAGCCGGTGTATAGGACCAAACCGAGCAAGACCACACCAGCGATGGTTTGCGCAGGAGCCGGATCCTTGAACGACGCCGCAAGCGCGCGGAACCACGCCTTAAGTGTCAGGGTCATAGTGAAAATAAACAAGAAGAAAACACTTGTGGAGGGAGGGGAGCGACATCAGCTACACGGCTACCCGGGCGAAGGAGGGAAGGGAACTCACAAGAACTGTGCCGCCGATAACTGGAGCCCGACCAAAAAGTAAATTATGATAGCGAATACGATAAGGGTGGTGACCGTGACGGGGATATCCACGAGCGTCATGGCCAACGCCTCGACGAAGGGATGGTACATGGCAGCCTTGTACTGCCGGAGGACGATCGGGCGCTGGGCGAACAGAGCGGGGATTTCCGCCATGGACTGTAGACCGGAGAACAGCAGAGCGCTAAGATAATCCCGAGTCAGCAGGGATGGATACATGTATAATGGACTGGAATTACAAGAATAAAATACCGCCGCGAGAGAAATACGCAGAGGTGTTATTCGGGACGCGGAGGAAAGTGGTACCCATGATGATGCCCTGAATAATGAACGACCTATAGTTTCACCTTGATTTAGTCATGGCACATAATTATCGCAACGAGCGTCCACCTACACCAGATTAACCACCTGCCCCGCCATATTCCCCCTCAGAATCTGTACCCTCCGCGTGATCAACGCGCGCGTCTGCATCGGCACCGAGATCAAATACGGGCTCTTCGGGTTCGTATGCTTCGCATGCGCCGCCTTCGCGCTCTGACGATACTCCAGGGCGCGCTGGGGCTGGCTCTGCACCTCCGCCTTGTACGCCTCGATATCGTCGCGGTTCAGCGCTGCCAGTTCAGACTTGCGGAAGTGCTCCGCAAACTCGGTCGCGGTGCGCGGAATGGGGTGCGGCATATCGCGCGGGATGCGCCCGTTCGGGTCGGTCACGGCCACGAGGAAGTCCGCCGTGGTCTGCCTGTTGGCGGGCTCGTAGCCCATGTCGATGAAGTACTGCCTCGCGCGGTCGGCGGGGCCGAAGTACGCCATTTTGCCCTCGTAGATGACGCACACCTTGTCGAACAATTCGTACAAGGATTCACCCGCTTGGTAAATAGAGACGACAGTAGACTGCCGATAAACATCCGTCGCGATTCGGAGAGCGCGAACAAACTCAAGGGCCGTAGAGGAATCAAGCCCACGAGTGGAGCTACAAATGGCTGAGTGTTCGTTCCTCCTTGAGACGCGTCACAAATATGCTTACTTGTCCCAGGAGTTCAAGAGGCTGTTCGTCGCGAGCGCTTCGGCAATACTAACCCGCTTCTTCTCGCCACCACTAACACCACGAATGCTCGCATCACCGACCAACGTCTTCCGGACGTGCCGCAGCCCGAAAATCGTCGTCAGCACGTCCACGACGTGCGCGACATACTGCTCTCGGCTGATGCCATCGACACGCGCGCGTGGCGTGCGCACCTTCGCTGCGAACGAGATCGTCTGCTCCACGGTGAGCGTCGGGAAGTGGATGTCGTCCTCCGGACAGTACTGCACGTCCCCGCGGTAGTGCTTCGCGACATCTTGGGGACTGAAGGCATCGTACATGACGTCACCTTGCACGGCGTAGTATTCATCGCGCTGGTTGGCGAGAGTCTTAAGGAGGGTCGAGCAGCCCGAGCCGGGGCGGCCGAGGACGACTAATGGCTGTGAATATTCTGACGAGGTCTAGAAAAATTATGGAGAACTTACGGAGCATTTCTCCGGGGCGAACCACCCCCTCGAAACCGGCCAGAATATCGCGGAGAGGAGGGTGACGGAGCTTCCGGATTGATTCGACCATGGTCGTGGGATTGAGTAAAGATCCCAAGGTCTGCTGATACGAAGCTGTGGATCCCATTCCGACCACCTTCAGGTTTTGGAACACAACTCCCAACTCTCGTTTCTTGATGTCCGACTCTGCAAGCCTTCCAAGCCTTCAATTCCGACGTTCATTATGTATTGGCACGGACACTCACTTTTGCACTGTGCGTCTCAGGACCTTCTCGAAGTCAAATGGTTCATCGGTCCCTGCAACGGTAGCCTCGCTTGCGTGTAGGCTCTCCGCCATCTCCTTGTTCGCTGCTGCTGCCTGTGACTGCCGGCTCAGCGTCCTCCGCAGGGCCTCCACTCCTTCATGGTCAAAGTGGTCGAGAGAAACATGGGAGGCGTGCGAGTAAGTGCTGCCGCGACGGCCAGGGGTCTTGTGTTCGGGCTGGGGGGACTCTACAGTCGCGAATGTAGGGAATTGGTCGCGGGATTCTGTCTCCTCTGCAGGAGTGCTGCGCCCCTGCGGTTCTGGCGAGGCCATTATTATGTGGGTCGTAACAGGTCTATCCCAGCGCGGTCTAGGTAGAATACAGATAAACCGGAAAGTCTGAGTGTAGAAAAGAGAGGATGCAGCGCGAGGCTAACCAAGGCCGAGGTACATACCGACAACGTTATATATACCGCTTGCGCAATATCCGGCAGACAACGCTTGGTCAGTCCTCGGAGCCAAAGATGGCAAGCCGATCAGAGCGCCCGGAACGTTGATCGTAAGCGTAAAGGTGTCAGCAGCGATCCGATTGGCTGCGACCACTACTCACCGCCAGTTTCCCCGGGCGATAGCAATGCAGGCCTTTATGAGCGCGCCGCAGTTTGACGGTTCGCATAAACCACTGTTACGACCGGAAGCCATAGAGCAGAGTTCCAGCACGATTGATTACTTCGAATTCATATGCATTTGCGCAGAAGCTGAAGCACATGCCACTGGCATAGGACTAGGTCTGCTAGTGCGGGTGGAAAACGGCTTTCGGAGACAATACAATACTACTGTGGAGTTTCCGGAGGAGTATTCCGTCTCAGTCTTCTGGTTCCGACGCTGACCGACCGCCTGTCTCTCATCGATTGCCGCTCCTATTCATCATGGCTGCGGGGGCGGGTAGCTGTATCCGCCGACATACAAGATCAGCCAAGGACCAATGGGCGTAAGCTGGCAAACATCTAGCTTCCGGCGGGCTGGGTACTCGGATGTCACACGGCGGCTTGAAACATGTCACGTCACACTAAGTTGGTGACCATGAATGCCTGCAGCAGTGCAGCTGGACTACGAAAAGCTGACAAAGATGTACATGCCATGAAATCACGACATTGAGGAAGGGTCCCCGTAAGGTCAAATCTGGTGGTTCACGACCTGATGCGCCTTGGATACGTATTGCAAATCCTATCCTGTTATAGTGATTCCAGGCCGAGTGTGTACTAGTATTCGCGTTCACAGCATGCCACCCCAATGCCACCCTGCCGGACCTGACGCTGGTCAACCTTCCTCACACGCCATAAATATTGCCTTGACTCTCCCATGAACTGCGCCGGTTAATAGTAGAGCCGGAAAGACTCGCGTCAACCAGCTCACGCATACGCGTCCGGTCACGCCGACATGAAGTCGTGACAGAGCGCGATGGCAGAAACTTGGTGCCACGTCGGGGCGGGAAGAGTCACTGCAAACTTGTACAAAGTACTAGCACTCGCCGCGAATGATCACATATCTGGGTGACTGGTATACAGCAGACGGGACAGTCTCCAAAAAATGCGCAAATGATGGTAGGCAAGCTCAGAACGGTATATCTGATACAGACGGGCATCAAAACATGAGATGGGCGTGCAACAAAAGCATTCAATACTGATTAGTAAAAGAAGCATCATGATCAAAGGGTAGCTACTATGTGGTATACGAGGTAAGACCAAAACTTGGCCATGGGGTACTGCAAGAACGAAGAGTGTCATAGCTATAATCAAACGTGAGCGAGGCTTCACCAATAACCTCCGTCATCACCGCTTCTCCCCGTCGAAAAACGCCGCAAGCTCGCGCACAGGGACCTTCTTCCCCGCGGTCACCTTGGGCGGGACAACCTTCGACGTCGCCTCCTTCTCCTGCTTCCTAATCACCAGAGGGTCGACGAACTTCGCCGACCCGTCCATGCTGATCCCCAGCCCGAACCGCATGTCCGTCGAGCGCGAGCGCATGCGTGAGTGCAGCGGGGTGTTTGGCGAGGCAGCTGCGATGGACGACAGCCCGTACGTGGACTGCGCGCGTAACCGCGGATTGCTGGGCGACGGCGACCCGCCCTTGAGCTTCGAGTTGAGCGAGAACCGTGCGGACTTGCCGATGGTCTCGTCGTGGAACCCGTCATCGTCTTCTTCTTCTTCCTCCTCCTCGTCCGTGCTCGTGGGCGTGTCCACAACAGCCGATGAGAAATACGCAGTGCCCGTTTGCTGAGCGGGCGTCGACGGTCTCTCAGCGTCCGAACGGGAGACGACCGGCTCGCCCAATGCAACCGTGTACCTCTTCCTTGGGGTAGGGCTCACACTGGAGGACCTCGCAGCCGGCATGCGTGGGGCCGGTAGAGGATCCGCGCCGGGACTGTTAGTAAGGTCCATCGGAGACGTAGACCTAGGCAAACCTGTCGTAGAAGTGTTCTGAATCTCAGCCGACATAGGCAGGCCGGATATCGTGACCGTCTGTGCTCGCGTGTTCGAGCTCAGCGACGCCGGCGGAGAGCTTGCCGGAGAAAATATACCCTGGCTGAGGAGCCCGGAATCCGGCGGGCTGGCGTAATCACCCGTTGGGTAAGGCAGCCGCGTCCGGGAGGCCGACTGCCCGCTGACGGGAGGACTGGTGGACTCTCGGCCTCTTGACGGAGTTTGTAGATGACGGACTGCGTATGAGGAGCTGGCTGAAGGCGCCCGTGCCATGGAAGATGTGGAGTTGCGAGAGGCGACTGAAGAAAGATTGGCGGGAGCGGTAGCAAGCTTGGCGATTTCGCGTCCGAGCTCGCCGATGCGGCCTTGCACTTCCGCAAGTTCTTCCCGTAGTTCCGAGAGCTCAGCAGAATCAGGTTCAGCGCGCGGCTCGGGATGGTCAGCAGGCGCAGATGTCGACGAAGCCTCCTTTTCTTCCCTCTCCTTCTCCTTGTCTACAAGCCACTTCTCGACATCACCCATCCGTTCTTCGAGGGCACGGACATGGCCAACTGTCCACCTTTCTAGTTTCTCAAAACGTTTGGCAATGACGAGTAATGTTCCTTGAACATCAAGTGCTCCCTGCGAGTCGAACTGCGCATACAAAGGAGGCGCCTCTTTATGCGGTGAATCCCTTCCTTCAGATGTGCGCATAGGTGATGCGGCCAAACTGGGCGGTGTACTAGGGGCAGCTGATAATGGTCTAGGCGGCTGGAGAGGAGTAGTCGGATGGACCAGATTCCGAAACGAAGGATCAGCATACTTAGTCTGGCTGTTAGAAGGCCAGTCTTGACTCTTGCGGCGTTCCTTCTCCTTAGCCTTCTCCTCCTTCTCGCGTGCTTTAGTTTCCTTCACGAGTTGCTGGGCCGGCGTAAGCGACTCTTTGGTGGGAGTCAACTTGTTCTTAGCAGCTGCCCACCAATTAGACCCACCTTCCTTACTGGATGTCGACGGAGAAGGCGGAGTAGGCAAAGACTGGGAACGGCTGGGAGAGGGCACGGGTGAAGCACGCTGATTCTGCAGCATAGCCAGGACGCGGTCTTCGACGAGCCTCCTCTCCTCCGCTTCCTGAATGAGAATCCGTTCAGCCTCGCGGCGGCTCCTCTCGCGTTCCCGTTCTGCTTCAGCTTCAAGTTCAGCTTCGCTGGGAAGCATGTTAGGTGACCGGGGATTCATGTTGTTAACGAAGGAATTGACCCGCTGCGCGAAATTCGCGGCGAACTTGGTGATGGACGGTGTTGGCGAGTGCGAGCGACGCGACGAGCGGCCCCAGGTCCTATCATTGTCTTCTTCTTCATCGTCCGAGAAACTTTCGTCCGCGGTGAAACCATTCCGGAGAGGAGACGGGGGTCGTCCGAGTCTCGGTGAAGCGAGTGCCCCCCGTTCTGGTTCAGGCTATGGAAGCACATTAAGTAACAGAATACATTGTATTTAACACGAAACGCACGAGATTGAGAGGGCTCGGCGGTGGTAAATTCGGGGAAGTCATTCTCCTCTCCGGTTTCGTCGTAGTGAGCGGCGGCGGGACCAGACTGCTTGACGAGGCACTCGCAGCCGACATCGTCGATCGGTGCGATGGAGACGCCATCACAGGCAGTCCTGACCGTGTCGACGAGCCGGGCAGCGAGCTCGAGTTGAATGTTCAAGTCGAACACAAGGCAGTGGCGCGGGGCCTTTAGGCGCAGGCTGCGGCTCTCGATTTACCACCACCTCAAACCCTCCCCGGCGCCGATGTCCTCAGCGATGGCGAGCACGTCGGCCAACTTAGAGCCTCTGTTTTCCTTCTTGTCAACATCCTACGCTACTTTAGAACAGACATTTAATAGGATACCAGGTTCAGCCGTCATCGCCCGTTATGTCAAGTCATCGCATCAGAACGACCCCGGACGCACTCTGCTGGAGCTGTTCCTGGCAGCTTTCGCTATTTGGACGTTATTGCAGTCACGAACACGAGCAGACAAGGATGATAGACACTTTATAAAGTTTACGGAAAAGGTGAGTGCCCCTCTTGACTGCGGACGCGTCGGTCTGACTCCTCGCAGGAAATTGACGAACTTGTCAACGAATGGACTCCTGAGCCTCTCGCCGAGCCTTTGTCGCCCGAGGAACAGAAGGAGCTTGAGTCAGTACCGGTTATTGTGGGTGCCCAAGGGCCACGACCGAAGCTTAACACGGGCAAGACCGTGCTTAACTTCACGGGAACGAACTTCACTGGGTTAGCTGGGAACGAGGGCATCAAGGAGAAGGCTATTGAGACACTGCGAAAGTATGGTCTGGGTAGCTGTGGTCCGCCTGGCTTTTATGGCACTGTCGGTGAGTCGCAGCGTAGGTAACTATCTACGCTATTCAACCTGACCCGTTTCCCTAGACGTTCACGTGCAACTGGAGCACGACATCGCCGACTTCTTGGGCACGGAGGACGCTATCCTGTATGCCCAGGGATACTCCACCATCTCGTCTGTCATACCAGCCTTTGCTAAACGTGGAGACATCATCGTCGCTGACCGCGGCGTGAACTTCGCCATTCAGAAGGGTATCCAGATCTCCCGTTCTACCGTACGCTGGTTCGACCATAACGACCTCAAGAGTCTGGAAGACGTGCTTCAGGGTATCGCAAAGGAGCGGAAGAAGAAGAAGGCGCCCCTGACCAAAATGTTCATCGTCACTGAAGGCATCTTTGAAAAGGACGGAGTCATGACCGATTTGCCGAAGCTGGTGAGTCCAACGTGATAGCAATCTTTACGTGTGATATTCATGAAGGATGTCTTCGTAGATCGAATTAAAGTACAAGTACAAGTATCGCTTGATTCTGGACGAAAGCATCTCCTTCGGCTCCGTCGGTAGGACTGGTCGCGGTCTGACAGAACTCTTCAATGTTCCGGTAAGAAAATACATGTAGAGGTCGGTCAAACCCATCTCACAGGAAGTTCAGGCATCTCAGGTCGACATGTTGGTTGGCTCCGTGGCAAATGGTCTTGCTTCCTGCGGAGGTTTCTGCGCTGGCTCGAAATATGTCGTGTACCATCAGGTATGTATTTTATTCCATTTTAGTGATAATCCACTCAACAGCCGTGCGTAACCAGCGTATCAACAGCTCTGCATTTGTGTTCTCTGCCTCGATGCCGCCGCTTCTCTCCGTAAGCGCTTCAGAGGGTGTCAACATTCTCCGCAACACGCCCTCGATCCTGAGCACCCTGCAAGAAAACATCCGCACCGTCCGGGGTATCCTGGATAAGCTCGATTGCATCACCATCCCGTCGCACCCGGCCAGCGCTATGATCCACATCTACATACGCACGCCAACGCCGACGCTCCAGATTCCAACCGGATCAGGGAAACCCTCGAATCCAACATCGATCCATCCCCGCGATCCGCCGACGTTCGACATCGAAACTGAGGAGCGGTTGCTGCAGGACGTGGTGGACGAGGCACTGGCGCAGGGCGTCCTCATCACTCGTGCAAGGAGGCTGCGTGGTCAGGAGATGGTCGAAGCACGACCCAGCATCCGGCTTGCTGTCAGCGCCGCATTCTCCAAGAAGGAATGTGAGAAGGCGGCGAACGTGGTCAAAGCCGCACTGGTCAAGGTGCTTGGGAAGAGGCGATAGATTAGACAAGCGCTGTCTGCGACATTTTATCCTCATTGGCTTATTGAGAAGTATACCTACTTTATTCACGAATAACACGATCCAATTCTTGTCTGCTGACGCGAGGAATAAATGAAGTGCGAGTCTCCGTCACCCGCTCCGGGGCCACTCTGCGGTCTCACAGGGGTCATTGTCGAGACGGTCGGACACCATCTCCAATTCCACACTTGATATCGAGCGATGCGTACTGGATTTGCACCCATCACCATCAACTGTCCTCCAGGAATAGTACATCGCTTCGTGTGAGGGGTCCTTCATTAATAGTACCATATTATAGTGCGTAATTGGTTATGCAAAGTCCGGGCTTCTGTGATGCAAACGAAAGACATGACATGCTAATGAATAAAAGAAGATGCACCCGCAAAACTACTACCACGGATATGTCCCATTGTCCAGTGATATCATCAACCTACGAGATCATGACTGAGCCAAAGCCCGGTCGATAGCGGCATTGATGGAGGCCTTCCGAGAGGTCAAATCAACCCCGAACTGGTCCTCCAACTTTGTGCGTATCTCCCGCTTAGTGATAGTAGTCAAATCAGCGTTTCTGAGAATTTCTTGAACAGCCCTTTCTATCTCAGCATCCGAGGGGCCAGAGGTGGGCAAGTCGAATCCCAAGTAATTCGTCGGTGGCCGTGACGGCGCGGGTTCGTAAAGCATGCTGCCTGCTTCGCTCATCGGTCGGAGCTGAGGAGCCCCAAAGGCACCAAGGGGAGTGTTGCGACCAGAGTTGTAACCAGGCGGGGGTTGATACATATTTTGGGAGGGTGCCGGTGAATAACTCCGTGGCTCATAGTATGTCTCATGGCCATACAGAGACGCCGTCCGAGATTCCGCATATCCTGCGTTGTTGAACTTGTTTGGCGGTACCCACGAACCGATGCTATGATTTGACTCCTTATCCCATAGCTCGTTCTCCTATAGTCCAAGATCAATTATGGTAAATCGGCTTCCATAAAGACGGGTTCAACGCACATATTCATTCCAAGATTTCAATGGGATCACGCGAGGATCAAATTTGCCCTCGTCCTGTCCGTGGCGTAATGAGCAACAGAAGAGATAAAATGACGGATAATGCTTACGTGCACGATGATCTTCTTGCCCTTCTCGCCCAATACGACACGTGTTTGACCCCATGAGAAATCATCCATGCGCCAGAAGGAGTATAGCGGGAGCAGGAAGGAGAATACGGGAATGGCGAGGATGTAGAAAACCATCCAACCGATCATGTCCCACTTCCGCCGAAGCACAAAGACCAAAGCCTGTACACCATAGATGGCGGCAATCATGATAAGCGAGAGTGTTGGGATATTCTTCCCTTCTCCTGCCACGAGGTATATCAAGTACACAATCTGTGAGTGGGGATAAACGTCAACTCATATCGGGCCGAGCAGATATCTGGAACATACGTATGCCACGGTCACGGGCTGGATTAGGGTAGACAGCAAGTCTAGCAGAACGATGAAGCGCATGGAGAAACAGCAGAAGCCACACAATTGATCCAAGAATATGAGCTCTCCCAGATTGTGCACGGTCGAGTTGATCCACCGACGACGCTGAGAAAGAAGAACTTTCCAGTCATCAGGCGCTACCGTGTACGCATGAGCGTCCCGAACGAACTGGGTCTTGAAATTAGGGAAGTGCTTCAAGAGCAGGGTAGTCAGGTATCGATCTTCTCCAAGGTGAAGCAGGTTCTTCATATGAAGCGTATCGACACGGTTCTCAGAGTAGTCTTGGATGATCTGGTTCGAGATGAACAAGGGTTTGTGGGTGTCTGGCGTGCGCAGCCGATAGAGCGTGAAACAACCGGGAAGACAGGTAACAGACCCGAAGAGACTTTCGAACGCCTTGGCCATGTGATGGGATATAAAGTACTCGTACACCTGGCAGAGGTTTATTCTCATTGCACAGAGAAGAGCAAGAAGGTCATACCTGCATCATTGTGATGATCGACTGCTTCGCGTTGGCAAGCGACGTCTCTCCACAGACACCAAGGAGTTTTTTGTCTCGAATCATGCTAGTTTTAAAGTTAGATGTGCTCCACCGGAAGCCAACGGGTCCACTTACGCCGATATCAAGCGATTAACGGAGAATGGGTCCACCGTTGTATCAGCATCAACCATGAACAGGTACTCGTAGAAGGTAGGGTTAACACCAATCACGTTCTTGATCTGGTGGTAGATCTCCAACTCCAAAGGATTCATGGGAGCATTGAAATGCACCTGGACACCAAATGTGTCAGAGCAACATACAGCAGCCTGTAGCTGACTCACCTTGTTCAGGAAATGCATCAGGAGCATCTGAGAATCACGCTTGCCACGATTACCGGGTCGAGATCGCTCAGTGGGCTTGCCAACCTTGACAATCACGAGATACGGGACTACATGGCCAGCGACTTCGTACAACCCTGAGTACACCTTGCCCATATTATGCTGTTTGGCGCCTTCGCCGAGGGAGAGGAAGCTCAGGGGCTCGGGATCCTGATTAGGGTCAGCGCCGAGGATATCAAGAACGATGCGAGGCGTAGGGCGATCATTGCCAGAACCAACGATCATCCCATCGCAGATGACTACTAGAAGCTTGCGCTTGTCGTCGTACTTCATCTGCGCGAGGGAGTCGATTGTCCTCCGTAACGACTGCTCTCCTTCAGTGTAACAAGGAACCTGGCAAATCACGAATTTGTCGTGGTCCTCAGGTGCTCGTTCAGCACTGAGATTGATGGACGCAATAAACTTGAAGCCGATGACGCTGACCATGATGATAGACAGGATAAGCAGAATGTATGTGGCAAATAAGCACTGCGGCGACTGGCGATTGTCGACCTTGCCGATCAGGAAAAGATTCCTGAGACAGACTTTCTGCCGCTCCAGTACGTCCGAGCCAATATTGAGCCCATCGATAGCCTTGGTGACATCCCCTCCAGCGTCGTATGTGAAGATATCGATCACAGAAGAATGCATGAAGTTTGTATCGACACTAGGAGCTTGCATTCCATCTGGAGCTTTCGTGAAGGGTGGGCTCTTGATATACGTCGTCAAGTCGTACACCAGACCGTTGTAAATGCCCACAGCCTTCTTGTTGGAAGCCATGTTCCGGATTTCCTTGGGGGTGTACCCCATGAAGCCGACGCGGTTCTTCCATCGCATCTGGGTCATGACTTCGAAGTACCAGTCAGGGCGAGAGTCATTGGTGAAGGCTCGGAAATCGTGGTATTGCGCATTCGGATCGGTGTTATTGGTCGAGTCAAGAACTACGTAGGGACTCACGGACCCTGACACTCCGTTGCATAATGCGCTGACCTGCACCGAAGACTTAGTACAATTCTACGTCCATTCAGGAAGGGATTCATACCTGGACAGGAAAGATGTTGTCGGACGAAGTGCCTCCGTATTTCAGAATGCTCTTCGCCGGGACAACAGATACCATTCTCTGGTGGGTAGCCGCTATAGTGGTGAGGTCAAAGACTTCGCCACGGATAGACGTGTACACGTTATTCGGGCTATCTTTGGAGTTGTGCGACGCCAGCTCGCTAGTACTGAAAACATGCTCCGTTGGGCAGATAACGTTGCCGAGGACAGCGATGACAAAGATCGCGCATGCACAGACAAACCAGATGATCATATTGAGGGCAAGCTTCTCGCGCCAGGCTTGCTGTACGTCTGGGCGTTTCATCCGCCCTACCCACCGGATGCATGGTGTCGGAACCCACCAAGTCAACATCCAACATAATGCAACCCATCTGCGGCGAGCAGAACTTTCCTTCAGGACTTCGGTAGTTTCGCCTTCTTGAACATCAGCGGGAAGAGCCTCCTTGTCCATCAAAGCCTTCCTGTCGGCATTCTGGAACATGTTGCGAGATGGGGCGTAGGATTCTGTTCCGAAATTCGACACGGAGTCGTCGCGGTTGCTTGTCAGCCTGCTACGGCCATCGAAGTCGTCACTGCGGACAGACTTGCTCTCGTCGTACTCGTCATCGTACATATCCGCGCGCTGGAACGGAGATGCGTGAGAGACGAGCGGCAACGCCTGGCTAGACTGCCCAAAGGGATCACCGTAGCCGCCGTCGTACGGAGAGTTCTCGGGGGCACCAGGGGTAGAGTAAGGAGCATAAGGATCACTTGTATGAGTGAGGCCTGCTTCTGCCTCTGCGTCACGGAGCCGGTTGCGTTTCTGCTCCTCAACGTCTTTTGACCGCAGGTGGTCTTCGAGCTTATGGAAAGCGGCTTGAGATAGGAACACCTCCATTTCCTGTCAGAGGAGAAAAACGCAAGCTGACACTTTACACACCTTATGCTGGCCAATAACGATGTCTTGGTCTTGCTGACCCAATGCCGTCCTGGCTTGCCCAATCTGTTCCCATGGTCCTCCCTCATGCACATTGAGCGAGGCCAATGATTCCTTATACCTCTCCACAAACTCGTCTGGCGTCATGTTCACCTCGAAAACGTTGATGAACCGCCGTGCGATCTCTGGTAAACCCATAGCCCTGACCTGCCCCTTCACAGACCGACCCTCAAGCTGATTGGGGAGCTGCGAGTCGTTGGGGGTAATGCAGAAGACATACCACGACTGTGATTCCTCCAGAGTCTCGAACAAGGTATCAAGAGCGCTGCAGAATTCACCCGCAACGCAGGGAGCCCCGCCACCAGACTTGGCTGCGGTCTGGCCTTCATCCTCGTCCTTATCATTCTCCTCGATCTCGGTAAGCATGGTAGGCTTGCGCTTGATCGTGTTCTTTCGACGAGTAGAAGGAGCCCGCATGGGCTTCTGGGGCTGCTGAGCCGCGACAATGGTGTCTTCATTGCGGGGATGGGCCTGGGTCGCGATGGCTTTGGCTGAGAAGAGACCCTTTACAAAGGGGTTAGCGGATCCTGAGCCGTCACTGCCTCCGACTTCGCCGGCATTCTGGTGAGCGCCACGCAAAAGAGAAACGAAATCGGGGTTCACAGCATCTAAATTCCTCTCGAGGAACCCTTCCGAGGAGTAAGTGACGGGTCCGTTATAGTGATGCACAGTAAAGGTAGGGTATCCCGAGCGGTCAATTGATCCCATCTTGAAAGACGAGTGGTTACCCCATCGCTTGCCGAAGGCTTCGACCATACTATGGTCAGTCTTCTTGGGCATCCTCAACGCCTGGTCATCCATGATATGGATAAGACCTCCTGGCTTGTTCTGCAACAAGCGCAGGCACTCTGAGTTGTCGAAATAAGGCACCTGCGGTACGTAGTTGCTCAGCCCCTCTGAGGCATACTGGGCTGTATCTCTCTCGAAGATGCGCTTGTGGATGAAGTTGTGCAGGCGCTCGTTAGCGAAGTTGACACAGAACTGATCCAGAGAGTTAGGCCTGCTCGTCATATTCTGCGGACCGGGTAGGTCGAACAGAGCAATGAAAGTGGCGAAATCCTCTTTGCATAACTTCTGGTTGATGTGCTCGTTCAGCCATGCAAAGAGCAAGGAGTACAATGTCTTCGCCAAGTCGTCCCTGTTGTCGGAAGCACCGTCTGGGTCAAGGAAAACAGTGCACAACTCCTTCCTGACTAGCTTGGTCTTGTACGACAGCGCTGCTTCCAGAGCTGCTGGCTGAACGCCAAGGAAATCCGCTACAATTCCCAAAGTATCCGTGTTCCTGACCACGGCAGCATCCTCATTTCGGTGACGGTCGATGGTGAACTCAAGGTTACCGAGGTGAAGGATAGCAGCAACGAGCTGACATGTCTGCGCAACATGTCTCTTTGAGAGACCCACGTTCTTCATCGCCATCTTGAGTTGCTCGAAGCGTGCACCGTCGTCTCCCCCACCGATCGGGCCCCGGCTAGAAGCAGCAGTACGCTGCCCCAGGTAGCGATAGTTTGCCCTCTCGTCTAAGTGCATGTGTTGGCGCTCCTCGGGAGAGGCTCCCGCAACTAGGTAATAGAATATATGGAAATTGCGCTCTCCAGAGGGGACCTGAGCAACTCGGTTGCGCTCGAGATAATAGTCAAGGGTCTTCACACCGCAGAGTCGGCCACGCTCGGTAAACTGGAGTTCAGTGTACTTGCCATAACGAGATGCGTTCGCATTGAACAGGGTGCGAGAATTGCCAAACGTCTCGAGAATGAATTCAGCAGCAGGGACTTGGTGCGCCAGCTTGGACCCTTTCTTCCCCGGGCTGCTCACGCTCAACTCGAGCAACGTCTTGATCGACAGTCGGCGGTTTTCTGACTTGCCGCTGCCAGTTTCACCGCTTCATTGCGAGTTGTTAACGTCTCAGGTAGCGTGAATGAAACGAGAACATACCTCAGGAGAATACTCTGATCCTGGCCGGTGCGACGCATGTGGTAGTACGCATTGTTAGCGAGCTGGAAGACGTGGGGTGGTAGCGGTATCTTTTCCTGCGACGTATCCCGATACTCTGCAGCATACTTGTGCATGACAGAGTCTGCATTGCTCGGCACATATTTGTGGGGGTTGAGGGCAACGATGGCAGACGTTCCAATCGCCGTATAAATATTGTCAGACATAAACCTTTCACGAAGGCATGATACGATAGCATCGTCGGAGATGGGTGCAAGTTGCGTCAAGTCCGTCACCGATTCGAGCCGTTGGTGGAAGCTCGTTCCGCTCGACTGCCGTTTCGAGGCCATGATGGCAACACGACCGGCGTTCCAGCAAGTCCGACTTGAATAAATGTGGTGCCGCGAGCCAGGTAAGAAAGAGAAAGACGAGAAGGTGGAAGGAAAGGCCGGGCTGCCTCAGCAGCGGTCGCGGTGGTTGCGAGCAGAGACGTCGTCGTATGTTCGCACGGGGGGCCTACCACGCGCCTTATGGCAGTGTGCATCGAGAACAAGTCCATCATTCGCTGCATGGGGTATTCACTGCACCGCTGCCAGCTCCTGCTCGAGGGGTTCGTTCTTTCAGACAGGGAGTACATTGTCTCTTATATAGTACAGAGAAGTAAATATACAGCTCGAAGCATGCGCAGTCGTGTACAGGAATAAAACCTGCCGGGGACGACAGTACCGAACATACACCGTCATGAGACTGACAGGATTAGCTGCCCGTGGGTGCAAACCAGCACTTGCTAATCAAAGGGCACAGGACGAATTCCGGGTCCGGAGAGTCTAAAAGCGTCTCGTTTCTCGTCGGCGGCGGCAGCACCGAAGACAGACGGCACAGGAATACCACAGCAATCTCCCCATCCGACCTCTCTTTGGCCGGCGCCGCCGGTATCTTCTCCACGGGCATGGTCGTGACCCCAATGCTCGTCATCGGGGTTCTGAGATTGAGGAGGGAGAGGACCATCGTAGGGCAAGATTGAGCCGAAGAGGAAATGTTGGATAACCGGTAGCTTGCCCAGCACTTCCGCCTGGTACATCTTGATCATACCGGAGTTGACTTTATCCCATGTTTTAACCTGAGACATATCTCAATGGCTCATACCAACGAGGACTGATTACTGGCGGGACATACCGCTGAAATATCATCGAGCATCGGGGAGTGCCATCTCAGCGACGCTGATTTGACCTGTCGAGCGGATGCCAATTGAGCAAACAAATTATCCAGGGTAGCCACGTACTGAATTGATGAATTGTATGCATGCAAAGTACATGTAATGTTTTGAATACTCCTCAACTATCTCAGGATCATGGATGGCCTTCGGGCGAATATACTTATGACCTGTGTCTCTACCATAAATATTTTGACGCTGACGAAGAGTACGTAGGAAACGGCACCTTTCAGTTGCGCTGCTCCCCAAAGGAAAGGCAAGAAGTGATAATCGTCCAATCCCCATACACCATGAGATCCAGCAGGCTCCAGCCAATAGGTCGACTGAAGCACCCGCATGACTTGAACATATCTAGATTGTTCGTTCAGGATACCTTACAAATTATCAGCCTCTGGGGTGTAACACTGACCTCCAGAATATTTTAATCACGTCTGATGTATGATCTGACGCCTGAAGAACTCCGAGTCGCTCAAGGCATATCCTGTGTGTTGAGATAATGAGTTCGTTGCAGCTCGTACATAGGCTATGTCGTACAGCCAGCACAAGAAGTTCAGTTCCATTCCGCTTCCATAGTCGATACGCGTCCTGTTGCCCCAGGATTCACAGAAATACACGGAGATTTCTTGAATGGCTTCCTTGGGCAGATTTGGAAGGCGAGCATGTAGAACCTCTGCATTCTATGCGCCTATTAGCTGACGTTCCCAACCGCCACGACACGACGTGTTGCTTACCTCTTGTACTTTGTCATAGAATGTTCTGAACGCAGGGTTCCCGAACCGCGACGCCTTATTATCAACAGGAGGCGTGTCCTTTGCAATACCCTCTACTTTATCAAGAACATCCAAGACGGCGAGGACGCCCTGGATGGCGCATGAGCTTGGACATGCCGCAGGAAGGGTACTGGCGCACAGGAGATTCAGCGACTGGATCGGTCAATTTAACTCCAATAACAGCGGTGTTCAGGCTCTCGATAAAAGAAACAATGTCTTTGTGCGTCTGAGACGCCTGGAAGGCTTCCAGTTGCTCTTTGGACAAAACAACTTTGCGAGGACGTTGGTAGGACATTGAAGATGACAGTGGCGCGCGGAAGTGGACTTCGCTAAATTGCGACTTTCGAGATTTGCCTTTTACGTTGCAATTGCTTTTACGTCTGCCATCTCTCTTTCTCTTGATCACCGACTACACACTGCACTGGACCGCAATGCCTACACCTCCTGATCTCTTGAGAAGCTCATTAGAGCAACATAACAACACGTTTGAATCGTTACTGAAACTGATTCCTGCGAAATATTACATCGTCGAGGATGAGACGGAGGAACAGGTCTGTCACAATTATCTGAACAACCCGGAGCTGGTCTGGCAGGACCGTTATGTCAAAATGCTCATGCTGTCTTAGGCCGCATCGAAGTATCAGAAGCACTCTAAGAAGACGAAGGCTCCCAAGCAGGCTATAAAGGAGATGTCGAAGAAGGCGAAACGCGAAAAAGTGAGATACCGGGGTACCATGCTGTCACCGCTACATGCTCACATAGGGCTGTAGCTCGATCCAAAGAATAACAAGACGATCCTTGATATTCAAAATGAGGCTGCTCAGAGACAGGCTGTCGCGAAAGGGAAACGCAGGGCAGACTCGGGTGAAGATTCGGACGGAAATGACGACGCAGACGCCATGGATGTGGACGCCGATAATGTCATTTTGGGGATGGAGACTTCCACAGGAGAGGACATGTCTTTCGTACCTATGCCGGAAGCTGGAGGTATTGAAACGCTACGTCAAAAGCTGCACTCTCGCATGGAACAGCTGCGCAAGGGAAAACGGGGGGAGGGTGATCAGGCGACCAGTAAAGACGAGCTGATAGAGGAGCGGAGAAAGCAGAGAGCGATGATGCGCGAGAGACGGCGAAAAGAAACTAAGGAGAAGATCAGACTAGAAAAGGAGAAGAAGGAGAAGCCGGGCAAGGACAAGAGTAGAGACAAGGGCAACCAGAGCAAAGTGCGTCGTCCGAAGTTTGATTCATGCTGTACATTTATTGATTATTTCTGCTTAGCCAACTTCGTTACTTGTCGAGCAACCGTCGACTTCGAAAGCTGGGCCGTCTCGGGATCCCAAGGATACTCTCACAAATGTCGCCTTCTCTGCCATTGCGGGATCACCAGGCATCTCCAACAAGAAATTGCAACATGTGAAGACGACGTCAGACCCCAAACAGGCCTTGCAACAGCTAGAGACGAGGAAGGAGAAACTCGCTGCCCTACCTGAAGAAAAGCGCAAGGCTATAGAAGAGAAATCCAAGTGGGAGAAGGCTGAAGCTAGGATTGAGGGTGTTAAGGTCAAGGATGACGAGACCCGACTGAAGAAAGCGGCCAAACGGAAAGAGAAGGAGAAAGCAAAGAGCAAGAAAGCTTGGTATGTTCAGATCATGCTATCAACTCCGAACGCGGTGCTAACTTCGCCTTTTAAGGGATGAGAGGAAGAAGGAGGTTCGCGATCAGATGGCTGCTAGGCAGAAGAAGAGAGCAGACAACATCGCTATGCGGGCTGAACGACGGAAGGGTGGGAGTTCTGGGAAGAGTAAAGCGAGGCCTGGCTTCGAGGGGAAATCCTTCGGGAAGTCCAAGAAAGCCGCAGGTAATCGCAAAAAGTAATAGTGGAAATTAACCTACCATTTGCCCATATACTATCTTATTACCTCTCTCCTTTTTAATGCCCTCTGGGGCCGCGTAGTCATCGCAAGTCTCCCTTTTTGCATCACTCTCAGTCAACTTCCGGTCCTAAGCCATTCCAAGAAGTGTGGCAATATGGCACATACGCGAGTCACGTGATCCCAACCCCGCTCATGGAGGTGCAGCGTATCATTTCAAGCAGGACGCCACAACCTGCCTCATTCTTTACCTGCTGCAGAGCACGCAAAGGCTACGTTTGCTGTACTTGACTGGCATGACGAAGGCGTTCTAGACGGTCTTCAACGGCAGGCACATTCCTTGGCGCGGGTACAAGCAGCCCAAAGCATCCAGGACCCACAACCCGAAACTGGCAGGGCACAGGAGCGTTAAGACGTCCTTGGAGGGCTGACACGAAACCAGGTCCGTTTACGAGCTGGAGAGTGATCTAGGACACAAACTTGACATCGATCTATCTGAGCAGCAATAACAGGCATTCTGGACAGTCTTGGGCTGCATACATCGTCTGGTGCTGGCGCACCCGCCAGACATTATCTTGAAGGTATACTAGGGCGAACGAGCTGAAATGCACAGAAGAAAATCGAGCCATGAAGACGTGCCAGTGTCCAATACTGAGCACACAGTCTCACTGATTGGACGGGATGGAAGCAATTCGCCCAAAGGAATACATCCGGGTGCCACAAGGAATGTGCAGAATGACATGACTCCTCCACGTCTGAGCGTAAACTCTACACCGCTGGAACCACCGCCTGGCTTTGGGGCGTCGCAATTCTACCCCAATTTACCACCGTCAGCAGGCCCTTTTCGTACCAGCTTCTCCTTCAATTCGTCTGCTAATGCCACGAATGGTAACGGTGCCGCTCCTCCTTCTCCGTTGCGCGCTTCCTTCTCGAAGTCTGGGCACTCCCGTACCAGATCGACGTCCGGGCCTTATGCCTCCATCGTGCCGTCACCTTTATCACCGTCCTTTTCTTCACAGTCGGTCTCTTCATCCGAGTCCTTCTCTTTTCCTCAAGATGAGCGGTTGAGTCAAAGTTCATCTTCGTCCTCTTCCATATCGGGACCTTCAATAGGTGCCCCGCCAAAGAACTACCGCCGTCATTCACGTATAAATTCCCGTAATTTATCCATCTTCTTTCCCCGGCCAGGGGCGTTGCCCCAACAAACTATCCTGGAAGACGGTGCTCAAGAGCTGGAGTATGACATTGAGCCGCAGGGTGTGCCCTTGCCCTCGATGGAGAGCGCTCCGACTCTGCGCTCCCGAGTGCCCGAGAAATTAGGCGAAGGGTTTACATTCGGTGCGCGGCCTCCAAGTCAGTCTGATGAGCAGGATGAGCCACATTTGCCTGCCTCCGCCACGCATCCCATGACAGCGATGTCCTCCCGGCCGTCTAAGCGGGGACATCACCATCGGCATTCGCTATCGCATAACTTCTTTTCATTTCTTGAACCTGGAGCCGAGCAGACGGACTTGCAGACAAACCCTACCCCGATGCCGGCTTCTCCGTGGAATCCGGTCTCGCCTTTCAGCTCGGCCGTCTTCCCCAAATCTGCGCAGCCGACTCAGACAAGCTTCGAACCCAGTGCGTCCGAGAAGAGTATACACCAGTCTCTAGACAATACACTAGACTTGGAACCTCGCCATGTAACATCTGCTATTGCTATCTTGTGCACTGCCGCTCAATTCTTACTCGGTGCGTGGATGTGGGTGCGTGGGCAGCAAGTCGGGTCGCTCGCGTGCACGGGGATGGGATATTGGGTTGTCTTCGACGCTTTTGGACTGGGCCTTGGCCAGCTCCTCCCTGCGTACTTGTCAAGCCGAAGTATGCAAGCTAAAATCCGACGGCCTTACGGGTGCGTCCAGTCACAGGTTTGCGGACCCTATTGACGAAGCGGTCTGGATAGGAACGCGCGGATAGAGACGGTACTCCTGTTCGCACAAGCCATATACCTCATGTTCTCAGCCGTCTACGTCTGTAAGGAGACGGTGGAACACTTGTTGCTGTCCGTTGGAGAGGAGGGCCACCACCACCACGTTGGTGATGAGACTGCCGGCCTATATGGGTAGGTTCCTTGTCTCAAGCGTCTGTCGTTCCAATGCTCAAACTTAGATTGTTCGTAGCATTGAGTTTCCCGTCTTCACAATCCTTTCATCTGTCGCGTCTTTAACGGGCAGCGCTCTGCTTTTCAATAATCACGCCAAGCTTGTGAATGGTATGCCCTCTGTTCTACTCGAGAGTAAATCCTGATCACGACGTTCGTCTCCTAGTTGCTGGCAACTATCTGCCTCCTATGTCAGCTATCGTCCGCTCCGCTTTGTCTCGCTACCCAATGCCCTCATCATATACCCATCCTCTACCTACCAACCAACTCGGAATCCTGCTCTCTAACCCATATGCCTTATCGCCTATATTATCTGCATCGCTATTACTGGTCGTCGTCGCAATCGTCCCTTCGTGCGTTTCCAGTGGGGTTCTATGGCAGAATGTGCATGTTGACATTTCCTATGCTGCAGATCACAGCACCAGTCATTTGATCTATTGCTTTCATCTCTGGAAACCATCATGATGTTCCGAATATCCTACCGGGCCTGTGTTGCTCTCGGTGCTGTTCTGTTACAGACTGCGCCAGAGAGAGGCCTCCCAGGTGGCAGAATGGAGGCGTTCCTCCGGACCATGCGGGAGGTACGTGCCATGTCACCTCTTGTACGTCCGCTCGCTAATATACTCGCCTGTAGATGGAGCGGCATCCCGAGATCCTCCATCTACCTGCCCCACACATATGGCAGTTGACTGCCCCGCTTACACGGCCGAGCACCACGACAAGCAAGGCTGCGATGCAGTCCCTTGTCGTGACGCTCGAGCTGCACGTGAAGAAAGATATTAGCGACCGCGAGGTGGTCGAGTTGACCCGGTGGGCTTGGGAGAAGTGTGAAAGCGCTCTTGCCGTCGGGACAAGCGGAAGTAGAGGTGAGGCTGAAGTAGAGGTGACGGTGGGTGTTGTCAGAGGATGAGGCCCCTTCCCTGTGCGATATTGTCCGTCCGTCGCTTATTCCTTCTGGATCCTGTACAGTCTGAATTATAGCTCTGTTCCGGATACTCCGGTGCGTCCTTTGACATACGCTACACGTATCCCCCCGACATCGCCATCATACCCGGGATATCTTTGCGTGCCAGGACCCTGCACGGTCTTCTTGTTTGCCGTTTCTACCACCTTGACAAGAATGTACGTATAGGCGATAAGGCAGTCTCGCCAAATCGGCTGCGGTCGCTGCTCCTCGCTTGATTCCCTTCAATTCCTTCTTCCTTCTCCCCCCCCCCCCCTGTGTGTGTAAACGGTAGCGTAATCTACCTGCAGCAAGGCAGTGCGAGACAAACACGTGTAGCTTCCATTTCTTGCGCTGCACTTACGCAGTGGACGTCCTGATATAACTCTCTGGCTACCACCATGTTCTGTTTTATTTCGTGAAACGTTTCTGACCTGCTGCGCACTCTATGAATTCGTTTCCTACGTCTCCTGCTGGCGCCCGTTCTGCAGGTGCAATATCCCCCGGAAACACTCTGGTGTACCCTGTTACACCCAGTCGTATATCTGTACCATCACATCCTGTCGGTCCTCGCAGCGCGAGCCGGCCAGCGAGCATCAGCGAGCTCGCAGAACGAGCTCTGGAAGGCATATCGGAGGGTCCCAAAGACCTCAAGGCCTATTTACGCACCGCACAGAGGTCCCGCGATGTTGGCAAGGAGTATGTCCGCGCAGGCGATCTCGAGGCTGCCTTCGTCGAGTTCGCAAAGGCCGCTACGATTGTACTGGAGAAGTTACCTACACATCGGGACTACCATACGCTGTTGAACGAGTCGCAGCGGCATAATCTTGGATTGGTACGTTATGATTCAGTCATGCATGTGCTATGGTCGCACTCGGGCGTACAGCGGATGGATTTAGAGGAACTCCTCCTGGAGAGAGTCTTCATGCATGTTGAGGATTCATGTCTCGCCGAGCCTTGGTCGCTTATGCTCACTTACGCGTGTGTACGAGCGATTGGGCATGCTTTGACAGACTGGCCGTGTCTGGTCATCCCAATGCTGTCGAGCTGCACAGGACTGCGGTGCACTTCGGGGATCGACGTTGCTTTCGAGCGTCATGCACAGCCAGAGCATGGTTGACTTGCACTGATGCTGGAGTGTTTTCGAGTGATCAGACAGGTGCCTCTTTGAGTTCCGCTCATTGGATGCTTATGAGATTGGAGGGCTCTCGGCACGCTTAGAACGACATACAATGGTTATGTTGGATAATGGGTGAGACTGACAATCACCGCCTTCCCGTTCGATCCAGCTGATCCAAGCCGATTACGCCCCCACAGATGTCGTGCAAGCAAGGAATGACCAGAGATGCGGGCAAGCTCTGCCCAGATTTGTAGAGTCACCTGTCTAGCACACTCTGTCCTGTCTTTCCCATCACGTCTTTATCTACCATGAAATGGAATGCGATGCTAATATCTATCTACCACACAGAATGGGCAAGATATTCTGGACAACCTAAGTAAGATTAAACCAACGCTTGTGGAGCGGTACGAGCGCTGGCTTGCGTCCCAGTCAGACTCGTCGCCGTCCTCGGGCCCGCACACGCCGCAATCGTATCAGGAGGACCCGGGGAGCGCCAGGAGGAGCCGTGGAGAGCCGTTCCCGATCCAAGAGGAGGACGTGTACGGATCTATGAGAGATAAGAGGACGGACCCACCTCGAAGAGGGTACCCGCACGATGACGCCAGAGGAGGGAGCTCCGACGAAGAAGCGAGACGGAGGGAAGGAGTCGAGGCTGCTCGGCGGAGGCAGGCGGACGAGTACGCGCACCGTCAGCAAGAGGATGTCCGGAGGCGCGAGGAGGAGCTGCAGGCGCGAGAGGCTGCGGCGAAGGCAGCACGGGTCAGGGACGAGCGCGGGCAGGTGTACGGTCCTCGACTTCCTGATGGCGATGCCCTTGCCGGCAGATTTGACGGAATGAGGGTCGGCGACCGGGATCCGCAGCCGAGTCGCAACGAAGACGCGAAGAGGAGGGAGGAAGATGCTGCGAGGAGGATGGAGGACAGGCGAAGAGAAGAAGCCGAAAGTATAATGAGGCGACAACAGGAAGCAGACGCGGCTACTCGTGCGGCGAGAAGCCAAGTTACCTCCTCGTATCCCGTCACTTCGACGCTCAGCTCGTCGCGGCAATCCGCCTTCTCGCAGGAACAGGAGGGGATCGCCCGCAGGCAACGCGAGGCAGACGACGCAGCTCGTGCCGCGCGCCAATGCGTCCAATCCGGGTTGCCCGTCTCCGCCCCTCCAAATGTTATCAGCTCTGCTCAGCAGGCCGCTGCCATCCGGGACCGTGAGGAACATGCCAGGAGACAGCGGGAAGCTGAGGCGAGTGCGCGTGCTCGCCACCAAGCTACGCCAACAGCGTCGTCGGCCCTCCCAGCACCGACCGCTGTGACACCGTCGAACTCGCAATATTCATTCTTAGAGTCGCATCATATGAATGGCGTACCGATCATGCCTTTGGAGAGTCCGACCAAGTACGATGACGATTCTTCCACCGATGCATCTGTGAATGATGTGCCGTCCGGGTTAAGACCATCAGTACGGCGCGAGAAGCAACCTGAACGCTCACCATCCAAGCCCCCAAGGCGAAGGTAACTTAGCTGCTGGTGATTAGACCCAATTCTGTCTGACTGCTCTCTACTAGCCCTTCATATCCCGTTCCGGTGACCACCACTTCTCCTCCGCCGCCCGAGCTGGGTGCCATTCGGTACCCGTCACTGATGACCAAACACCAGATCGCGCAAGGATACGCACCTTCGTTGGAGTCTATGTTTATGCAAACCATGGGTGGACCCGCCGCCTCGAATCTTCTGCTCTTCGACGGTCAAGGATCCGACCCGTACTCCCATCTGTCCTCGATAGGACTGCATGGCGTAACATATCCTCAAATGCAGCACTCGCATCGCCAGCATCGTCCTCATCCTTCCAATGGACCTTCACCTGCCCGTCCGCCACAGCCATCTGCTCCTGTTGGGTCAGGATTGGAACGGATAACTCGAGCGGACTCGAAGTCGGACGGGAACGTCCGCGAGCTGAAGACTGTACATCTACCACGCGAATGCTTGCCTCGCTTCCTATCCATAGCTGCTGCCAACACCGCGCGAAATCGTGAGACATGCGGTTTGTTGTTAGGCAGGGACAAGGGCCACAAGTATGTTGTGTCCTGCCTCTTGATTCCGAAGCAGCATTCAACGAGTGATACCTGCGCGATGGACGAGGAAGAGCTCGTGCTGGAGTTTCAGGAAGAACGGAACCTCATTACATTGGGATGGGTGGGTCAAGGGTTTCTCACTTCCGGTGGTTCGCCGCGCTGACAGTGAATGTTTTCCTCTTTTATAGATCCATACACATCCTACGCAATCATGTGAGTCGCTGACTATAGTCGACCTGAGCCCCTATATTTGGATTAACCTTCGCATCACTCCAGGCTTCATGTCATCGGTCGATCTGCATACCCATGGCGGTTTCCAGAGGATGCTACCCGAGTCGTTCGCGGTCGTGTGCGCGCCCACATCCACTCCAAAGTGAGCCATGCCAGGCTTGTCGGGATTAGGCATGCTGACCTCATTTACATTAGCTATGGCATCTTTCGCTTGACGGATCCTCCAGGTCTTCAGACCATCTTGGATTGTCATGAGAAGGAAGCGTTTCATCCTCATCCTGATCTTCCTATATATACCGTGAGTCTATCCATGGATTTTACGCAAACGCAATGCTTATTGTACGGACAGGATGCCGACAAAGGTCATGTACAAATGAAGGACATTGGTGTAGAGATTGTGGACTTACGGTGAATATTCTTCGAACCTTGACATTTCCTGCGGGTCCTGTTTTCTGTCTATTTCTAAGCATGAGTTGGAGATCCATGTCCCATCATTGTACCATACATCACTGCATACTGTACTTTCCGAGATGTACGAATTGTAACGATTCGGGCGGGTGAAGCCTGAGATTGATTTTACATGTGAATTCGAGGTTATTGATATATGAAGCTGTCCGAGTAGTGAGCGCTGTACTTAGTACTCAGTGACTCGCCTTGGTTCCTTCGACCTTTAGCTTCGACAACTTTGATCGGAAAAATGATGCGCGACTTCACTCAAGCGGAAATCGAGGAAGAAGAGAGATATTTCCACAATGTAATGGAAACCTTCCGCCAGTACGCGGCGTACCAGGTGAATCCAATCCAACCGCCTAGTCAGTACAGGTCTTGAACTCATGTCGACCCTCGACCGCACATGTTCCTAGCTTGCAGCCAACAATCGACGCAGAAAGGACCTCTATACCCTTCCCTTGCCAGATCAAGAGTTGCTTGACGGGCTGGGCTATAAATCGAAGCTCGATGAAGTGGATAAGGCCATCATGGCGAACGCAGAGTTCCTGGTGGGCGTCATCCAGGATCCGGAAATATTTGCGCAGCCGGACGACGATGGGGGAGAGGGGGACGAACACGAGTCAACTTCAGGAAGCCACCCTGGTGGGCATTGCAATCGGTTTGGTCTTCACTGTAATAGTCTAAGGGATGTCTGACACACAGAATTCACGCACACCCACTCGCATGATGGTCCACACCATGGCCACACCCATTCCCATTCTCATGGTCCCCCACTGAACCTGAGCTCTGGCTCTGGAACAGCTTCAGGCTCTCAGAAGGCGAGACGGTACCGCCCTACCGACAACGACATGGATAAACTGCGAAGCACTCTGAAGCAGTTTGTACGCGACTGGAGTGAAGAGGTGACCATCTCATCGCGCCCTCACCGCTGGCTGGAAGGCTCATTTTTGCAGGGGAAAGCTGAACGGCACGCATGTTACAAACCGATGCAGGATGCCTTACAAGCGCACTTCGCCCACGTCCCGCTGGAAGAAAGGTCCTGATTGTGATGTCTAATCGATGACTGCTCCGCTCTCATTCTCGTCTTTCCCTTATGATGCATCACAGGCGATCCGTGCGTGTCCTTGTACCTGGTGCGGGCATGGGCAGACTAGCCTGGGATATCGCGAAATCAGGTGCGTATAATGGGAGACGCCTCGGATGCCTCATGCAACTACCAGGGTCTGATTTGAAGTTCTGACTATCATTTTCATTCTCGCTACGAACACCAGGCTTCAGATGTCAAGCGAACGAATTCTCCCATTACATGTTACTTTCTTCGCATTTCATATTAAACAGGTACGGATTAACCGCCAAGATCATTGCCAAATCTCCCACTAGACGCTACTGCCACTGCAGGACGACAGAGGTAGAACAGCATAAAATCTATCCTTATGTCCACAGCTTCTCCAATCTTCGAAGCCGGTCATCCCTTCTTCGACCAGTGCTCATTCCTGACGTTTTACCATCGTCCCTACCGCCTAACTCAGATTTCTCGATGGTTGCTGGTACGTTGTATCAGTTGGAATTGGCAAATACTGTGCTTACGGCTGAATCCTAGGCGATTTTGAAGAGGTTTACGGAAGTGAAGAGGAGCCTCAGAGCGAGCAGTGGGATGCAGTCCTAACATGTTTCTTCATCGATACTGTAGGTCTACGTTAGCCGAAGCTGACCTACAGGTCTATCATAACTGTCTCATCTAGGCCAAGAATATCGTGAACTATCTTCGGATCCTGCATAAAATCCTCGCCCCGGGAGGCGTGTGGATCAACCTCGGTCGGTTTCTCCCTATTTTTGTTTCCCCCTCATACTGAAGGTCTCTGGCATCAGGACCATTACTGTGGCACTTCGAGAATAACACTACGAACGACCCTTCCGTAGAGCTCGACCTTGAAGACGTCAAGGAGCTCGCTCGAAAGATAGGGTTCGAGCTTCATGTACGTTCCGTCTCTTTCTCCTCCCTGATCGACATGAGAGTAACCGTCGGAGCTGCTTTCTTGGGGCACACGCAATATTCAGAATGAGAAGACGATCGAGACTACATACGTTCACAACAAAGAGAGTATGTTGGGATATGCGTATCAGGCGGCATTTTGGTGTGCTACGAAGAAGGTCTGATGGGTCGGCCTGGTTCTTGCTTCTGCGTTATGTAGTGTAGAGTATCAGCAGTCGTGAGCATGAACTGCTGCCGATGCCAAGGAAGCCCGGGCAAACACTTGACTTAGTCATCACAGATCGACCAGGTTTGTGACTCGACCGGTAGGCTATAAAAGGGTGCATGCTTCATGTTCGTGAAGGAGTGACACAGAAGTGGCGATGTTGCTCGACTTCCTTACTCTCGACGTCTTCACGGACACACGCTACGAGGGCAATCCTTTAGGGGTAGTCCTCGTACCTTCGGCCGACGCACTCAGCGGAGAGCAAAAGCAAGCAATCGCGAAGGAGTTCAATCTCAGCGAGACCGTATTCATCTATCCTCCCGACCTGGTCACGGGGCGTGTCAAAGTCAACATATACACAACAAAGCAGGAATTATCCTTCGCTGGTCATCCTGTCGTCGGGAGCACATATTACCTCCTGGGTATTGGCCCGCTGAAAGGGAGGCAGGAGGCTGTCCTGGATATTCTGGCAGGTCTTACGCCGATTACCTATGACCCGGGCGCGTCACAGGCCTCCGTGAGGGTCGCGCACGATGTGCTCATTCATAAGCCCTACAAAGAGCTTCTGGGGAAGATCGAGGGCCTGACTGACGCTAATCTGGTGCAGTTGGCGGAGGGAGGTGTAGCCGTGGTGTCCATTGTCAAAGGGATGACGTTCCTTATGGTGCAGCTGAAGGATCTGGAGGCGTTAGAGAGCTTACGAGGCATAAGGGATGAGCTTGTCGTCGAGGGCAAGGGGGAGCGAAAAGACGAGAAAGATTGGCTTGTAGGGTTTGTCGGGACTTACTGTTTCGTCGTCACGGGTGAGACGACGGAAAACGGGGTGGTTCTGAAGAAAGTGCGAACGCGTATGCTTTATGGGATCGGGCAAGAGGATCCCGCCACCGGGAGTGCTGCTAGTGCATTCAGTGCATGGATGAGCTTGACTAGGGCGCCACAGGGAGAGGGCGAGCAGAGATACCAGATCACACAGGGAGTCGAGATGGGCAGGAGGAGCGAAATTGGTGTGATCGTGCGCCAAGGAGCAAAGGGAGTTAAGGAAATTAAGCTCCAGGGTCAGGCGGTGAAGGTAATGGAAGGAAAGATAGAGGTATGAGTCCTGACAGGGCGCACGAAATACTCGCGTTTCGGTCAGTGATCAGCCACGGAAGGTTCTTGGGAAGAGGTGTCGGGCTGGGAGATACTGAGTGTACCATAATACATTCATACAATCGGATCATTTGTGGCAAAGAGTCAGTCGCAAGCATTCCTCCCTATTCCTGCGTAGACAATCAGCGAAGTGACGTGCCTCTTGGGCGCCTGATAATGGGTTGTTTCGCTTCGGCAGCACTCCTGCGTCGACGTCGCAGAAGGTTTTGTGACACTGTCATTTGAATGCTTGACATGCCAACCGGGGACATCACCGTATATGCCTTTGTAGGTGCATCCTGTTCAGCAAGCGCACACCGGACTGACTCGCCCAGCTGGAGGCGGCTGAAGGGAGAGAGGATGAACTTCTGGAGACGTTGAGCAAGGCTCAAGCGTACGCGGAGTCGGAGGAGCCTGGCTGCTTGCAGTACCGCATCAGCTTTGACCCGAAGAACAAGCGGTTCGTCTGCGTGTTTGAAGTCTACGTACGTCGTGCTCTTATTGCATCGTCTACCACTTGGGCAACTTGCCTCAGGAAAACCAAGCAGCTCTCGACAAACACATTCAGAGCGAGGTTTCTAAAAACAACGTTGCATTCTATGAATCGGGCGGCCTGGCCAGGCCGTTGTCCGAGATGGACATCCGCATCCATACAGAGTACCGCAAATGACAATCTGTTTTATCTTTTAAATGGCTCAAATATTCATATCCTTCCTGAGCATTTTCATATGATCAGCCCCTTGCGCATAGCTCGAAGAGGCCGCCACACATTGCCCGATTTTTACTTTATTGCTCCTGCTGATGACTTGCACAGTGCTTACCACGTTTAGAGTCAAGTGAGTTTTTTAGTTCTCATTCGGCCATTTCTGCATTCCTATTGATTCTTATCTCACGTCCCCCATTGAGGGAACCATTTCTCCTGGATTCTACCTGGAAATAAATGGTAATCGGCCTTCATATCCATCGAGATGGCTGATGGCCGTACAACCAATATTCATATCGTGACTTACCCACTACATTATGCTCAGTGAAGGTGTTTCTCTGCCTTTTGACCGGTTATGTGAGAAGGGAGTGCTTATCGGTGTTCAGCGGGACCCACATGTGTTCGCGTGCCACGGATCCCCTTGATTATCTGTGGTCTCCTCGGGCTTCATGGTGAGTCTCTCAAATACTGATACAAAACGCGGTCTAGCACCCCTTCCAGGAGACGGCTCATTTCTTCAACCAGCAAGGTTATACGAGAGCTCTCGGTTTTACGATGCCTCCGCTGTGTAACCCTGACTACAAGTGTATGCCTCTACGTCTCCCTCCGCAGACACAGGCTCTTAGCAGCCCGACATTCAGGCCTCCTCCTCTCGACGGCTCATTGACCCTGCCTGAGATGTACGACATGCATTACAGCCACACCCCACACCATCCTCTCTTCGTCTTCGCGGATAGCCAAGGAGTTACCCATGAGATACTATGGCCTACCGCAGTATGCGCAGTGCATCAAGTCGGTCATATTCTATGGCCAAGAGTCGGCAGTCCCATTTCAGCTGGCCGACGTCCCATCGTAGCGATTCTCGCAGCATCTGGTGAGAGGCCACAACTATCTCACCCAGGCGGCTGTCTCATGGGTGAAATAGATACCATCACATACTTCACGGTCATGGTCGGGATCATACGAGCCGGATACGCGGCTTTTCTGATCTCTACGAGAAACTCGTCCGCTGCCATCGCTCATCTCCTGGGCAAAGTGAAAGTAGAACTTGGTAGGAAGGGAGAACTCACTTCAAGTACTCGTAGAAGAATCTCTCAAAATGCTTCCGGGTGTGGAGGCCCGGATAAGGATAGGTGTCTCCATCATGCCCAACTTTGAGGAGTTATACGTGGAGCACGAGTCTTTCCAAATGTTACCCTTCGCACACCCTGCCATGGATGACCCTGCAATATTCCTTCACTCTTCTGGTAAGCTGTACTCGACCCGTTCAGAGACTGTCATCTGTTTTACTTGCCACCGCAGGTTCCACCGCACTCCCAAAGCCGGTTGTATGGACCCATCACATGATGCTCCAGCTTGGAATGATACCCTGAGTTTCACACTCGATTGCATTTACACGGTCTCACCAGATGCAAGACTTCGGGGAGTGTGACTTGACCGGCAAACGCCTGTCATGTCATGCCATGCCTATGTTCCACGGAATGGGTATGATGCAAACTGCCTGGACTGTGAGTAGCACACCACTCTACTTTACCAGACAATGTTTGAGAACTGCTCTACCAGGCAGCAAGCGGCCTAGTCATCACCGCTTTCATGCCGTGCACTCCAGCTGTCGCTCCCACACCCGAGAATGTTATTAAAGGAGCCCTCGACTGCGAAAGCGATATTGTTTTCTGTGTTCCGAGCTTCGCAGAAGTACGTTATAGCCCCTAGTATCAGTCTAATGCTTACAAGAAGCCAGGCGTGGTCACGCAACGCAGCATATGTCGACAGTTGCGTGAACTAGACGGAATTGTGAGCATTCAAGGATCATTCCGCAGCGATAGCGTCGCCTGACTCCTCATGCATTGCTTAAGCTTTACGACGGTGGCCCACTTTCTAAGGAAGCGGGCGATAATCTTACTCGAGAGGGTGTTTCTGTGTTTACACTCTATCGATGGTAAGCAGCCCCGAGAGCCGGTAAGAAGACCGCAAGTGCTTAGTCTTCGACAGCACCAAGGGGGGTATCATGAGCACTATTTTACCGAGTAGGTCTCGATGAGAATTCGCGCGCATGCGTAAGTCTAACCGTGGTCGTGGCGCACATACAGAGAGCCCCGGCGAACACATCAAGGGTCACTTTGTACCAGACGGGACCGGAAACTATGAATTCTTGATGATCGTGAGTTCTTCCTATCATTATTGACATGTGGTATACTTATTACCGGACAGGCGCTCCCTTATCATTTACCCTCCGTGTTCAAGACGACAGTAGACGGGACCGATGCATGGGGAATCAGTGACCTCTTGTCTCCTCATCATACTAAACCGGGGCTGTGGAGGATACATGGACGTGTCGATGACCAAATTATGCACAGCACCGGAGAGAAGATAAGAGCATGCATCTGTAGACTGTCGAGGTGTCAACTAACAGAAGCCCAAGACGAACCCAGGACCACTGGGTGAGTACTATGGATATCTTACGTATCATGCCATCCTAACAGGTACCTCGAAGAGAGCATATTGGGTCGAGATCCGCGCGTGGCTGGGTCCGTCATGTTTGGTCGCGGCCAATTGAACGCTGGTGTTCTCATAGATCCCAGTCCCTCGGAAGGTTTTGACCCAAATGATATGGGCAAACTCATCGCGTTTCGAAACCTCATCTGCTGAGTCGTTCTTCATATAGCACGTCTGAGCATTCGAGGTTCTGACATTCAGAAAGGCCTACCATCGAACGTATAAATAATTATGCTCCGCAACACTCCCGTATCTTCAAAGAAGTAGATTTATTTTCGCTAGCGAAGTATAAGGCGTACTCAGACGCTTGACAGACGATAATCGTGGCGTCAGGGCCCTTTAAACCTTTCACCTACACTGCGAAGAACACAGCCCGTAGGCAAGCTGTTCTAGCTCAGTACGAAGAGGAGATCCAGCAGTTATATGACTCCGCTGAGGAATCGATTCAAGCTAATATACCGCCTCCGGGCAAGTGGTCTTACGTAGAGTCTATCAAATACGTGCGAACAGTGGTGCATCAAGTTTTGAAGTATCAGGTGCTGGACTCGGACGACTTATTCCAACATGGCTGCGACAGGTCGGTATAATTGGCTCTTTGTCTGATCTTTCTGCTCACTCGGTCCTGGTTTGCAAGCCATGTGAATTAGAAATACCCTCCTACATGCTTTGCGTCAATCGATGCGCAATGTGAGGGATGTGACCCCGAGCTTTGTCTACGAGCATCCAAACATTGCTAGGCTGGCTCAGTTTATGTCTTATCAGGGCTCCAGCACAAGATCGCATGCCCCCAGTTCCGACAAGTTATCCGAAATGGAAAACATGGCTGAGGCGCATAGCCAAGATCTTCCTCTTCATAGTCCCACGTCCACGCATGCTGCAGAGGACACCGTCCTCCTTACCGGTAGCACAGGAGGTCTCGGTGCGGCCATCCTGGCGCGGCTTCTTAGGGACACGGCCGTGCGCAAGGTTTTTGCTATCAATAGGCGAAGCGGGTCCGGTACGAGCCTGTTGGAGACACAGAAGAAGTCTTTTTCTGAGAGAGATCTTGATAGCACGCTTCTCTAATCACCTAAGCTGGTACTTATCGAAGCCGATGTAAACGCGATTCCGCCAGTCTTACCATCGGAGGTGGTCGAAGAGGTCAAGCTTTTGCAATGTCACATCCTCCCTGTTGAAGACTCACCACCTCTTCTTTAGATCGAGGACTCGTGCACGCACATCATTCACAACGGTGGGTTGTATCTACACTCCGTCCTCGGATATAGTGACACATTGCAAAGTTCAGCATACACTGTGGATATCAAGATGACGTTGCAATCATACGAACCTCATGTCCAAGGCGTGCGCAATCTTGTTGATATTTCGCTGACATCAAGGCTGTCCTCGCCTCCGCGTTTGTTGTTCATCAGTTCGGTCGGCGTATTGCTCAGTGAGTACATCTTCAGGACCGTCCTCCAGGTAGTATTCTGACGCTTTTATTAGATATTGCAACTGATATGACTGGTACTCGCATGGATGAGAAATTTGTGGAGGCTACTGCCGCTGAAGGTTCTGGATACAGCGAGTCCAAATGCGAGCGACTACTCGAAGAAGCTTCTTTACGTAGCAAACTTAGGCCCATCGTGATACGAGTGCATCAGGAAACACGCGGGTTCCTATAAAGCGATCTATAGGCTGGATAGGTAACATAGGCTCATAGGAACGTCCGTTCCGGTATAGCCGCACATAGTACCACAGTTGCAATAGACACTATGCATAGCCGCAATAGCCACCATAGCAGAGGCTGTATAGGCATGCATATCACTCGATAGACACCGTAGGGCAGGTATAAGCAATGAAAGAATTTGATATTTGAGGAGATACATCCATGACTATACTATATCCCTCGTGTTAGCCCTGGAACTAGTTTTCTACACCTGCGACTGCTGCCGCCCATTCCCTGCGCATGTTCTCTAACTCAGTCTCATCAAAGCCCGATGATGCTTTGCAGTCTTCACCCGGTACCTTCGCAAAATCACTATGTTCCGTGGTTGGTTACTGTCTCAGGATAAAATATTGATGTAAACCCACCGAGCACCATCCAGAAGCTGGGACTGAATGCGTTCAACA